TGTGAACTATTGAAATGTGTGTGCGTACATGCACCTATTACATAGCTACCTGATGATATAATGTATCACAGACTTAAATAAAAGCTTCTCATTAGAAATGTTTTGCTCATGTTGTGCCTGTGCAAGATCGGATTTATTAACGAATTAAAGAAAATCCTTACACCAGGTATAAATAGGGCCAAGACATCAAGCAGCTTCATTAAGTGCATCCTGGGTCAAATCAGAAACTGTAAATGTATCATGTTTACTTCTATAAAAAGCTAAAAATTAAAAATCAAGCAGCTTACCTGTCTAAATTCTACAAATCTACAATTTTTTTTCTAGTGTTGCATGCCTGTTAATTAAGAAAAATTAAAGATACAGGTCAACTTTCATCTAAATAATTAAGAGATTTTTAAACACATTTTTAAACATAATCTTTTTAATAACTAATTTCTTATAACTAATTCTTTTGTCTTTGCCATGATGACAGTAAATAATATGTTTCTACTTATTTTGCATGATAGTAATATTCAGCTTAAAGTGCCATTTAAAGGCTTAACTAAGTTATTATGTTACAGTGGTTAATTAATTTTAAGGGGGCTAATTATATTGACAATAAATTTGTTTTAAAAAATGTAAAAACTGATTTTATAATAATTTCTATATTATAGGAAATGCTGTAGGATCCAGAATGATCGCCTTGCTTTGTATAATTGATATCTGATACTGTATTCTGTTTTTGTTTTTATGTTAACTTCTATTAATTGTATACCCCAGTTTTAAGAGACCGCAGGGGAGGTGTGTGGGGGTATTTGAATTGATATGTTTCATTATATAGTTTTTTCAGCCTGTATGTTTTGTAAACAATTAATAAATAAAAAAATAAATAATAAAATTTTAGGAAATGCTGTGAAAACTTCTTTAATCTCTTGTAAAATATATAAAAAATACAATTATTTTAAATTAGGGCTAATAATTTTGACATAATCTCTGCCTAAATATTTTTATACATTCCGATTCTTAAATTAATTTTAAAAGCTTTCTGTATCCAAATTATGAATGGCCGAAAGCCAAATGTGGTTGACAGTGATGGGTGTTTATGGAGTACTTATTTTGCTGTATGTATAGAAACATGCTGTTTTGTGGTTTGTCTGTAAGGTATCAGTGTTACAGCACTCTGCAGACACCTCATAACTCTGAGCGGCAGCGTGAGAAGCAGAAAGGACTCGTCAAACAGACGTTTGAGCTGGATGAGGCTGCTATTGAGCGCCAGGATGAGCAGGTAACTGTCTGACTAAAGTTAAACATTAAACTATAACGTACTGTAAACTGGAACTTAATATAACAGTTTATATGTTTGGTTAGTATTTTCTTATTATTGTTAAAGAATTTTAGTAGGGATGCTCCAATTGATCGGTATTGGCCGATAATCAAATTTCATGACTCGATCGGTTCTCGCTAATTTCTTGAACCAGTCACAAGTGTTTGTTTACATGTTTACAAACAGAGGATGTATAACAACTGCTGTTTATAATTGTAATAATAAATAATAAATATGTTAAACAATGTTTATTTCATTATTTTAAGTTTTAATATTATGGAAAAATGTCTTTTTAATGATAAACTAGTGATGTCTTTAGAATATTTATGTTATAAAGCAGTGTCTGTCTGTGGCAGGATGACCCAAAGAGGCACTCGGTGTCGCTGGATGACACTCCGCGGGGGAGCTGGGCTTCCAGTATATTTGACCTAAAAAACTCCATTCCGGATGCACTATTGCCTTCAGTGCTTGAGCGCACTGCTGCTGAGGAGATGGACAGACGCAACGCTGACAACCGCCAGCAGGGCCGCCACAACCATCTCCTGGGACTCTATCCTGCACCGGATGAGGTCTGAAATTCCTAAAGGTCCACTCAGCTGCCTAGAAATGCACAGCTTTGTTCAATGTATGACACAAGTTCAAGTGAAGCAAGGGGATTCTGACCATTGCCATTTGTGGAGGTTGAGGAAGCTCTCTGTTAAATGTAAAATATCTTCATTTGTGTTCTGATGATAAACAAATGGTTCAGGTGGTTTAAAATGACATAATGAGAGTCAGTAATTGATCAAATAATTAAAATGTTTAGGTGAACTAACGCTTTGAGATTAACTTGTTGATATGAACACGCACAAAAAAAGTAATTTTGTTTTCTGTGGGACTTTAAAAACAGTTTGACACAAAGTAAGAGAACGTAGAAGAGCAAACTAGTCTTATGTGTAGGAGCTGAGTAGTAACACTCAATGCTTTTATGTAGGAGAGCTGTCAACGCTCTAGTTAAAATGCAGACATGTCTCTCTGATGATCCATCTGCCATTTTGTTTAATCTTGTTGAACATATTCTTTGTCCTTTCCTCCGTCTCCCACTCCTCAGCATCCCCTCGCTTTATTTATGTGTACACATTGCATTTCTGATGACTGAGCAAACTTTGCCTTGGCTCTGGCGGAGCCGTTGTCATGATGATGGCTGCTCTGTGTGTTTGACAGGACGAGGCCGTCGAGAGGTGTGCCATTCCAGAAGTGCCCAAGGAGCACAGCGGACAGAGGATCATGGTCAAGTGTTTGTCGCTCAAGTAAGGCTCTCAATAGTGGTTAACTTGCCAACTGCTATGTTGTTGGTCATAAACAAAAGGAAGAAATCCTTGATATATATTTTTATGAACATAAATTGCATTTATGTGAAGCATACTACATACATAATTTAAACTCCAAAGTGATTTATGTAATGCAGTTAAAATTGATGTCAAAATGGTTCCCACACTTCCTGAAAGTATACTTGAATTTCTTACAAACTTAATTACTTACAAACAAACACAGATTCTTAAAAGAGCTTAAATTGAACTTGAAATTATATTTCTTTAAGGTTTATTTCAAAAATCTTACTTAATTGTCAAAAAAGAACAATAAAATAAGAGTTTCTTTAATTCTTAATCTTTTTTTGACATGCTTTTTTAAGTTTACAGGATGAATGTACAATGCGCTTTCAGAGATATAATCAGAGGCAAGTTTTACAAAGAATGTGCCATGGTTTATAGTCCAAATTTACTACTAAACAGGGTGTTGGTGGTGTCTTAAATCTCAAAAACTACATTTTAGGTTTAGAAAGTCTTAAAAATGCTGAAATATTGTGTTGTATGTCTTCACAATCTTTTTTAAACTGGTCTTATTTTCCTTTGTTCACGTCTATCTACTCAATCTGGTCGTTATCACTAACATTCTACCTCAATAAAACTTATAACTTTTTACTTAAAATTGTCATTTTCATCTCTATTTAGCATACTGTTCTAATTATTTTCGTTGCAATAAAATTTGTGTAATAGTTTTCCATGTTTTTAGTGCTGAGGACACTGACCTTGACAGATGTTTTTGCATACATTTAGTTTATTATAGTTTGTAACTTTTTGGAAATTATTTAAAGAAAGATTATGTTGAAAATAAGTGTATGTATGTACAGTATACAACAAGAGCTTGCTTGTTTTGAGAATATTTAAAACATGTTGCTAACAAATTCTATTTGTTTTTATCTGTCTTTTTTATTATTAAATAAATTGTATTATTGTACTATTAAATAAATTACATTATTTATATATATATATATATATATATATATATATATATATATATATATATATATATATATATTTGATTTGATGGGTCAAATTAGTTTTTTCCATTTGAGCCATTAGAAAGAGTTCTTAGCGTTTAGCCCTGAATGAGTCTAAAACTTCATTTATAATGGTCTTAAAAATGTCTTAAAAAGTTAAGACCTGCATAAACCCTGACTAAACAATTATCATAAACAATAATAGTAAATATGTTAACTAATTGTTTACCAAATAAATCCTTTTTATTACAGAAGTGCCCAAACATCATGATTAAGTGTTTGTCGCTCAAGTAAGGCAATAGTAGTGAGCTAACCATCTGTTGAATTGTTGGTCGTGTTAAATATAGCTGATAAACAAAAGAGATCCTGGATATATATTTCTGAATATAATATGCATCTATGCAAAACATACTGCATACATAGATTAAATTACAAAGTGATTTATGTAATTTAGTTAACATTGAATAAAATTGATCTCAAGAGGCTTCCCCCGCTTCCTAAAAGTACTTGAATTTCAGACTTATACGTTTAAGGCCTGGAACATACTTAGGTTCTTGGAACAAACACAGGTTCTTGAAATTACTCAAATTTAACTTAAACAAAACAAAAAAATTAACAAAAAAATTGTTATTTAATTGTTGATATTTCTTAAATTCTTAATATTTTTTGACATATTTATTTTAATTTTACAGGATGAATGTGCTTCCAGAAATATAATCAGAGGCAAGTTTTACAAAGGATGTGCCATGGATTATAGTCCAATAATATTACTAAAAAGGGGTGTCTGCGGGATCTTAAAATGTCCTAAATTTCAAAAAGAAGTTTTTAGGCTATAATAATTCTTAAGTTTGCTGAAACATTGTGTTGTAGGTCTTGAATCTTTTTAAAACAGGTTCTAATTTTCTTTTGTTCATGTATAGCTTTTTAATCTGGTCATCACTAACAATCTACCTCAATAAAACATGTATCTTTTTATTTAAAATGTTTTTTTTTTTTTTTTTATCTGTTTTTGCTGCACGTTGAGATATGAAACATCTATTACAAATATTGTTGCTTTTCAATTTTTCTTTTTTTTTTTAACACAACAAACAAAACCTGTCACACACATACATTTAGGTTCTATAAAAATATATGAATAATATTAAAACACAATACAAATAAATAGTAATATTAAGTAAAACATTTTACTCTATTATGAAAAAGAAAAGAAAAGTAAGAATAAAAAAAATAAAAATTTAAAAATAACAAGGATATTTTAGATCGTTGATCCTTTAGATCCAAAGATATTTTCATATCTTCATGTGATCTAAAACTGGTTGCCAAGTAAGAAAAAGCATATCAGTACAACCTTCTACAGTGAATTGTGTTTTTTCTAAGGTCAGGTGGTGTAGAAGTTCCTTAAGCCATTGTTTAAAGGTTGGAAGAAATTTTTCCTTTCCCTTTGAGCAATATTAACCTTCTAGCTAAAAGCGTAGTAAAGGCAACCGCATTTATCTTACTTTTATTAAAACATAAGGACTGTGGTGTGGTACCAAATATTGAAATCCTTTAATTTTGAACAAGCCTTAAACATATGAGATAGTGAACATACATTTAGTTTTTTATAGTTTAAAAAAATTAAAAGCATTTTTTTATAATATTTGAAAGAAAGGTTATGTTGAAAACAAGTGTATGTATACAACTAGAGCTTACTTGTTTTGAGACAGTATTTATATGTTGCTAATAAATAACTAAATTATTATTAAAAGAATAGTATATTTTACTATTAAATATATTATATATATATATATATATATATATATATATATATATATATATATATATATATATATATATATATATATATATATGTGTGTGTGTGTGTACATACATACATTACATACATACATACATACATGCATACATTCATGCCTACAGGGTGGACCATTTATATGTATACACCTTTAAAAACGTATTGGAAATTTCACAAGAAAAACAATGGTGTGCTTGGTTTTAACGTAACTACTCTTTCATGAGTTATTTACAAGCCCCATTACATATAAAATGTGCCACAAACAGGACATTAGTGTGTGTGTGTGTGTGTGTGTGTGTGTGTGTGTGTGTGTGTGTGTGTGTGTGTGTGTGTGTGTGTGTGTGTGTGTGTGTGTGTGTGTGTGTATAAAATATACAATAATATATGTACAAAAATAAATATATAATAATAATTCTGACTTCAACTATATATAATATATAAACTATATAATACTTATGTATGTATGTATGTATATATATATATATATATATATATATATATATATATATATATATATATATATATATATATATATATATATATATATATATTAGGGATGTTCGGAGCAGCCGGTATTTGTATTTGTTGAGGGGGGAAAAGTATTTGTATTTGTATTTGTATTCGAGTAAAATTCAAAATGGCGCAAAATATATATATTTTTTCTATTACACTTCTAATTTACGTTATAGTGAAAGTATTGTTTAATTATACACATTATATAAATTATAGATATGCAATATTGGCTGTTGTTTTTGAACATGTGATAAGAAATGTCATTGAAAAGAAAATAACATAGAAGCCATTATCTCATCCATGGTTAAACCAACAACTAATAAAATACCATTGTGAATATTATGAACCCCACTACCACCGTTCTTGTTGAAGGACACTGAATAGACTGAATAAAAACAAATAATACTTCAAAAAACTGTTCTTCTTCTGAAAGAACTTCTTTCCAATGGACAGAATTCCAAAAACTAATATTAACTTAATAAATCTTAATAAAACCCTGCCCGGGAGAACTGGCAGAACAAAAGTATTCTATATAATACTAAAAGATACAGGCCTAATATTGTCATCTGCCTGCCACAAAAAAGACACAAAGTTTGTTTGTTTGTTTTTTTTATGTTTGAAACTGACTTGCTGGGGCAGAATGTGGCTGTGTTGATTCTTTTAGGATGCTTTTAGTGCATGTGATAATACATTACATAGAAGGTTGCGCGGTGCTCTGTTCAGTGAGAAGCGCTCTCTATGGCAAGCCTTTTTAGCATTTAAATCTTTGTTCTGACTCCATAAATATATTAGAGATATCTCTAATTATATTTTGACTAGTCATAATTATAATTCCACTACTCAGAATGACAATTAGACATATCTGCAATTACAATTGTACTAGTACGAAATCAGATGAATTTTGACTAGTAACAATTGTAATTGATATCTCTGAGTTTTTACTAGTCATAATACATTTAGAGATGTCTTTAATTCATCATATTTAGAGATATTTACAAATATATTTGAAAATATCTCTAATTAATTCACTAAAAGTCTAATTACAGTTGTAGATATCTTGAATTGGATTTTTGACTAGTCAAAATTCATTTGGAGATATATCTAATTACAATTGTGACTAGTCAACTTATTTAGAGATATCTGCAAATATTTTTCAATGGAAGTCAATGGAGGAATATGACTAGTCTATCATAATATATTTGCAGATATTTCCAATCTGACTAGTCGAATTATAATTATGACAAGTCAAAATATAATTAGAGATATCTCTAAATATATTTATGGATAGTCTGAACAAGGTTTAAATGCTAAAACGGCTTGCCATACGCTCTCACCCAGTAGCACAGTGGAGAGTTCTCTAGTTATATCCTTTCAGTCGTTTGTTATGCAGTGACATGCAGTCAAATATTTCGCCAAACAGTCCTTAGGGATGCGGTGACACGCAGTCAGATATTTTACCGGACAGATCCGCCACTTTTGGCGCGCATAAACAATCATAAAGTGCTCGTGCTGCAGGAATGAGGAGGTCTGCTGAAGGCGCGCAGCTGACGTGCAGTGAGAGGTTTGCGTCTTTAATAAACTACGGCAGTTTGCGATCACTGAACAGTAAGAATGATTAATAAATCCATATGAAACAACCCCTTAAAAGTCACGTCTCGCTTTCAGTTTCGGGCTTTGGCGCGTTTTGCCTCTCTCTCTCTCTCTCTCTCTCTCTCTCTCTCTCACTCACTCACTCACGCGGGCATGCACCGTGGTCTCATGAGGAAACGCTGCTTTTTGATATAGTGTTTTTCTTGCTCCCGAATACAAATAATTTTTCAAGTATTTGTTCGAATCAAGGATTCGTAAAAACACGCTATTCGTGCCTTTCCGAATACCGTATTCGGGTTCGGCTCCACCCTTAATAAATATATATATATATATATATATATATATATATATATATATATATATATATATATATATATATATATATATATATATACATGCACATGCATAAATATCTGTAGACCTCCAAGACAGGATTGTCTCGAGGCACAAGGCTGGGAAGGTTACAGAAAAATGTCTGCTGCTGAAAGTTCCAATGAACACTGGAACCACCGGCCATCTAAGCTGAGTTGTTGGGGGAGAAGGGCCTTAGTCAGGGAGGTGATCAATAACCCGACAGTCACTCTGTCTGAACTCCAATGTTCTTCTGTGGAGAGAGGAGAACCTTACAGAAGGAAAACCATCTGTGCAGCAATCCAGCAATCAGGCCTGTATGGTAGAGTGGCCGGACGGTAGCCACTCCCCGCCTGAAATTTGTCAAAAGGCATCTGAAGGACTCTCAGACCATAAGAAACTAAATTCTCTGGTCTGATGAGATTAAAATTTAACTCTCTGGAGTGAATGCCAGGCATTACGTTTGGAAAAAACCAGGCACCACTCAACACCAGGCTAATACAATCCCTACTGTGAAGCATGTTCTATTAAACATCTCTGGATGCTCTCCATTTTGCAATAAGGCTGTAACGTAAAAAAAATGTGAAAAAACTGAAGCTCTATAAAAACTTTTCGCATGCACTGTAATGGACACATAAAATAACATATTTTATATTTTTAGTCTCAACATCAGGTATTTTTAAAAAACAATTCTGGAACTACAAATGTTCTACCGGTGCCCTTTGTTTTTCACTTAGTAACTGCATTCATTGATTTTTAATGAAACACACCTTCTGATTACACATCCATCCTCAACACTTAAGCTGCCTGCAGTCTGTTCTGACCTGTTGCGGTTGTATTTCCAGATTCGAGATTGAAATCGAGCCAATATTTGGATCACTGGCTCTGTATGATGTTAGAGAAAAGAAAAAGGTATGACTGTTTTCTTAACCTTTTGGTATAATTCCTGAAAAGCTTGTGGGTTCAAACTCTATACTGTAAAAAATCGTATGTGCTATTTCCTTTAAAAAAAATAATGGTAACAATATTGTACAAATTTTTTAAAGGAGTTTTCAAGACTTGATTTTTTAATAAGAAAAACTAGTTGGAAAATAAAATAAAAATTTAAAAGAAAATAACTCAATTTTTTGGAGTGATGGATTTTAAAGTTTTTAGTGGAATGTGCGTTTAAAATTCAAGCAAATAAATCACAATTTACTCATATTTAATAATTAAAATTACTCATTCATATCATTTAAAATATAGAATGTTTTAATCAAACAAATATACAATGCATTTTTGGCCAAACATCTTTTTATTGCATGTTCAACTGATAAAAATATACATACAATTTGTTGTAAAAGATCAAAAGTAAATGTAAATAGGCACACTTCCACTTTAGCTCTCAAAATGTTGTTTATATAACAACGTTTCAACCTACATGGTCTTCATCAGGTTAAAAAAGACAATTGGATAACTCAAGAAATAGTTAAACACATCACAGCTGTATGCATCACACCTACAAGCAATAATCACTGCAATCAACCAACAAGCCAGTAAACAAACACACACACTAACATGCAACAGAATACATATGGCAATATGAGATGCATACATACAATTACAAAAATAGCTATTTCAAATAAAAATCCTAATTTAAACTTCCTCGGAGACAAAGTATTCAGTGTATAAATATAACGCATCACACCTGCAACAAATAAACACCAATCAAATAAACATCAATCAACCAACAGGACAATTATGCTGTACTCACACTAGAGTTTGTGCATGCAAAATTCTGTAGTACGACGCTGCGAAAAGGGGCAGTAGTAAACAAGATTGTTAGACATTAAAAAAGCGAACGTTAATGTTTTAAATTTCTGTAGAGGGGTCATGTTTTGGTTTCGGTTGGTCTCACGCAATCATGTAATGTGATTTCGCAAGTCAGAGTTCACCAAGCTTAAACTTTTCAATGTAGCGAACTGCGAAGTCTATGGGGCGTAAAGTGCAGTGTGACTGCTAGACGCGGATATAACTGAGGGCGCGAGAGGTGAGGGTAGTGTCGGGGACGCTGCCCTCTCTATTATGCCGCCCTAGGTGGCTGCCTAGGTCGCCTCTATGGACGCGCTGGCCCTGGATACATGCATACAATTCTGAAAAAAGATTTCAAATCAAAATCCAATTTTAAAGCTCTCTTAGAAAAAGTATTCAATGTGTAAATGTAAAATGCTTTCCTCTGCAATAAAAGTATTTCAATATCCCCACCCTTTCTCGGAACCTTCACTTGTTTAATGACAATATATCGTAATGTCGAAAGGTTATGTTTCAATGCATTCAAATCTTTGTTGTAATAGCACATATGCATGGCAGCAAGGTGGCGCAGTGGGTAGCACAATTGCTTCACAGCAAGAAGGTTGCTGGTTCAAGCCCCGACTGGCTCAGTTGGCGTTTCTGTGTGGAGTTTGCATATACTTCTCGTGTTTGCATGGGTTTCCTTCGGGTGCTCCGGTTTCCCCCACAAGTCCAAAGACATGTGGTATAGGTGAACTTGGTAAGCTAAATTGTCTGTAGTGTATGTGTGTGAATGAGTGTGCATGGATGTTTCCCAGTGATGGGTTGCAGCTGGAAGGGCATCTGCTGCATAAAACATATGCTGGATAAACTGGCAGTTCATTCTGCTGTGGCAACCCCAGATTGATAAAGGGACTAAGATGAAAAGAAAATGAATAAATGAATATATATGCATCTCCTTTTGCCAAAAGTGCTAAATGTTAAGTTCTGTCATTTTTTACTCTGTTCGTATACAAATTTTCTTTTGTAGGAAGTAGAAATGGTCATGTTTTAGGCAAAATCTGACAGAATCTGTGTATTGCCTAACATATAAAACCAGTACATTATATAAAAGCTGTATCTCAATATATTTGGAACACAATCAATCAATCAATCAATGCAGTGAAATTTCACTAGAAGTGGATTTGTGCCTAAAAATTGCACTGGTTTGCTTAAAGAAATAAGTCAAATTTATCTGTTGGTTTTATAATTTTCTCAATATTTAATAATAAATCCAGACTATAATTATTTTAAGAAATATGCACATTATTTTTAATGATCACTTCAATTCTTTTAATAAAAAATACCAGCCTCAAGGTTCATTTTTTACAATGTATGATAAATTGCAGGTTCACGAATACAGGCATCATTGATCTGAAAAATAAATTTCTATCTTCCTTTACTCATCGTCCACTTGTTCCAAACCTGTTTGAGTTTTTTTCTTCTGCACAAAAGAAGATATTTTGAAGTATGCTGAAAACCTGTAACCACTGACTTCCATAGTATAGTATTTGTTTTCCTACTATGAAAGTCAATGGTTACAGTTTTCTAGCATTCTTCAAAATATCTTCTTTTGGGTTTAACAGATGAAAAAACTGGTTTGGAAGTCATGGGTGTGTAAATGATGACAGAATTGTTATTTTTGGGTGAATTATCCCTTTAAACGTTGAGCTCATTCGTATCCAGTATCACTTTCATCAATGCTCTGTTCTTCTCTCAGATCTCTGAGGATTTCCACTTTGACCTGAACTCAGATCAGATGAAGGGCTTGCTCCGACCACACAACCCCCATGTAGCCATCTCCACCCTGGCCCGATCCGCCATCTTCTCCATTACATACCCGTCTCCTGAAATCTTCCTGGTCATCAAGGTACGGCCAGCAGGAGGCGCAACACCAAGTGTGCAGAAGGCCAGAGTGCAACAAGAGTGACTCCCGGTCATACGGGTGATTTACACTTCCGTGTAAAATGGGTCATTTATTCATTACCGATATGTTGTATAAGAAGCTGAATCAACCTATTACTATATACTCTACCATTCAAAGATAAGGTTTTACAAAAGAATTCATGTAGCAGGATCAAAACTGACCCTGATATTTTGCTTTTTGAAAAGAATATATATATATATATATATATACATATATATATATATATATATATATATATATATATATATATATATATATATATATATAAATAAATGTTGTTCTTATAACTTGTTCTTTATAACTAAAATTTCTATATTTATCATTGAATTGTAGAGTATACAAATGTGTTATCCAAGAGACTGTCAGAACTTTAGAGTAGCTGGGTTATGCAAAAAGACCTAAATAATACAAACTGAAGAAAGTCTGAAAAGAAAAAAAAATGTTTGTTTGTTTTTTTCGGGGAAAATATGAGCCCGGACCACCGGGTTTACACCCCTACTCTTTTACGAGAAGTGCCATGGGGTTTTTATTACCGTAGAGAGTCAGGACCTCAGTTTAACATCTCACACAAAAGGCCACGCTCACTGACAGTATAGTGTCCCCTTTCCTATACTGGGGCATTAGGACTCACACAGACCACAGGTTGAGCGCCCCCTGTTGGCCTCACTAACACCACTTCCAACAGCAACCAAATTTTGCCCTGTGGTCTCCCATCCAGGTTCTGACCAGGCTCAGCCCTGTTAAGCTCAGTGAGTTACTGGTCTTGGGCTGCAGGGTGATATGGCTGTAGCTGTATGAGTAGACATTACATTACAAAAGCTTTATTTGCTTGGTAATTTATATGTAAATAAGATATAGTTTTTCTAATATTAACTAACACTTCAGAATTATTTTAATATATAATATAAATATGATTCAAAATCTTAATAAAACCCAACCATCTTCTTGACTCTGAAAACACAAACTAACTGTATTTAAAGGCTTCTATGGGCTTTCCAAAATTTGTAATAAGCTGAAACTAATTTGTCTGGAAGGAGTTTAAGTAAATAAATAAATATTTTTTATATATATTTTTACTCTCGCTGTTGATCAGCTTATTTACTTAATATAAAAAATATTAGAGAAATATTAAAAATATTAAAAACAAATGTTTTAATAAGTTACACCTATCTGAAATTGGTATTCACAAAGTTAATATGCAGAAAATCTGGTCACATTATTTTGATGATCTGTTTGTTGAATTTAAGTTACATTGCATCTACATGCCAACTAAATCATTAGATTATAAGTAGACTGCTAGGTTAGGGTTAGTGTAAGTTGACATGTACTTGCACAGTTTCTTATAGCCAGTTAAATGTCTGTTACAGTAGCAGTATCAACAGATATTAAGCAGACAGTCTACTAATACTCAAATGAAACATCAAAATAAAGCGTTACTGAATATCTGTTTTTAACACTGATACATATTTGTTCAGCCCCAAATGAGCATATTAGGATGACTTGTAAATAATCATATTACAATCATTGGGTCAGTCTTATTTTTGAGTTGTGCTGTATATGTGTTTCAGCTGGAGAAAGTCCTTCAGCAGGGAGATATTGGTGAATGCTGTGAGCCGTACATGGTCATGAAGGAGTCCGACTCCATTAAGGTACTCGTGTCCATTCGCATGGCAGTTTTTCATGACTATCTAATCAGATACACTTGGCATAATTATGCTATCCTCTTTCTCAACTTGATCTGGACTTCTGCAATATTTGCCATTCTTCTCCAATATGAGCAAGGTCCAGTAGATGCTGGAGGCTGTGACTGTCACAGGTCTGCTGCCAAGTTGCTATTTTGGCTTGTTTGAAATGGCATGATAAATGCTGCTCACTCATTACCTTTACACGACATTGTGTAACCAGCCAGATTGGGTTTTCATGTATAAATATCCATTTGTCTGTGTGTTTGTAAATGCAGCATAAAGAGAAGCTGGAGAAGTTGAGGGCTCAGGCCGAGCAGATGTGCTCCAGGCTGGGTGGATTTCGCATGCCCTTTGCCTGGACTGCAATTCATTTACTGAACATTGTCAGCAGCGTTGGAGGCCTGGACCGCTCCGATTCAGACTCAGACACGGGTATTAAGCAAACTCAAAACACTTACTTGGTTTTTTGCATTCCTATTATAACCCGGTATCTTGAAAATGTCCATGAAGTAACACTCAGACACACACACAGGGGCTTGGCAATGTATACACATCTTATATCTGCATTTCTTGACCTTTTCACGGTATTTAATAAATGGGCTTCATCATTTTCAGTCACTTTGATGCAGAAATGCATTCTCAAGCTTCAATGTTCTTTATTTGCTGCATATTACATGTGAATGAAATTTCCTTAATTTTATGCCCTTGCAAACAGAAGAAACAATAAATTAAGCCTAAATACAGGCTTAATAAAATATAGTAATTTATTTAGAAATAGGATGTGAGCAACATCCAATATAGTAGGTAAATAAAACAAAAAATAATAATTTGAGTTTTGCATTCTGAAACATAGCTGATTATTATTTATTTTAGTACTGTCTAATGAATAATCGGGATTAATCGCATCTAAAAAAAATGTAATCGCTACATAATGTTTGTACTCACTGTGTATGCATATTGTGTGTATATATAGATAAAAATATACAAAATACAGAACATTACAGAACCAAAATATTTCCATACATATCTGTAATTTGTATTAGATATTAATATTTAACTTATAAATATAAATTTAAACACATTATACATACACACACACACACACACACACACACATTTATACATATTTATACATACATACAGTTTAAGTCTGAATTATTAACCCCCCTGTTTATTTTTTCTACAATGTGTGTTTAACAGAGGGAAGATTTTTTTTCTACAGATTTCTAAACATAATAGTTTAACTCATTTCTTATAACTGATTTATTTTATCTTTGTCATGAAGACAGTAAATAATATTTGACTAGATATTTTTAAAGACACTTCTATACAGCTTATATAAGTGACATTTAAAGGCTAAACTAGGTTAATTATGTTAACTAGGCAGGTTAGGGTTATTAGGCAATTTATAGTGTAATGATGGTTTGTTCTGTGGAATATCGAAAATATATTTAGCTTAAAGGGGCTTATAATTTTAATTTTAAAATGTTGTTAAAAAAATTAAAACTGCTTTTATTCCAAATGAAATAAAACAAATAAAACTTTCTCCAGAAGAAAAAATATTATCAGACATACTGTGAAATTTATTTGCTTTGTTAAACATCATTTGGGAAATATTTTTAAAAGAAATAAAGATTCAAAGGGGGGCAAATAATTCTGACTTTAACTGTATGTTTAACGATTGTTCTGTAGACAATCAAAAAATATATATTTTAAAGGGGCAAATAATATTGATGTTTTTTAAAATATTAAAAAACAGCTTTTATTCTAGCTGAAATAAGACTTACTCAAGAGGAAAAAATATTATCAGACGTTCTGTAAAAATGTCCTTGTTCTGTCAAACATCATTTGGGAAATATAAAAAAATGAAAAGGGGGTTTTATACTTCTGATTGCAACTGTATATAGCAGGAAAAATAAATATTGAACACGTCATGTTTTCCCCGGGAAAAATATTTCTTAAGGAGCTGTTGACATGGAATTGATATGTTTGATGTGGATATGATTGGTAAAAACCCAAACAATACAAATATAAAAAAAACATAAACAAAAAAATCTGAAAAAAATAGTTATGTGTAATAACAATGGTATGACACAAGGAGAAAGTACTGAACTAGTGAAATGTATTTAATACTTTATATAAAAAGCTTTTTTGGTGATGGCAGCTTAAAGACAGCTCTCATATGACGAATGAAGTCACATGAATTGCTCAGCTGTGAGTTTTTCCACAGACTTCAACAGAGTGCAAAAATGGTTTTGTGAGTCTCGTCTCTCAAATCTTTATTTTGTATTCGCTATTGGTTTGAAGTCAGGTGATTGGCTGGGCCATTCTACAGCTTGATTTTCTGTCTCTGAAAGCATTTGAGAGTTTCCTTGGCTGTGTTTTGGATTATTGTCTTACTGAAATGTCCACCCTGGTTTCATCTTCATCATACTGGTAAATGTAGATGTTGAACTGAAGCAGTGAATATTTATTTACAGTGACGAAGGGCAGAGGGTTGCTGAAGAACTACAGAGAGATTTCAGCTACTGTCTGGGCTTTCACGGCCTATCTACACCTCCTTCTCTTTATGTGTTCAATACTTTTTCCCTGAATCATTTCATTTCATTACACATAACTTAATTTGTAAACTCCTTAGTTTAGTTTTCTTTGCATAAATGTTTTTTTATTATTAGTACCAACATCTGGTGAAAATTTTAAGTCAACAGCACCTTCAGAAATATGTTTTCTGAGAAAAATGGTGACGTGTCTTGTTTTCCCTGCTTATATACACAGAATAAATAGTAAAGCACAGTATACATATACTTATTATGCATATATATATATATATATATATATATATATATATATATATATATATATATATATAATTTATTTTTTGTAAATACTGTCTTTATGTATGTGATTAGTCTTTTGACAGCACTAATTGATTGCTATTATATCTATTTTAATAGTAGTTCTGATAATAGCATGTTTACAAATTGGATGTTCGTAACAAAGTGGCCGTAGGTCCTTTCGATACAAAGCACCTTCCGACTGGAACAATCTCCCTTCCTTTTTTAGATCAATTAAATCACTTCGTCTTTTCAGGGCTAATTTATTTTCTCTTCTGGAAACAACTTGCGAATGTTATTAATATTGGCTCCAAATTAAATGTTTATTATTTATTTGTATATCAAATTGTTTGTACTTTTGATTATAGGTTTTTGCTTATTTTGGCTTCAGATTGTGGGAAGTGTTTCAGGTGGAGTGTGCTGCTTGTTTGATTGTTTGTTTGTCTTGTCAAATGTATTTACGTTGTGATGTGTTGTACTCTGTTTGATTTATGAACTTTTTAGGGACCCCCTCGAAAATGAGATGATTAATTTCATGGGGCTATCCCATTCAATAAATTAAATTCAATTCCTGCAACAATTTAATAAACATAGCTGATATAAATAACTTTCTTGTTAGTCAAAATATTGTTTGTTTTATTTCACCTACCAATATTTTTCACCAAAGCTTTTTTATCATCATAAGTGGTGTTTCATTGCTAAATGAATCTTTTCAACAAATTCAGAAAAATGATTCAGTACCCACTCCATAAATTCATAAAACGGTTCTCTAGCTGAAACATCATTCTGTCATTCCCTTCAGAGCGAAAGGGGACGTGGAATGAGAGGAAGAAGAAGGGATTTGAAAGGATGAGTGTAGGAGAGGACATGTGCAACTTCACGAACTTCCGTCCGGCCACTCTCACAGTCACCAACTTTTTTAAACAGGTCTGTTCTCAGATTGTGTGTGTGTGTGTGCGCGCATCTCTGGTGTTAGCGGGATGTGTTGTTTAATGCTGTGTGTTTGTGCGGTGCTGCAGGAAGGGGACAGACTGAGTGATGAAGACTTATATAAGTTTCTGGCAGACATGAGGAGGCCGTCATCAGTGCTGCGTCGACTCAGGCCTGTGACAGGTATCTGTCCACACTTATTCTTACATCATCTCTTTTATTATTTAGCCGCTTTCTCACTGTGTGTGTGTGTGTGCGTGCTTGCGTCTGTGTGTGCGCGTGCGTGTGGCGTGTGTGTGTGTGTGTGTGTGTGTGTGGCGTGTGTGTGTGTGTGTGTGTGTGTGTGTGTGTGTGTGTGTGTGTGTGTGTGTGTGTGTAGCTCAGCTAAAGATAGACATCTCTCCGGCTCCTGAGGCCCCACACTACTGTCTGTCTCCAGAGCTGCTTCATGTCAAGCCTTACCCCGATCCCCGTGTGCGTCCCACTAAAGAAGTGCTGGAGTTTCCCGCTCGCTACGTCTACACCCCTCACACTACATACAGGTCAGTCCATGCACATTCAAAACTGATCAAGCTACGTTGAGAAAAAGCAATATATAATGTATTGATGTATGTCATCTGATCCAGCAAAATGAGTTACAGTGACGCTAATTTAAAATGATGGTGCCTTCTTTGAAATGATATCCTATTCAGATTCATGCCTTGCGTGAAATTGAAAAAATGGCCATTTGAATTACGGTTATCTGCCCTGTTTTTCCAAGTAAAAACCTGATAATGTCACTAGAAAAGTTTTTTGGTTGTTTTTTGGTGCAAATCTATTGCTTTTAAAGGGATAAACTTTTTTTTTGCAGCCTAACTTGTACATATATACAAATGCTATTCAGCCAGACTGAAGGTCAAATTAATTAGTTTTTATTTAAAGAAATATTTAAAAAGACACCATTATAAACATACTAAATTCAGAAAGGTTAAACAGAGGTGCTACTTTTTAAATAATTTATAACGGCGATGCCAACTGTTATAAATATTGGGTTAAAATGAATCTTGTATTCGGTGAGAGAGACCATAGACAGACCTCATAAAAACATCGTCATTTAATGACAGAAAACAGGGTTGAATGTTTTTTTTTTTTTTTTTTCACATTATTGGTCTGTATCCTAAAATAGAATGTGCGACTTTTACCAGATCGGGTGGCATATACTAAATATAATATTATGAAGGGTTATACAATGTCTCTTTTTATAATTTATAATAGATGTTTCTGGCGTCCTCAGAATGTGAAGATAAGTCTTAGATCAAAATACACCACAACATGCCACTTTTTGGGAAATGAGTAGAAAACAATTTTTATTTATACTAGGGCTGTCAAATGATTAAAAAATATACGTAATTAATCCCACTTTTTTGTAATTAATCATGATTAATCACAAAACACCATATTTATTATAGAAATAAAAACACAGACATGTAAGTGCCATTTGAATTTCAAAACAATCAATGCCAATTACAAACAAAAATAATTTCCATGTTGGATTCTAGGTGGATCACACACACACACACACACACACACACACACACACACACACACACACACACACACACACACAGACAACGAGCAGAGTGCAGCGCACACAGTAAACAAAGGATCCCTTCAGATTCATCCACGCGCACAATCGCGTTTATCAAATTTGCTTAAACTAAGCATTCGTAAGGATGGCTGTATTTCACAAGCAAGGATTCTGACACAGCAACGCGAAGCAGACACTTTACAAAAGTTGTGTGTAGGGGGAAAAATGTCAAACTTATGAAATGTGAGGGCTAATGAAACAGCTTAGACGCAGAGAATATGGCTGTCTTTGACAGCTTGCGACTTCCATCTACCATTTTCACTGAGTACTTTTACATGGACATCACTACTCCGCTTTAATGATTAAGATTATACTGATTAAGAGTCTACCATGTAAGCAGCGATTTTTGATTACCTTAAAGGATCACGCGAGTCCTGAAATGCGGAGGTTTTTCTTTCCGTTCGCCATGCGGTATCAAATTCCATTTAAACATCCTGAATGAAATTATGCTGAATGAGAGTGAACTGCTGAACTGCAGTTAAAGTCTTAAGATTAAAAATGAAACACCCGTGAAACATCGTCCCCATGAAACTCTTGAGAAAACGCAAATCAGCCTGGTGATGCCATATTAATTGTTTTATACTGCAACGTTCCTTCTAAAAGCGCGTCTTTGATCTTATTAAAATTTCTTTGCATGTTAAACACACGCAGGGCCAGAGCAAGCTGAACTGGTGCTCTAGACAAACAGCAATCACGCTCCCCTTAACCCGAAGGGTTCGCGTATAAAAGTAAGGACCGTGAGGGAGGGGGTTGGTGTTGCGGATGAAAAGTGAGGGCTGGGGGGTTCGCTCACTATTCTGCTGCCCAAGGCGGCCGCCTAGGTCGCCTCTATGCACGTGCCGTCCCTGAACACACGTCGGCCACAACAGGAAATAAAAAAAACTGCAACTGCGTTATTTGCGTTATTTTTTTAACGCATTAAATATTTCAAATTAATCACATGCGTTAACGCGCTAATTTTGACAGCCCTATTTTATACCTTTAAATGCAACAGCAAATGAGAAAACTTGTTAAAAGAGATGCATGTAAATCTGAAATGTAACTATTTAGCTTTCGTTTCAGTATCATTTCAGAATGTTGGAGTAACAATCTGTAAATTTAGTATCACAGGAATTAATGACATTTTAAATATATATTCCACAAGAACATGGTTTAGATCTATATTTAGATATTGCAGCCTTGGTGAGCAGAAGGGACTTCAGAAACTGGTAAACGATCAAATAGACTCACAGTACTTTGTATTTCAAATCAGTATGCAGAGTCTTTGTTTGGAAAATAGCAACTTTTATATTGCATACAATATAAAGGGTGAGAATGATGGATGGACAGGTGGATTGATTGATTGATTAATTGATTGATTGATTGATTGATTGACCCAATTTTTAAAATGAATATTTTTATTCATTTATCAGTGAATATAGGCATATTTTGGTTCATATACTGCAAAAATAACATAAAAGTCTGAACAAGCAGCGGTTTTGCTACTTAAACTTATTTTAATATGTTAATCAGGTTTGAACCATTTTTAAGTGATACAGTTTAACTTCATATTTTTAGTCAGCTTGATTGATATAAGTTCAAATGACTTGAAAACTTCATTTGATTCAACTAAAAAAAATGAAGGAAGCAAGAATTTAAATGTTTGGTCACCAAACATCTTTAGAAATTACATTATTTAATACATCTAAATTCAGGTGAAATATTGCACAAAAAATGACATACTGCAAAATGTTTAATACTAATATATATATATATATATATATATATATATATATATATATATATATTTTCCTTTTTTTTTTTTAATAATATTTTTCCCTAACATATAAATTTGGGTGAACTGATTTGTTGACTGTTATCATTAGTTATTTTGTTAGATTAGCTCCAGGTTTGGCTGCAGTGCTGACTTATAGAAAATATTCATTTAAAAGATAGATTTGAAAGGGGTGTAAGCATATATGCTTAGCCCTATATCTTTGGTTGATTATCAGCCTTATTTTATTGAATGTTATTGCATTGTAATCAAATTTGCCCACCCATACAGCCTTGGTTACATCAGTACATTTTAAAACATATATATTTGACTTTTTGTGTGTGAGTAAAAATAAATATATATGTATTGTACTTAGAAAAACACAGATTTTTATTCTGTTAATAAATAAAGTTTACACTATAACAGTATTGATTTCTTAACACAACAGTTACATTTTTTCAGTTATAAGTTATTATATTTCAGTATTTCAGTATAAGTTACTAACAACAAACCCAAACAAATATAATGATCATTATGTATAAAATGGTACAATGTAGCTTTATATTTGACAAATGGTGTCTGTGATTGGGAATTTTATGTTTTAGAGATTCTCTTCTGCTGATGTTTCTGAAAGAGACCCAACTTGTGTGAAAAACAATCATCATTGTCATCGGTGTTATATTTCTGAGATCCATCTGCAGTGCCGGGAATGGAGTGTTGATCAGGATTGTGCTTCTTCCTCATAGCTGATTTTAGTGGTCACACCATATTCTGAAATGACAAACAAGACACTGACGTGAAACAATGTTTTTCCAGGTGATCACATGTTTACTCGCAACTACACTCCTAACTCTGCACTCATAAGACTCACCAGTTTCTGTAAATCAGACATCTGCTGGTTTTGATTCTGCAATTTGAGTTTCTGTTCTTGTGTCCACTTCATCAAGTCCTCCCTGATAAAGATATTTTTAAGTGGTTTGCCCTGTTGGGAGATGATTTGTTTAATTCCTGGTAATACTGTAGAGTGTGTGAGTAGTCAGTAGTATGCAGTCTGCAGTACCTTGAAGGTGTCTGAGACGGAGCTGTTCAGGTTTTCCTCCATGCTGTGGAGTTTTTTCTTCAGCTGTGCCTCTTCCAGCTCTACCCTGGTGACTTTACCTCTGTTCTCTTGGACCTGAATCTGCAGCGCTTTCGTCTGAGCCTGCAAACAGACCAGCTGTTCACTACACCAGCCAAACTCTATTTGAATCCTTGTATAACTCCATTTGAATATGTATATATATATGTATGTATATGTATGTATATATGTATATATATATACATACACACACACACACACACACATTACCAGTGAAAAGTTTGGGGTTAGTATGGTTTTTAAATGTTTTAAAGCTAACTTATCCTGCTCACCAATGCTGCAGTCATTTAAAAAAATACTGTAAAAATTGTGAAACGTTATTGCACTAAAAATAATAAAAATTAGTTAAAAATCAGTTTATAATTTAATTTAATAATTAATTCCAGTGATTTTAAAGATTAAATTTCAGCTTCATTACTCCAGTCTTCTGAGTCATGTGATCCTCCAGAAATCACTCTAATATGAATTAATAATATTATTATTAATAGTAATAAAAGCAATAATGACTGGAGCAATAATTTCATTTGAAACTACATAGAATAAGAAAGCAGTTAATTAAAATTTTAATAAATATTTAACAATTTACCTTTTTCCTTTTTTCTTTTTTACATTTAACAAATGCTGTCTTGATGAACGGAATAATTTTACTTAAAAAAAAACATGAAAACAAAAAAAGACACCCCAAACCGATAGTGTATGTTTATAAATATATGTACATACATACATACACACACACACACACACACACATATATATATATATATATATATATATATATATATATATATATATATATATATATATATATATATATATATATATATGTATATAGTTGATGGATGGATTACCCATTGATTTACCATTGATTATTTTTCATTTTTTATCGTCTATCGAATGTAATGTAATGTGTATATACACCTAGATATTAGATCATATGTCTCAAACTGGACTCTTGGAGGGCTGCAGCTCTTCACAGTTTTGCTCTAACCCTAATCAAACACAGCTGATATAATTAATCAAGGTGTTCGAGACTACTAGAGACTTTTAAGCAGGTGTGAGTTGGAGGTGGTTGAAGCTAAACTATGCAGAGCTGCTGCCCTCTAGGAATTGAGTTTGAGACCATTTAATTAAGAGTCATCTCTTTTCCTTGCCTTGAGAAGTAGAAAGTGCTTAACCCACTCTTTACAGATTTTATGATTCTTAGACAAACATTTTTGCACATTTTAAGTGACATTTTTAAAAACTTCTAATAATCAGGTGGTCATTTAAATGGTGGATTTGATTATTTCAGTACTGTATGTCCTGATTTAGCTTACCTTGATGAGCTGAAGCTTCTCTTTGATCTGTTGTTTGGTTTGTGCCGCGGCCTCTGTGTCGTAGCCTAGTTTCTTCACCTCGCTCTCAGTTCGGCTCACGGCTGTCATGACGCGGGCCAGTCTGGCCTCTGTGCTCTGGTACATGTGGTGCAGGGATTCACTAAACTGCAGCACGCCATACATCAGGATGTTCACTTCATCCTTGGACACCAGGTTTTCTCCAGCTTGACCAGTCTTCAGCGGGGACGTAAAGGCACTGTTTGAACACAGAGTTACGAACAGCAGAGATAAAACTGCCCGCATCTTGTCCTCTTTCTCAGAAACTCTGACCGTGAGTGATGATTCGGTGTGCGCACTCTGCAAAAGGGTTCTTCTTTTTATAACCAGGGACAGGGCATGTTGGACATTGGGAAATCAGCTGAGGTACAACCTATCAGAGCTGGGCTTATAGCTCTATGAGAGAGAGAGAGAGAGAGACCTTGACTCTTATGTTGGCCAGACAGATGTTTAGTGGTATTGAACCAGGGACGTGCTGAGCAGTCAGTCTGCCAGTTCACCATTCTCCTTTAACCTCAGAGCTGCTCCAGCATCCAGTGAACCTTCTGACACGCTGGAAACTGTGCCATTTTTGAGCCACATAAATAAGATATGCAAACAGATGCTGTGTTATGTTATGCAAATATGATTCTTACTTTCACTGGTGCAGTAAGAGATATGGGGCTTGTATGTTCATGCTGGGGCCACATGTTTAGTGTTTGATTTGGGATAAGGTGAAGTACCTTTCATGTCTGTTTTTGTGAATGTTCTTCAAACATACATAGTAGATGTGTGTCATGGTGCTACTCCTTTAGAAAAATGTGGTTCAAATGCTGTGTGTCAGTCTGAATTACATAATAGTAGCTCTGAACAGAAACCGTTTCTATTACCTGTGTGTAAATATGATTATTTAGATTCATTCATTCATTTTCTTGTCGGCTTAGTCCCCTTATTAATCTGGGGTCAACACAGCGGAATGAACCGCCAACTTATCCAGCAAGTTTTTACGCAGCGGATGCACTTCCAGCCGCAACCAATTTATGGTAAACATCCACACACACATTCACACACTCATACACTGTGGACAATTTAGCCTACCTAATTCACCTGTACCGCATGTTTTTGGACTGTGGGGGAAATCGGAGCACCCGGAGGAAACCCACACGAACACAGAAACGCCAACTGAGCCGAGGATCGAACCAGCAACCTAGCGACAGCACTACCTACTGCGCCTCTGCTTCGCCCATTATTTAGATTAGGAATTGAAATTTTAGCATTTTTATTAGCGATTGTGAACTTGACAGTTTAAGATTTAAAACATAATATTTAATTTCTTTTTGATTATTGTAAACTTAACAATTTTATTAGAAATTTAAACTTGAGCTTTTGCTTTACTTATATATTTCTCTCTTCCTAAAATTTTCTACAAGCCATCTGTTACTACTGTTTAGTGTTTACTGCTTGGTCTCAGGATATCAGTGTAGATATACAGTCTTTATAGTCTGACCAAATTTTGGACACAATTACATTCTCCTCAAAAAATCTAAATGTGTCATCCAAATGTGTAAACACCATGTTCAATATAAAATTATACCAGAAATCGTGTATAACATCGTTAGCATGGCGACACTGGACATGGTTCGTTTTACTAGAGAATTGTTGTATGAAGCATAGTAACACTGAAATCTGTTTAAGTGTAACGAGACTGCTAAAGCAATTGCTGATGAGGGACAACAGAGAAGCGATAGTAAAGCAGCAGAGCTCTGTTCCACTCGTAATTACATTTAGAAGAATCAGCGCTGTATTTATTCACAATTATTTATTGTGCTTCGGCTTAGTGCCTGATTTATCAGGGGTCACCACAATTAAATGAACCACCAACTACTCTGGCATATGGCTTTCTATCCACAGCCCAGCATAGTCCGTTTTACTTGTTAAAGCCCCCCCCCCCTTTCGGTTTAAGTCTACTTCAGTTTTTTTTTTTTCAAAGAATGCTTCATGATGGGCGTGGAGCTCTGTGGAGTGAGCGTGGCCAGCAGAGCAGGTGAATAAAAGAGGAGTAAACAACTGTCATCTGGCTCACAAAATGATACAACTGTGAGGAGACCCCTGATGTTTTTAGCTTGCAAAGTTAAGATGCAAAGACATAATCAGTAGTTTAATGTCCTGCTACATTTGTTATTTGTAATTTCATATACACAAAGGCACAATTTGTTACATCATCATAAAGATAATTGTTTATATAAACACTAAAAATGAAAAGGACTTCTCTCCTCCCTCCTGAATCCCCAGCTTTGAATGCTGACACAGTGAAGCAGTGCAGCAGGTCTCTTTCCCAATGAATTCCAACCATTAGCCCTGCCCTGCCGATAATCTGGAGGATTTTAAACATAGGCAAACACAGCAGCATGGGTATAGGCGATTGTGTCTCAATGGTAACAAATCAACTAATAAAGGACAAAGTCTGCCATTTTCTTTTTCTTGTATAGGTCTCCCGAGAAAAATGTTTGCTGCAAACCAACAGACCCTTAAAGCATCATGGGAAAAAACATGCAACAAACCCTTCATGAATGGCTAAATTCTGCATGCTGTGCGTGGACATGGTATCACAGTTTGGCAGGTCTGCCTTGCCTTCGGAAAGCACGTGCAGTCATGAAAAATTAAGAAGCAGATGCTTCTCATTGTACAGGAAAACTCTTTGAATAATACACTATGAATAATAATGAGAAACTAACATGTCATCTCTGGACAGGCAGATCGGTGCTACATCACCAATTTTGATCCCACACCAAAAATTATTTTAAACCCTAAAGCTGACAAAAGCTCAAAATTATCCAGTTTTTCCCACAATTTAAGCTAACCGGTTCTAACATTGTCTTAATTAATGCTCAACACACAAAAATCTGTTAAAATCTAATAAAAAAAAAAAAATTTACTCTAGAGATTCTTGAACATTTAGTATTGCTTATTTCTCTGAATTTGAACATTCTTCAAAACATTTTGGGTAATGTACGTACGCAAGTTTTTTGTTTTTTATTTATGATGAAATCTTACATATTGTGACTTTGTGTTGCTAGTTTTAACCATTTACACCTAGAATTTACATTCAGCCAATTTTTAAGTTCAATTGTTTTTGTTTAGCACTCTTGAAAGTCACTCAGTATGACCTCAGTATTGTTAAAAAAATGTTGCTTCTAAAGATAGCGTTGCTATGTCTTTTTTTTTTGTTGCTGAAATGGGGACACTTTCATTACCCAGTGCAAATTTGGTTGCAAAACTGGCCAAACAGAAATGCCTTTCTCTCGAAGCCCCTTTAGTGTCTGCATACACTCTATTGCCCTCAAAAATGAAGTACATGCCTGAGTGCGCAACACTTTGTTGAGTGAAGAAAGTTGTATTTATCCAGAAAAGTGAAAGAAGTGAAGAAAAACTAAAATTACTATCAATTTCATTGTCTTTGCTAAAAAGAACTCAATGTAATATTTTGGAACCTGTAAATGTGCATAATATACAGGGCTCTCCTAAATCATTGCTGTTCTAATGGAGATGAGATCTTTGTTTCACCTTCATTTCATTCTCCCTCTCCTGCTTAGGAACTTGCTGTACGTTTACCCTCAGTCCGTGAACTTCAGCAGCCGGCAGGGTTCGGTGAGGAACATTGCTGTGAAGGTGCAGTTCATGGCAGGAGAGGATCCCAGTCAGGCCATGCCGGTGAGTCACAGATTACACTGTCACAGCACATATTCTAAGCTTCTCAGACAAAAGAAAAGCACTTGGGATTATGCAAGCGCATTTGATATGATGATCTAATCACTTAGACAAACTAATTGTGAACAATAAAGCCCTCCAGATGTGTGCCAAGAGTATGACAGCTCCTCCCTAAAACACATTGATCCAAAAACAAACTGCTTACATTAGTCACTCGAACCACACTCCGTCGCCAGATGTATTAAACGGAACAATACATCGTTTTATGGTGTACATTGTCTCTAGAAATTTCTTAATATGGTTTTGTCAGAATTTATTTAGCTATTTTGATCATTTTAAATAATAAACAAAACATTAAAATTTAGATGAACACTGCATAATTTTTTTAAAAGGGCTCACTTTTTTAAGTCTCAAATCAGTGTTTCTCAACCATGTTACTGGAGGACCACCTGCTCGGCACATTTTCCATGGCTGCGTCCAAAATCACATATACTTCCAAACTATATAGTACGCTAAAAACAGTATTCAAGTCGAGCAGTATGTTAATATAGTGCTATACATTTATTAAATGTAAAAAGATTTGTATTACATATAAAGATGTATTATAGCTTATATAGTACATATTAACTTGCTATTGTTTCTTTCAGTGTTATGAATCCATTATATAAGTTAAACCTATTGTGTACTAATTATATACTTATATTGTGTGAACAATATAAATAAAAATATGTTGATGGCGAGGTCTGAGAAGACAATAATAACATTAACATCCATCTTAACCGTATATGGTTTGCCCCTGCCTAGATCGTGTTTGATGGATTGTGTGTGCTGAAACGTGTGTGGGTCTGCAGCTTAATATTCCTTTCAGCTAGATTCTGAAATGTGCATCTGATGGACATTTCGCGAAGCAAAGCCACTAACGGATGTAGTGCGTCTGAGTTTCACTCATCATGTGCACATTCATACTATGTAGAGCGTACTTTACTAATGGTCGAGTAGTACGTTTAAATTTAAATTACATTTTTGGATGCACCCATGTTTGCTTAATCAAACACACCTGATTCAGATCATCAGCTCATTAGCAGAGACTGAATGACCTGTAATGGAGACATGACATTCAACACATGCAGTGTTGTTGGTCCTTTAGGAATGTGGTTGAGAAACACTGTCCTGAAGTTAAACAATAGACTTGTAGACAGGTAGTTTCTTGTTTTTGGGTCTTGTTCAGGGGTTACTTTTAGCTTAGCTTAGCATCATTTGTTGAATAAGATTTGACCATTAGCTTTTCATTCATAAAATAGTTTTCATAATTTTCCTATTGAAAACTCTGTATTTACATCATGTTAGAGACCAACTTTACATTAACAGTTACTATTCTAGTCCAATATAACTAGGAGCTATACTCTCATTCTGCCGTAATAGTCACAAAAATCTGCTGTAGTAAAGTACCTGCACCAGGCAAAGTAATATTACGCACCGTAATTATTCTGCAATATATATTGCAAAATGAATTTCATCAGATGACTTGAATATCTCTATTTGCAAAGAATTGATAAAATTAAATGGGATGATTCTCCAGTAGGAGTGCCTCTGCATAAAATCTAATAAACAATCTATTGTTACAAATGAATAAAAATATAGAATTGAAATATTTAATTTTCAAAGTCTAACAGTATTTATGTTATAGTAATTGAACAATAAAGATTAAAATAATTCAATAAAATGAATTATTAAATGTACGGATTATACACTTTCTTATGCTTTTTAAAATCATCATACAATCACAGGCCTCAAAAACACATGCAAATGATTGATAATAATTCAAAGTAAACACTGCACATACTTCAGTGTGACAAAGTATATTGTGCAGCTTTGATACAGCCTATGAGAACTGACTGTTTTCATAGGGCGCCTTGAAACCATGGAGAGCTGATAGACGTGCTGATGAAAACACAGCAGATTTACCATGCTTCGATGTGTTCAACCAACAAACCAACATGATTACAGTTAATAATAGGCCCTGTAAACCATTCATTTATAAAATATATAATCTTACAATAAGAATCAAACATTATACTGATAAATAAGCCAATGCATAACTATGATCTGTGCATGATCACTGCAAAGCTGAGGCATTCGTTTAGTATATAAACTATAAACATAAAGAAATAAGTAAGTAATGCAAAAACGTTTAAACAAAAACTACAAAAATTGGAGTGTTACTGGGGTTATTGCAGGACTTTTTAAACTTGTCATGAATTTAAAAAACTACGCTGTAATCAATGTGAATGAAGTTATATATGGTTCTTTGCCTGCTGAAGAGTTGAGGGCTTTGTTTTTTTGCTTGTTTATTTTATATTTATGTCACATTTGTATTACTGTAATTTGTTTTGCTATGAAGATAGCCTTCATTAACTGACATACCATAAAAATAAACAAATCAGTCATTTAATCACCCACAAGTGATTCCAAAGCTTTGACTTTCTTTGTTTTCTGTCGAACACAAAAGTATAGATTTTAAAGAATGTTGGAAGCTGATAACCATTGACCAAAAAAATCAACCAAAACTATTTACCAAAAAATTCTATTAAGGTGAATGTCTACCAGTTTTTCTACAACATTCTTTAAATTATCTTCTTTTGTGTTCAACAGTAAAAGCAAAAAGGTTTCACACAAGTGAATGGATGAGTAAAATGTCATTATTGTTAGGTGAACTATGTCTTTAAGAAGCTCTTTGGTAGATTTTGGAGATTTCAGTGTACTCCCAGAACCTTTTACATGTTGTTAATCTAATCAGAGATTTTGGGAACTCTCTAATAACATTAGAGACATTAGAGATTAACATTAAAAGCTGTGTTCACTCACTTTGAAACATATGTTATTGACTTAAGGCTTGTGTAAGGCCTTACGTAGTGCAGGTACATTAGAGGCTAAATTCATTTGGTCATAATTGAAAAATGCATCCATGACTTTATGATTAGCAAGGGCTACGTCACTGCTGAAGTGTGAGTCTCTGGTGACATCTAGTGGAGCCGTTGAGTTGTTATTCACCAGTATAATGTGATTTCCTCTCCTGATCAGGTCATTTTTGGAAAGTCAAGCTGTGCAGAGTTTTATAAGGAGGCGTACACTCCAGTCATCTACCATAACAAGTATGAGTCCCTTTCTCCTTCACTATTCTTTACTAAACTCTTTTTCTTTATTTATATCATGAATTGTATTACATTACATTTTCACCTAGAGTATTTTTTGTAGACTCTATCTCAGATTCCCACTACTTTTATTTAACAATGTGCAACAAATCAGTTTAGACTTTGAGATACTGTTTTATACATATTTACATTTATATTACAATGAAATTGATAGTAATATAAATTTACATTTATATTAATCATATTAATCATTCATAAATGTTCATCAATTAAAAACAAAGGTTTTTAAGGTAAAAAAAAGTTATGGGAACACTTTAGGTAACGATTTACACCATTTACTACTGGCTTATTACCTGCATTTTATTAAGATATTAACTGTTTATTGCCACTTATAACTTATGATCTTATTTTATATCCCTAATCCTACTCAATACCTAAACCCTACTTTAATATGTATTATTAAGCAGCTAATTAGTAGTTTATTGAGCAAAAAGTCTAAATTTATGGTTTGTTTATAGCATGAGCTGTATATTAAAATAAAGTGTGACTAAAGTTATGACTAATTAAAATCTTGAGATGATGTATTTTTTTCTACTATTTTAATGATGTTTAATAACTATAATAGTAATATTAATAGTATTATTTTGCTATAATTTTTTCATGTTATTGAGGGAAAGAAAATATGATTCATGTTAACATCTCGAATGTGCACTCCATGTCCACTTTATTAGGTACACCTGTCCAACTGCTCATAAATACAAATTTCTAGTCAGCCAATCACATGGCAGCAACTCAATGCTTTTAGGCATGTAGACATGGTCAAGACAATCTACTGCAGTTCAAACCGAGCATCAGAATGGGGAAAAAAGATGGTTTGAGTGACTTTGAACCTAGCATGTTTGTTGGTGCCAGATGGGCTGGTCTGAGTATTTCAGAAACTGCTGATTAACTGGGATTTTCACACACAACCATCTTTAGGGTTTACAGAGAATGGTCCAGAAAAGAGAAAATTTCCAGTTAGCGGCAGTTCTGTGGGCCTTGTTGATGCTAGAGAAAAATGGCCAGACTGGTTCGAGCTGATAGAAAGGCAACAGGAAGTCAAATAACCACTCGTTACAATCAAGGTATGCAGGAGAGCATCTCTGAACGCACAACATGTCCAGCCTTGAGGCAGATGGGCTACAGCAGCAGAACAGGAAACTGAGGCTACAATTTGCACAGGCTCTCCAAACTGGACAATAGAAGATTGGAAAAACGTTGCCTGGTCTGATGAGTCTCCATTTCTGCAGAATTTGGCATTAACAACATTAAAGCATGGATCCATCCTGCCTGTGGTGGTGGTGGTGTAATGCTGTGGGGGATATTTTCTTGGCACAATTTGGGCCCAGTGGTACCAACTGAGCATTGTGTCAACACTTAAGCCTACCTGAGTATTGTTGCTGACCATGTTTATCATTTTATGACCACAGTGTACTCATTTTCTGATGGCTAGTTCCAGCAGGAGAACGCACCATGTCATAAAGCGAGAATCATCTCAGACTGGTTTCTTGAACATGACAATGATTTCACTGTACTCAAATGCCCTCCACAGTTACTAGATCTCAATCCAATAGAGCACCTTTGGGTATGGTGAAACGGGAGATTTGCACCATAGATGTGCAGCCGACAAATCTGCAGCAACAGTGTAATGTTATCAGTAAGGACCAAAATCTCTGAGGAACTTTACAGTATCTTGTTGAATCAAAGCCACGAAGGATTAAAGCAGTTCTGAAGGCAAAGGGGGTCCAACCGGGAACTATTAAGGTGTACATAATAAAGGGGGCCGATGAGTATATGTTTTTGTATATAATTGTTTGAAAGTTTAAATATAATTAATATACAACAGTACTTTTTAAAATAATTTTCAAAAATGACGTTAACTTTAAAAACAGATGTTACTGATAAGCAAAAATAAACATCTTTTCATTTCAGTTTACATCTAAATTGTATATTTTTTTAGCTTTTTAAAGATTGTTTAGTTTAACAAGATGCACACATTAAACTAAATGAAGCAATTTATTACATTAAAACAAGTTAATGACAAGGTAGAAAAGAAATATGCTCACAATTTCCTGAGTCCTCCAAGTATGTCTTCTCCCCCTTGGCCGCAGTGTTTTTCAGTCCCATCTCTCCACCTCCGCAGGTCCCCCGAGTTCTATGAGGAGGTGAAGATGAAGATCCCCGCCAACCTCACAGACAACCACCACCTGCTCTTCACCTTCTATCACATCAGCTGCCAGCCTAAGCAGAACACCCTTCTGGAGACGCCCGTGGGCTACACGGTGAGGAAAGCCCCTTCCTCTCGTTCTCTCCTGTTGCACGCTGTTCTGCAGGCTGCCTAATAAAACACTCAGCCCTTTGTGACCCTGTGGCCCTCAGAGACTCCTGAATAGGGCTCACACGTCACTCACTATCCCTGCTGGATACAGAAGCACATCCTTATGCTTTTCCTCATCACCCGCTGTGAAGTGCGGATGTGCAATATGATAATTTTTTTTATATACAATGTCCTTACAATCTGTGTTCAAAGACAAATTGTAGCATTATGCTACAGATCAGATTATATCAGTTGCAATTCTGCGCATCTGTCTCTATGAGTTTGGTAAGTAGGATGCAATGTTGGATTAATGGAATCCATTCCTAATCCATACTCCTAACACTTAGGCCCATTCACACGGCGCGTCAACGCTTTCCATTCACTTTGATTGGGTGACATTAAGTGTTGCCGAACTGAATTGTGGGTCCGTCAGCACCACTTTAGTGGCGTTGCTCGCAGCAAAAGTTGGAACTCTCAAGCGCCAATGAAAGCGTCAGCCAATCAGATATATGGAAGGCCATTGGGGCCAAAACATATGCAACGGCCTTTCATACCTATATTTAAATACACCAGCCCCGACAGTAGCCGATTGCTGACTAATTTCATTGGCTGACGCTGCTATGACGATCGCATCAGCCCCAACTTCAGACATGCCCTCTGTCAAGCGTTGATGCTAAAGCCCTGTGTGAACCGGGCGTAAAGCTGAAGCCACTCTGCACTTTTTGCCTGCACTTTTTGCTTTTTTAAGGGTATTAATCATAAGCAAACACATTCTCTCAGACTAGTCCTCGCAAGAGAGATTGTTCTCACAGAGACCCACAAAAGTTAAAGAAAGCGTGAAAGCAAAAGAGAGAAAGAGATTGTCATTGCAGTTTGAGCCAGCTATTTAAACGCTATGCCGATCAGCGATTGGTCGCGCGAACCCAGCATCAGAGGCCAACATCATCATGAAATGCGGATCCTCCAATGGCATTCATACCTGTAACACATACGTAAAATATCACACCCACATACAAACAAACAGAAATTCCAGAAATGTGCCAACACTGCTTTAAAGTAACTGCATTATGTGTTTTTATCCAGTATGTTGATGTTAATAAAGTACCCTTGGGCTTGTGATGTGGGGTTTATGGGAGTCGTTGTTTGTCTCTGCAGTGGATCCCCCTCATGCAGCATGGCCGTCTGCGCTCCGGCTCCTTCAGTCTCCCTGTGTCTGTGGAGAAACCTCCACCCAGCTACTCTGTCCTCACTCCTGACGTAAGACATTCATCACAGTTTCTTTGACGTTGTGATTGTGTGTGAATGCATGTGGAAGTTGGGAATACCAGGGGTCGGTGTTATGAAGCTGAATTAACTGGCATTAATCTTGAGTTTGTGATTTATAGCACAGGTCTCAGGGGTTAATATCATCGTTTTGTTTTTTAAATAAGTCTTTTTTCCCCACTTTTTTAAGGTTAGAGCTACAACTCTGTAATAATTTTTGTAATTTAGGTAAATGATGAATATGGTGTACTTTAAATTTGCTTGCATAAACATTGGTTGAACAAGATGAAAAAGGGATGCATTTTTCTTACTGCAGTGGTTTGCCACTTTGCATACATTTTCATGTATATTAAAAAATATTAAGCCCCAGAAGCCTTTTTTTTGGTTTTAAACATGTAAAACTTTGCAGATCATTTTTTAAATTAGTTTTTGTCTAAAGGCTGATTTATATTTCCTGTGTCAAGCGCACGCAAATGTCGCATAGCGCATTTATGTTGCATAGCCCATAGCCCACCTCTTAGAAAATGTATCTACATGCCACAACAAAGTACTGTGATTGGTCAGCTTGGTAGCTGTGCCAAGTGTTTATTTTATTTATTTGTTTATTTGGCAGGGACAGTGTACATTTATTGGCAATGCTGCAAATGGACTAGAATTAGCCAGAATGCAATTTTTTTATCTATTTTTCTTGGACAGATGTTAAAATTGTCAACCTAAAAACAATACAATAAATCATATAAATTAAATCATTTATTTATTCAATAAATCATAGTTAAGAAGCACTAAAATAGACATAGTTATGTAGATTTTAATTAAAAATGTATATGTACGAATTAAAGTAAAACACAAACATTATGTAATAGAGACAGAGAATATTCAAAATACATTTAAACAACGAATCATTAAGATGGCAGGCACATCTGGTAGCATGCTAATCAGATGACACATCTGATGTTCTATAAACCAGATTTTTATATGTCTTTGAACATATTGAAAGAGGTTATTTCTGCCATGGACAAAAATCTACTACTGTGCAGCTGTTACTGAAAAGGTACCCTGACCAAAGCCGCTTTACAGTCTCCTTGGGCTGCATGTGTTTCTCTGTGTGTGGCGTTTCTTATGTTTACTAACTGACTGAGAGGTGGAGATGACAGTCCATGAATGAATTTATACATCTGACAAATGTGTGTGGATGGGACCAAGAGCCGTGCAAAACCCGTTGGAGCGAGTGTCTACAAGTGTTGAGTCCCATAATGTAGCTGTAGATCAGGGGTGCCCAAACTTATTTCTCTGAAGGGCCAAAGACTAAACCTGATTGAGGGCTGGGCTGTGGGCCGAAGTTAAATATAACAAACTTTATTTCATTAAAGTTGGCTAAATTCCTAATTTATTTAATATTATTTAATAATGAATAGAAAACATCAATCATATTAACTAATGGATTTTTGTTTTTACATTTAATTATTAATATATTAGAATAAAAGGTCACTTTATTTTGATGGTCTGTTTGTTGAATTTAAGTTACATTGCATCTACATGCCAAATAATTCTCATTAGATTATAAATAGACTGCTAGGTTAGGGTTAGTGTAAGTGGACATGTACTTGCAAAGTTTCTTATAGTCAGTTAAATGTCTTTTAAAGGAGCAGTATCAACAGATATTATGCAGACAGTCTACTGATATTCAGATGGACCATCAAAATAAAGTGTTACAGAATAAAAACAAACAGTATATTAAATTTATTTGTATCAGTTGAGTTAATTAATGGACTACTGTAAATAACAACTAATATTATGCTACATTAAATATACTCAATTGTTACATTCACCCCTGTATAATCTGTCCAACATAAAATAGCATGCAAGTAATGTGATATTTCAAGTTAGAACTCCCTTTGACATCTCCTCTGTGCCGTCACATGTCTTAATTAATATTTATGAAAAATGCCTGCCTTTAGCTGTTAAGTTAAGCCCACTAGGCAAGTGGCACTTTATGTAATTAATAATATGTATCAGCCATTTTAAGTCATAGTAGAATTTGTAGATTCACTCTGGTATTGAACTCGGAAATGCCCAAAGGCACATTAAAATGCTTAGCCACTTTGATTTATCAGGAAAGCGAACCCAGATTTTAATCCCAAAATATCATGTTTTAACAAATCCTAAAAAAAATTAAGTCAATACAAACTATGCTTTAACAGGTAATTATTTAGTGAGTTGCAACATCTGTTTGGCTTTAATATCTGAGGAGGAATGTGAATTTGTTTTTAGGCCTGTGTTTGTGTGTGTGTTTCAGGTCCAGCTACCAGGGATGAAATGGGTGGACAATCATAAAGGGGTCTTTAATGTTGAGGTGAAGGCAGCCTCATCTGTTCACACACAGGTAATGACTTTTTTGACATTTACTACAAAAAAAAAGTAATTGCTGACATTTTTGTGCATACTGTGCTGTAGGGATGCCAAAAGTTAATTAAATATTAAATAATCAGTTGTTGTTAATACGTTAAATCTACACAGCTTGACTGTTGGTTAAGCGGGAACATTATTAACGTACAAGTGTTTTTTTTTTCTTTTGAGGTTTGAGGTCTTTTGATGTGTCGTACACACAAAACATACTGCATGTCTGTGGTGAAAAATGAATTGGTCACACCATAAAATTATTAAAAAGTCTCCGCTACTAAGCTCTAAGGAATTACTGTATAGTGTTGCTATGTCGTGACATGTCCATTATGTACAGCATTAAATTGCATGATTTTCTGAAATAGATTAGCCTATCAATTAATGCTTCTAGCTTATACATATAACCAGGGTTGGGCAAAAGTACATTGAAATGTAGTTTAAAAAAATACCAAATACCTCAGTTTTAAGTGTATTAAAATAAACTACAAAATATAACAGCCACAAATAAAGTACAGTTTTTTTTTTGTATTTTGAAAATACTACAAAACACTTTTACAAGGGAGCACCTTCCATCAATAGGCCTATTGGATCAATCCCTTCACCATAAAAACTGATTTAGTGAAGTAAACAATGACTGATAACAACAGCTTTTCTCTGAGCAGGTTTACGTCAGCTTCTCTGCCACCTTATTCACCTCTAGTATACCCGAGGAGGTATTCATAAAAATGTAACTTGTCTTTCTCTTTGATTTTAAGATGTCTGTCCTGTCTTGAAGATAATCTCTTTTATCGCTGTAATAACCATTTAATGCAGACAATGAGTAGAAATATACAGTAGTACTTAATCTATTGATTGTGGAAATTGCCACCATCTCTTAAAAATCTTATGTTTTAAAATTTTTGCAACTGAAATCTTCAATACTCAAAATAAACTTATGATTTCTAAAAACTACTAGAGTTTCCAGTTTTAGTCATTTTTATAAATGATGTTTTTATTTTTATTTTTTTATTTATTTTTGCATTTTTTTCTTCACAACACAATATAAAACAAGATATCTCAAAAAAAAAAAAAAAAGTCTACTTGTTTTTGCTGCCATAAAACCTGAGTTAAGATTTCTTGACCAGTCTATAGATTGGAGTATTATTAAATATTTTTGTCTTATTCTGATTAACTTTGTCAAAGTTTGTAACTACCTATTAATGCTGTGGCTCACCGTCCACCAGTGCTAGTTTCACTGTTCCTTCAGCCGTAGTCACCAAAGCGCAACAGCAGTGTAACAAGCCACTGACTAGCTTGTAGACATGGGCCAGTTTGAGATTCTGATGGTATGATTACCTTGGATAACAAATATCACGGTTTGCTGGTATTGTGATTAGTGCTCTAAAATATATTCTTTTTATATGTCTGGGTATAATACAAAAACTTTTTCCCTCTTTGAACACAATATATTTTATTTTGAGAAACATTTAAAATATTTTGAAGCAGTAAACATGTCAGGCTAAATAATTTAAATAAATCATTGACTTCTGCTATCTTCATTGGTTTCTAAAACACAGATTTCTTTACAATTTAAAATGGCATCTTTGTATATCTTTTTTGTTGGAGATACTGTTGTCCTAAAAACTAAAAAAAAAAAAAAAAAAAAAAAAAATTATTTTTACACATACCATAGGAACTGTATAGCAGAAAATTTCAAACCCCGGTATACCTTGAAAGTGGTTATCGTCCCATGCCTACTAGCTTTTATGATTTTCAATATTCCCCTTTGTCTATATTCCGCTCACATACACATTCATGTATCTATGCGTGAACTGCTCACCAGAAAAGCAAATTCTACTCAAATAACACGAAGAACATGTCTGTTTATTATACTTTTTCCTGCTGCTTGCAAAAATGCTGCTGTGCTGTCATGGGAACACTGGTAAAAGGACACATGTTCAGTCTTTCACTGTCAATAACATTCATTAATTCATTCATTTTCTTGTCGGCTTAGTCCCTTTATTAATCCGGGGTTGCCACAGCGGAATGAACTGCCAACTTATCCAGCCTTTTTTTACGCAGCGGATGCCCTTCCAGCCACAACCCATCTCTGGGAAACATTCATACACTCTCATTCACACTCGTACATTACGGAAAATTTAAACTACCTAATTCACCTGTACTGCATGTCTTTGGACTGCGGGGGAAACCGGAGCACCCGGAGGAAACCCACGCGAATGCAGAGAGAACATGCAAACTCCACACAGAAACGCCAACTGAGACGAGGCTAGAACCAGAGACCTTCTTGCTGTGAGGCGACAGCACTACCTACTGTGCCACTGCGTGGCCTGTCGATAAAATTTGGGTTATTTTATTAGCTAGTGTTTCTTTCTCTATTTAATCTAACTTAAGTAAATTGTAAAAAGTCTTAGATTTTATATAATTTAATTAAATATTGAAAAATTATACAATGTTGTTGGTTTCAGTTTTGTCCCAGATTTTTATTTATTTATTTATTTTATTTTATTTTATTTCCTTTCAGTTTTTGCATACAAGGGGTGCCCAAACTTATTTCTGCAGGGCTGGTGTCCTGCATATTTTAGTTCTAACCCCCAATTAAACACACCTGAATCAGCTAATCAAGCTCTTTCTAGGTATACTAAAGCTGCATCCCAAATCGCATACTTATGCACTATTCTACGCCATTTTGTAGTATAAATAGTGTAAGTAGTGCATTCACACTGTAAACTCTAAAAATATTAAGTGCACTTTAATTACCCGGATAATGCACTCATTCAGCTGCTAAAATGATGTGTGTTATGATGGACACTTCACACACTCAACGACCGCAATTTTGCTCACATAGCAGAAGGGGCGGAGCTTTCGGGCGCTTTCGGGAGCTTTTGGGTTGCAGCTGGAGGGGCATGCGCTGCGTAAAACGTATGCTGGATAAGTTGGTGGTTCATTCCGCTGTGGCGACTCCAGATTAATAAAGGGACTAAGCCGAAAAGAAAATAAATGGATAATAGGAACCTGTGAAAATTGACTTTACATGTATGCTCTTTTTTTTTCGCCTGATGTGTGTAGGATCCGCACCTGGACAAGTTCTTCACGCTGGTATATGTTCTGGAAGAGTACTCTTTCCCCTTTCGTCTGAAGGACGTGATCATCACAGAGTCCAACGTGGAGGCGGAGCTGAAGGCCAGCATGGCGGCTCTGAAGGGGGCGCTGCTGGACACCTGTGTTCGCTTTTTGCATCAGCTGATGAGCAAACTCATATTACTGATCGTACACCCACCTGTCATAGCAGGACAGATCGGTAAGTGAGACTGGAGCTGGGACACATTCACAGAAATCTTGTTTAAAAAAAAAAATCTTAAGAAAAAGTGTGATAATAACCAAAAAAAAAACTAATTTTACTTTTAATTTTTAAGTTGTAACCTTGGCAAATTCATTTAAAAAGGCTGATTCATTAAAAAGGGTGGTCCAGAGTGTATTTTTGAGGCTTGGTTGTGTTTATAAAATGCAAAGCAATGTGTGCTTATGCTTCACTTGTAAAATTAAAAAAATGTGATTTTTCCATACATCGTACTTAATTTGTATACAGCTACTTAGCTAACATGAAAGTGACTGTCATATTTCCTAGTTCATCCAAAAACCCGCTCTCAAGAGGCTCTGATTAGTCAACTAACATACTGTGCTGTGATTCGCTGATCGGCTCCATGTCACTAGGAAGCATCTCAACTATAACATTACAGCGCATCTGGCCACACTCCTCCACTGCGTTGTGTATATGTTCATTACCTGAAGGGTTTATCACATCATTAACCCAGATGTATTTTTTTTGTAGTCTCCAAAACTTGTTGCTAAGCTAACTCTGTAAAAGCCAACAGAGTTGGGCTATTAGCCATTGAACTATTAGCATCTTACATTCAGAGATGTTGTTTATGTTCACACAGCTACATCACACATCAACTTAAACATCTTTTTATTTATTAATCATGGAATCAAACACGTAATTCATTCCAAAACGGATTAATTCATAGAGGTGTTGCACTGAGATGCACAAATGTTCTGTTTGTAAATATTTTCATTGGCGGAACAGAAAAAAACACTATTTTTAAGCGCAACATTTTGTTAGATCTTAGCAAATACAAATGTGACACTATGGATGATTACTTTTGTGATTGAAGCTGCGCCGGGTTCAACTGAACAATAAGATAGAAAACTTCTCTGCATAGAAACTGTCACGTGCGGGCGCGAGTCTTCCATCTGCCTCCCGTCTGAAAGGACCTTAATGCATCCTTGTTTCTTCCGTGCGTAGATAAATATAATTTCATTTGCTTTCATCCATGTATATTATATTCATTTTTTTTTTTTAATTTATTATTATTTTTATATATAACAAGGTCCCTATGCTATAGTTTCGTGTATTAGCGATCTCACAGGGGGGGGCGAAATGGCGATCTGAAAATTTCGTATATCGCCCAACACTAATCTGGGCCTGACATTAACACCCGGCAAATGTGGGTAAAGTCCTGCTGTGGCGAGATTGACAGACACTCCACTAGCCACTTTGTCTGGTTTAAAAAGATTTTTTTATTTGTAGTTTAATCAAAAGCAGGCTTCGACAATAAGGATTACCCAATATGCATGTAAATGTGATCTTAGAATCAAGAAGCAGCATGATGACAAAACTAATTGTGTTCACGCAAGCAAAAGAAGCTGGTGAATACCAAATGAGAGGATTGTCACTCATGTGCAAAGGTGATGTGATGCACACGACTGTTAAAAAGTGTGTGTTCATAGACACCAATTTTCATTGTTACATCAGGTGTTTTAAAATATTAGCATGCTGTTTCTGTTTGTGTGCATTGCTACAGTAAACACTGCCTATGTATGTCACACATAATCTTGATAATTTTTTTTTTTTTTACCTGAGTTATGATGAAATGCTTTCATACCAGTGAACTAAGAAAAGTGTAATTATAAATAGAAGACATGTTGGATATTAATCTCATAAATAAAGAACCACCCTAACGCAGTGGTTCTCAAACTTTTTTTTATCAAGTACCACCTCAGAAAAATTATCTCTCCAAGTACCACCATAATGACCAGTATTGAAATACGTAGCGTAGCAGGGCCAGTAAAGCAGCAACAGCTCTGCACAGTTTAAAAACGTGGCAGATTAACTACTATTATTAAGAATATATACTATTGTCAGCCACTTTAAACATTATAAATAGTTTGAACACTGTACTGTGCTTATATGTAAAAAGACAAACAAACAAAATCAAACGTTAATGTTTAAATTAAAATTTGCTTTTATAAGTTCATTAAAAATGGTAGGCTACTGTTCCTAAAAAGTAAAAAAAAAAAAATGCTGTACCTAAATGTAAAGTGTTTACCTATAGTATTCTATTCATCAAAACGGAAATGCTTTATGGACCTCATAAATATTGGCTATATGTCATCATATTAATATATGAACAAATTTTGATAAATTCTGAAATGTATGTCGCATGTACATATGGCATATTGCATTCCTCTGCGTACCACTAAAAGGAAGCCCGCGTACCACTAGTGGTACATGTACCACAGTTTGAGAACCACAGCCTTAAAGTATTATATTTTATTGGGGTTATTATTAATACTTTAAGGTTACAAATAAGTACATTTTTCTTTTTACACACGCATTGTTTCAGTGTTTCTTTGTTTAATTAATTTCCCCTCCTTCCTTGGAATGCAGTAAATCTCGGCCGTGCTGCGTTTGAAGCCATGGCCCTGTTGGTAAACCAGATCCATAAGAATTTGGAAGGAAACCAGGACCATCACGGCCGCAACAATCTGCTGTCCTCCTACATCCACTACTGCTTCCATCTGCCCACAACAGAGCCTGTGTCTCCCCCTGCAGGTGAGCTAGAAACACAACCTTAAATACACAGAAAGCTGAGATACATTATGCAAAACTTGTTTCTTGGTAGGAACTAAAATGTTCTGGGTTTTGAAAATACGATGACAACAACAATGCTTAATTTGGGGGATTTTGTTCAATATCTTGAAGTTGTGCCTTAGAAATATTGAATTGTTGTCAAAACACCCCACTGATTCATTTCTTTGTGGTTTATTATTTATGTTATGAGTAATTGGAACATTTAACCCTAGTAGCTGGATGATTGTTTAATTTTATACACTGATTACGTCCCTCTTCCTCCTTCAGTGGGAGCTGCAGCATATGATCTGCCCATCCACTATGCCACGCTTTCTAGGGCCACATCAAGACCCAGTGCCCTGCTGCTGTCCCGCTCTAAGAGCATTAGTAACTCTAACCCTGACCTGGCCTCTACCCCCGCCACTCCTGATGAGGAGGTGCAGAGGATCATCGGCAGCAAGGTGAGCAAGGGCTGCTCCTCTACCTTCTTATTTGTTGTTTAAGTTACAGCAGATAAAACAGCTTGTCTTAAAAAGTTAAAAAGTATTAAATGTTGTAAAATCAATTTAGATAAACGTAATACCCTTGAAAAGTATGTAAAAAGTTTAAATGTTATATTACAAAGTATAACATTTTGTATAAATTTTGATTATACAATGTATAGTTGTAAGCTAAATTTATTTGCGAGTATTGGGATGCTGTGCTGTTAACTGTATGAAATCAGTTAAATCCTTCCAGATTTGACTTCACTGCTTTTTTTACAGCATTAACCAAGGCAACACTGTTATTCCTGCTGTAGTATAGTCGCCACCTTCTGGAAAGACCATGAATTAGCATTTTTTTCAGTATATGAATAATGGTTTTGTTTAGTGCAGTTATGTTTTATGTAGCGTAGTTTCAGACTTTTCAAAATTGTAAAACTTCCTGTTAATTTACTCAAATTCATAAAATTAAGAACAAATTTTTGTTGAAACTGCTGTCTCTAGTGATTCACAAAATGTAAGTCAGCTGCAACTGTCAATTTTGGGGTCAAAAATCTTCTACAAGCTAAACAAAACTATAGCACATGGCTTCTGATGACAAATTGAGGTCTCATAAGGTGAAATGATCAATCTGTTAAAAAAAATTACTGTTAGTTACAATGAAATTACATCTATTTCTATAGTCTGATTCTTTTATTTAGTCTTGTCTTTTCAAACAACTTGTTTCTGGTTCAAATATTGTATTCATCAGTTCATTTACATAATTAGGCAAATAATATAAATGGCTCATCTCATATTGTCGGTGGGCATTGACTTACATTTTATGAATTGCCAAAGACCATGGTTTCAGCTAAAAATCTTCTGTAATATTACACCAAAGATAACAGGCAGCTACATGGTGGATTACCCGAGTGTGTGTTAATTAACAACATTTGCTTTGTCAGTTATGCCTTAAAGAGAAAATGCACTGAAAAGTGCAAAATAAGATCATAAACATATAGTAAGTATATAAGTGTATGTGTAATTGTTAGCAATTTCTTTTCAAGGGGATCTATTATGCAAAAATCACTTTTTTAAGGGGTTAAAACACAGTTGTGTGGCAACAGTGTGTGAATATAGCCAGCTACTTATTGTAAAAATCAATCAATTCTGATTTTGTTTAATCTCGCTTTATAAAAACAGTTTGCTGAAACACTTAGACATTCTTCCTTTGTACGTGTCTTCAGAGGGGGAAATTCCTGCCCATTAATGACAGTTTCTCCCTCACTAGCATAGACAGCCTTTAGTGAGAAACAGTCATCCACCATTAGTGTTTTCACACCATGATCAACACTTCTTTTTACATTTTCAGTTTTTTTTAGAGATATCGTTAGTCCTGTTTTAAATCTGCCATTATGCTGATGCATAGGTGTTTGTAGCACTGTCCTCTTATGAAAAGAGCACAATCTCGTTTGAATTTAAAGTGACAGTCACTAAAACAGAAACAATAGATTATTTGGTATTAGGTATTTTGAGCTGAAACTTCTCATACATACTCAATTTTCATAATTTTTTTTTGCATCTTGCAAAAAGATTCATAATAGGTCCCCTTTAGGATACAACTCTCATTATTAATAAGTTGTTAACTAACTTTTTGCCAAAGTAAGCTCCTAATTCACTGTCTATTAATAGGTAGTAATTGGGTTTAGGTTTTGGGTAAAATTAGGGATGTAGAATAAAATCATGCAGTATTTGTTCTTGATAAGTACAAGTAAACACCCAATATATCAGTGTTAGGTAATAAGCCACTAGTTAATAGTGAGGTTTGGTATTTAAAGGTCCCATGAAATGCTTTGAAATGTGCATTTTTTTTATTTTTTTATGTTTGCATAATCTCAGCAAAACAATGAAAAAAGGGTGGGACAAAAAGTAGCTCCTCCCCCTTTAAAACAGCCAATAGTTTGGTTTTATCACAGCTCTGCCAGTAAGCATAGTTGAGATCAAGCACATTAAATGAGAATGAGAAGCATCTTGAAGGTTGAGGGGCATGTCAGATACTATAGAGCATTTGATTGGTCAACATTTAATGAGAAAAGTATGAAGTATGAGGTGATGTGAAAAATCATTGACCGATTTAGTTGGACGTGACAAACTAGAAGCTTTAGATGTTTGTATTAGTTTGATATTTTCTAAACATAATGTTTTGGAGTGCACTAGCTTAAATCCTTAAAACTAACCGACTGAAACTTGCATCTAAACATTTTTATTTTTATTTTACATGACCTTTAAGCCAAAGTGTTATTAAATGCTGAAAAATTCCTTTTTGACTTGATTTAGGAAGTAACTGGATGAACTGATTAAATAGTAAGCTGCAGTTCTGCTTTTGATGTTGTTTGTTGGAGTGATGGGTAAGCCTGTGCGGTGTTTCCTGCACCAGCTGTTGATCACTCTGCTTATGTCTGTACTTTGTTTTTACTGTGGTACAGCCTCTTTCCTGGCTTCCCGCTTCTTCCCACCCTCTTCTCAATTAATTCTTGTTCCTGCGCTTTGTCTCCTCCCTGCGACGCCTGTGTGTGGCTGTTGTGCCCTCCCCCGTGTTGCCCTGTGCTGTTTGTTTTGTGTCGTCGATGGATGAGCAGGGAATAGACCGCTCTCATTCCTGGGTAAACTCTGCTTACGCTCCAGGGGGCTCGAGGGCCGTGCTCCGCCGGAACCCCAACTCGAGCTGTGAGCTCAAGCAGGTGCCGATCAATCCCTATAACCTAATGTCCCGCTCTACTGCCTCAAACCATACACCCTACTGTGTACCATCCTGCATCACCCCTTCAGCATAACATCATTCATTACAATCTCTTTTATTTGATGCGTGTTTTTATTTGATGTTCTTATTAATACTATTTATTCTCTAAAAATATACAACCTGTCAAAACCTGATACTGTCAAAACCTAAACCCTAACATTTTTTTATGATTACTTTCATACATTTAAAGGAATACCTCACAAAATAAAATCTGTCGTCATTTACTTTATGCTATCATTTACTCTGTCCTATACCCTAACCCTTTACTTTTTCTGAACATTTATGAGTCTCTTTTTCTGTTGAACACACACAAGATATATTAAGAAATGTTGTACCTGTACCATTGACTTCCATAGTATTTGGTTTTTCTGCTACAATCTCAGAAAAAATGGTACAATGTTGTACAAAAGTAGGTACAAACCCTTGTGACTGGGGCAGTTCATTTTTATGGAACAGTATTGTACCTTAAGACAAAGAAACTAATTTGTAACTTTAAGGACATGATTTGTACCATGGGAAACCAAAATGTTTTTAAAACCTGCAGATAAAATATTGCGCCTTTCTCAAAGGTACAAATGTGATAAATTAAGGTACCGCTATAGTGACAAGACACTTTGTACCTTAACAGGTGTAACTGTGTTCCTTCAAGAACTATTTAAAGGCATTTTGCTATTTCCAAAATGTGTCAATTTATTGTCAGTAAATATAAAAAATCAAATGCATTTTTAAACAATTTTTTTTAAATAATGTTTCTTTTTGTGTAAACGCACCTTTTCCATTTACAATAATGAATAAAAAATACATTAACATAAATCAAATGATTTTTGCTAAATATTTCACAGCACTTTTTATTTACAGAAACACATTCTCCCATGTACAATATAAAATATATATTTGTTTTCAATTTTCACGCAATACCTTTGTAATCACTTTAAAGTTAATTAAATTAACTTAATTTAAAAACACTAATAGAATTATACAAAATTATTGTAAGGAGATATGTACAATGTTTGATCAGTTTTACGATACTAAAATGTCTGCATGAACACTTGTGCAGGAATTTTGTCAGCTCATGTGCACTGCCTAGTGGAAAGCAAATACCAAAAGGTGCAGATATTTATCAGAAAATGCTTACCAATGTTTATTAAAACTGCCTTAAATGTTTAGTTTTACAGTTTTTTGTATTATAGAACTTAATAATTCATGTTTTTAAGTTTCTTTAAACTATATGCATTTAAATGATAATTCATGTTTTAATATAGAAATTATTCATAAAATCACTTTGCCTTTCCATTAATATTTATTTTCATAGATATTGTAAAAAAGAAGGAAATGTCTGACACATATGTACCTTTTATATGAGAACAATTGTGTATCTTCATTTTAATTTGTACCATAGGAGTATCATAAGAGATTTTTTCTGTACTATATAAGGTACAACTTTTAAGGAGCATTATTTGTACCACTGTGTACCTTTTTTTCTGAGTGTATGAAAGTCAATAGTCAAGACGTTTTTGTTTATTTTAAGTCCCTTATGTGAAGAGCAATGACAAATCAATATCCCCTAAGCAATTTTGGTTCAATTCTGGATTTAGATATTATTATATATTTTGTATAGTGACCTCCTAAACTGCCTCCTCCTACTGCTACAACAATAAACACTACCTCCAAATGCAGGATGACATGACAGAGTTTGTTGCGCTGTGTCATCTGAGGTAAAACTTATTTAATAGGGTTCAAAGTGGAGTTTCCCAGTTTTAGTAGAAATTATTTTAAATATTCCTATTTTTACTTTAGTTTCCGAAGAAGTAACGATTTTTATTCTCTTGAGCATGAGATAGAATCAGTGTTTTAGCCGCAAATGTTTTATGCAATATTTTAATTTTGAGCATAAAGTAAATTCATATCAAGGCTAGTTTTATTCTTGTTACTGTCTTAACATTAAACTCTAACATTACATACTGTACAAAACATTTAACCCTAACATTACCTGTTACCGTCTCAACATCTTAATTAGAATTTCTCTTACTCTTAATGCTAACAAGTCTTGCACCATATCATCACTTCAGTAATCATCCTCAGTATACTTTTGCCAGCTTGGCTTCTGTCTATTTGTCTCTGTTTTGTGTGTAAGAGGTTGTGTAGTCTTGCCTCTTCTCATCATCAGCTCATCTCTCTCTCCTTTGTCTGCTGTATTCCTTCTGCCTGTCAGTCAGGACAAACTTTGCTAGAGGTCTATCTACAAACAATACAAACTACATTACATACTGCCTCATGCAATAGAAATATATAGTAAATGTTACGTAAAGTTGTAGACAAAATGATTAGCTCTTCTGTGAAATGTTTCAACACATTTTTTAAACAAAATAGTTTTAATAAATAATATCAACCAACCAATTTCTTTTTTTCTTTGCTGTGATTACCGTTCATAATATTTTGCTAGGTACTTCATAACTTTAAATAATAGTATTCAGCTTAAATTGCCATTAAAGGGCATAAGTAGTTAGTGTAATTAGGCAAGTCATAGAACTGCAGTGGTTTCTTCTGTAGCCAATCAAGCAAAATAATATCTTAAGGGGGGTAATAAAATAGACCTTAACAGTTTTTACATCCATCCATCCATCCATCCATCCATCCAACTGACTAACCAACCAACCAACACTGAAATAATTAATACAGCCAACCAAACGACATTAAATATAAGCCAGCCAATTTACCAACACTAAAAGAAATAATACAACCAACCGACCAATGCTGAAAGAAAAAGGCTAGCCACCCAACCAACCAACCAACACTAAAAGAAATAAGCCAGCCAACCAACCAGTGCTGAAAGAAATAAGCCAGCCAACCAACCAACCAACCAACCAACACTAAAAGAAATAAGCCAGCCAACCAACCAATGCTGAAAGAAATAAGCCAGCCAACCAACCAATTAACACTAAAAGAAATAAGCCAGCCAACCAACCAACCAACACTAAAAGAAATAAGCCAGCCAACCAACCAGTGCTGAAAGAAATAAGCCAGCCAACCAACCAATGCTGAAAGAAATAAGCCAGCCAACCAACCAACCAACACTAAAAGAAATAAGCCAGCCAACCAACCAGTGCTGAAAGAAATAAGCCAGCCAACCAACCAATGCTGAAAGAAATAAGCCAGCCAACCAACCAACCACCCAACACTAAAAGAAATAAGCCAGCCAACCAACCAGTGCTGAAAGAAATAAGCCAGCCAACCAACCAGTGCTGAAAGAAATAAGCCAGCCAGCCAACCAACCAACCAACCAACACTAAAAGAAATAAGCCAGCCAACCAACCAACCAACCAACCAACCAACCAACACTAAAAGAAATAAGCCAGCCAACCAACCAGTGCTGAAAGAAATAAGCCAGCCAACCAACCAATGCTGAAAGAAATAAGCCAGCCAACCAACCAACCAGCACTAAAAGAAATAAGCCAGCCAACCAACCAGTGCTGAAAGAAATAAGCCAGCCAACCAACCAATGCTGAAAGAAATAAGCCAGCCAACCAACCAATTAACACTAAAAGAAATAAGCCAGCCAACCAACCAATGCTGAAAGAAATAAGCCAGCCAACCAACCAATTAACACTAAAAGAAATAAGCCAGCCAACCAACCAACACTAAAAGAAATAAGCCAGCCAACCAACCAACCAACACTAAAAGAAATAAGCCAGCCAACCAACCAATGCTGAAAGAAATAAGCCAGCCAACCAACCAATGCTGAAAGAAATAAGCCAGCCAACCAACTAACCAACACTAAATGAAATAAGTCAGCCAACCAAACAACACTAAAAGAAATAAGCCAAACAACGAACACTGAAATAAAAAAACCAACCAACCAACACTTAAAGAAATAAGTCAGCCAGCTAACAAACACTAAATGAAAATAAGCCTAACAGAAATAAACCAAACAACCAACACTGAAAGAAATAAACCAACCATTCAACCAACCAACACTAAAAGAAATGTCAGTTAACGAAACAACAGTAAAAGAAATAAGCCAGCCAAACAACCAAAACTAAAAGAAATAAGCCAGCCAAACAACCAAAACTAAAAGAAATAAGCCAGCCAACCAACCAACATTGAAAGAAATAAACCAACCAAACAAAAAATAAAAGAAGCCAACAAACCGACACTAAATATATAAGTCAGCCAACCAACCAGCACTAAAAGAAATAAACCTGCCAACCAATCAACACTATAATAAATAAACTTGCCAACCAACACTAAAAGAAATAATTCAGCCAACCAACCAACACTAAAAGAAATAAGCCAATTAATCAACACTAAGCGAAATAAGCCAACCAACCAACACTAAAAAAATAGCAACCAACAATAATAGAAGCCAACCAACACTAAAAAAAGTCAGCCTGCCAAACAAAACTGAAAGGAATAAGCCAAACTGAAAGAAATAAGATTTTCTACAGAAGAAAAATATTATAGGAAATGCTGTGGAAATTTTCTTGATCTGTCAAACATTACTTGTGATATTTAAAAAGTGATATTTGAAAAGAAATTCAAATTTAACAGGAGCTTTAATAATGGAGCTAATAATTTTGTCTTAAACTGTTTGTGTGCGATAAAATGCAGATGATCCTCTGCAGATTGATTCTTTTTAACTCATTTTTGTTTTTAAGAAATAATTATTTTCATCATTAGCTACTTGTTAAAAGAGTACTTGTTTGTACATGCACATAGTTTGTTGAATAAGTTGTTTCATTCTGTACTTTAACAATCTATTTAACTTGAATAAATTGTTATTTGCTTATATGAAATTGCTTTAATATGTGGGGGAATATAACAGTTTTACAAGAAACATGAAAATATTATAGCTAAGCAGTAAGCATAACCATTTTAGTAAAAAAAAAACTTTAAACATAAGCATGAAAACTTAAAAACAATGAACTTACTTCAATCATAAATACAATGTTAAACATTATTTTTATTGTTAACACAATAAGTACATTGTAGCAAATTATTAATTTCATTATAAGCACATTTTAGTTAAGGCCACCTAGTATAACGTGGGATCAATTTATTTATGCATAGCTCTTATAATAAACCAGATAACCAGACACAATCAACTGATTGTTATCAGTCAGCTAACCGCAAAGTTACCCCTTTCAGGGTTACACAAGTCTTTAATTAACCTGTCAAAGGTTATTATGCATTGATGACCACATGACTCTTTATTAAATCTGACACAACTTGGGTAGAGTTTCATTATTTTGAGTTTGTAAATGGATATTTTTTAATGCATCCAGCAGGCATTGGCTCATCCTCTATTTGTTTTCTTTGATCTTCCTATCTTCCATTCTTCATCATCATCTTCACTGTCGTCATCACCACCATTCTTCTGTGTTCACCCACTGGTCTGCAGGCCAGTGAGCGAGCCTGTAATCGCATGTCCGCCTACATCGAGACTACCTCCCTTCTCTGTCCTCCCTCCAGGCAGATCGCCAAGAAGGTAGAGAACAAACTCATGTTCATTCATTCATCCATGTACTCACCCATTCAATACGCCGTCTTTTTCATGCACTTATACTGTATCATTAAGAGTTCTGACTTAATTGTGTGTGTGCGGATGTGTCTGGTTCAGCATATGGTCATGTTTTGAAATGATGTTCATCTGCGTTCAGCTGCTTCATGAAGAGTTGGCTCTGCAGTGGGTCGTGAGCACCAGCACCGTAAGGGAGGCGTCTCTGCAGCAGGCCTGGTTCTTCTTCCAGCTCATGGTCAGTCCAATGAAAGTGTTAGTTTGATTCTGTAACAAAACAAATTCAGTTTTGCGTTAAAAAATGAAGCTCTATAGAAGATAATGGTGTCATTGGTTAATTTAGCTGTGCATTATCATTTCAATTCAGTTTTTCTCCTCTTTGGAATGTTACTTTTTATTTTTTTTGTCTTAAAGTGACGGTTCATAAAAAAAAAAATAAAAAATAAAAAATACATCTCTGTCAACGATTACTCACCCTCATGTCTTTGGAACACAAATTAGGATATTTTGCATAAAATCAGAGAGCGCTCTCATCCGCCATAGAAAGCAATGATTTAGATTCGATCAGAAAGGAACCAAAAACAACCTCAAAACAATCTGTATGCTTCCAGTGTTTCAATTGGAATATTATAAAACTAAAAAAGAGAATAGTTTTGTGAGCACTTGAAACAATTATAATGCCTTTAGTCAAAAGTTTTCCCTCTCCTCAGTGTCAGTATAGGGGTCTCGTTTACAAGCAATTTACACTGAGACCCCGTTGTACCCCAGGTGCACGACTTCTTTCATTTAAAACAAAGCATATGTGTCCAGAAATTTACATCAGCAACGTGACCGAGCTCGACACATAAAGAGAACATCGCTCTTGTAAACCTTAAGTTCACCCTAAACTGACACTGAAAAGGAGAAACTGTTGAATAAAGTTATTATTAATTTTTATTTCATGTGTGCACAAAAGTATTCCTGTAGCTTTATTCTGGACTATGATGGATTTCATCTAAAATATCTTAATTTGTGTTCTGAAGACGAACAAAGGTCATGGTGGGTTGGAATGACATCAAGGTGAAAAATTATTAACAGAATTGTTTTGGAAAACTAACCCTTTAACTATGACTAAATAAGATTGTTCAGTGGTTTTGTTCCACCAGCCTACATTAACTCTTTAACTGGCATTGTAATCACCTAGTTGACCTCTTGTTCATATACATAGATATTTACGTTAGATGTCACCTACACTATTGTTGTCTATTGGAAGATAAGTCGATAGAGCTGCCATTTTAGTACAAGGTAGTGCTCCTTTGAAATGAATGCGGGACCAAGGTGCAGTGGAGGACAGGCCATTCCTAGCCAGAGATATATATGCATATATACATATATCTATAATCGGGAGTTTTCACTATCGATATCCCTGCATCTCAGTGTCCATAATATCCACCTGTCTAATCTAAATTGTATATAACATTTGTAATATTTAATAATTTAGGGTGGACAGAATGCACATTGAGGTGCAGGCACTGTTATTTTATCAGTAGGCCCACTCGGAATCTACGCGCACAGAATTCCGGAGATTTTCAGCAGATTTTTAGCCCATCATTAATTCTGTTTATTTACTTGAGAAAATGTGTGTAAATCTATGTTTATTCAGTTTTTAAATTAATTTCAGTAATATTATTGTCTAATATGAAAATGTTCATCTGATTTATGTACAATACAGTTTGTAAAGTAATACTTTCTGTCTTTTAGTAGATAAATATTATATGACTGACTTGCTTTGTTTACCAAATAATGTGGTTCTAATTGTATTTGCATTTAAACATTAAATAAATGTTAAAAAGATATTTTATTTTTATTTCACATAAAAAGGTTTTAGTTATGATACTCCCAAAATAATTCCACAGAAATAGCAAAAAACGTCTGCAGATTACATCTGGCCCTGGTTATCAGGCACCCTTTTACGTTACTTCAAAAACTAGACGTTACTTCACTTAGCTGACAATAATAAAAGTTTCTGGCACTGCAGCATCTTCTTGTCATACTTCATTTACTTTGTTTTCTGATTTTATTCAACAAAACTAAACATAAGCTTAGTATTTAGTGTGAGTTGGTGCTAGTTTGCCTTGAATGTATTATCTATCATTAATAACGTGACTTGTTGAGCACAAAAGTTCATAACCTACAAAAACATAAAAAATGAAATCTTACCCATGAAATGTGATGCCTTTATGCTTTTTCTTTATTTGCTAGTTAATACACTTGTACGCAGTGCAGAAGTCCAGCATCTTTAGATTGGTTTTAGTCTTGACTAGTGCGGTTGAATGACATATCTCCTGGGGAGCACTGTACAAATGTGGAGGCGATGTTGGTGCATGCTCAGGGTCTTTATGCGATATCTAGTGTATATATTGTAGTCCATGTACTGTACAGTAGGCTATCATTAAATAAAACAACTTATATTGTGCTTAAGGGGTGTCAGAAACACAATTTAACCAAAGAAAATGTTTTCTTAGTTTGGAAGTTAAAAGGTTGAGTTTTAAACTAAGTAAAAAAATCCAAAAGATGTAAAATTTGAGTAACATGTTCAAAATACTGTTAAAGCGTTCTTTTTTCTTAGACACATTACATGATTATGGACAAAGCTGCCTTTCCATGTTGCTCAGAAGATATATTTTTGTACTTTCCTGTATTGACTGCTACTATGCTTTATTTTCTATACATTTGAATGCTAAAATGCTTACTATAACCAGGATAAGTATCATATCACTACAATTATCACCACAATTCAGTTCAAAATGGGCTAGTCTTTTAAACTGAGAGTTACCCCAAATGAAAATGAAAAAACTTCTTTTTTTAGATGAACTATCCCTTTAATTTTAAGTTTAATTTCAATCAATTTTGGGCATGTGTGTTTTGAAACACTTATATTTTGGTGTGTTTTTTAAGTCAGGATTGTATCGCTCATTTTTCTCTGTGTGATAACAGGTGAAGAGCATGTCCCATCATCTGTTCCTGTCCTCACGCCTGGACATGCCCCGACGCCAGCGCTTTCCAGACCGCTTTGTGGATGACATTGCAGCCTTAGTGTGTGCCATCAGCGCAGACATAGCCAGCAGATATCACAAGGTATAAAAAGAAGATCTCATTTTATTGCTGGATCTGCAGAGATAAGAGACAGATTGAGACTTTATGATGCTCTCTTTTATGACTCCTGTTATGAAACAACAGGAAGCATGCTTATCCCATATCTGTGTGTGTTTCAGGATGTGGAGCTTGTGGAGAGGTTAAACAGCAGTTTGGCCTTTTTCCTTAATGACCTGCTCTCTCTCATGGATAGAGGCTTTGTTTTCAACCTTGTTCGCTCTTATTATAAACAGGTACATGCGAAAACACACATCCTTTGTGGGGTTTTTTTGACAGTGGTGACATGTTTATTGTCCATGCAGCTGAATTAGGTTTTAAAGAGATAGTTTTCCAAAAATGTAAATTTTGTGATCTTTTACATGCCCGTTACTTGTTTCAAACCTTTATTATGTTCTTTTATCTGTTAAACACAAAGGAAGATATTTTTAAAAATGGTGTAAACCTGTAATTATTGACTTTCCAATGTATTTGTTTTTCCTTCATTTCTTTCAAACCTGTTTGAATTCTTTTCTTTTGTTAGATGAAAGGAAGTAAGACCAAACGCTGGATAAAAAGCAGCCATTGACTTCCAAGGTGTTTTTTGTTCCTACTATGGGTGTCAATGGCTGCTTTTTCCAACATTCTTCGGAATATTTTGTTTTGTGTTGAACAGAAGACATTTGTAAACATTTAGAACCAATTTAGTGTGAGTAAATGAGGAAATGTTAATTTTTTTTTGAACCGCCCCTTTTTCCCTATTGAGACAGTGAAATGGCTTCATGACCAAAAAAAAAAAAGTAGAGGGGACTTTTATTAAACAAGAGTTTATTGGATTGCTGTGGTTTCCTATCGGTGGATCTCATATGAGGTTATTGCCCTGTCTGCCTAAATAATGCAGCTTTTTTTTTCTTTTTTTGCTTTTACAATTTATATGGATACCATAAATACAACATGATTATTCTTTAAAGGTGGGGCTAAACATTTATATGTACACCGTGATCTACATTTGTTAACTTTCTGCTGCGTTGGTGACTAAACGATGTTCATGTTTCTATGTATACGTTTTTCAGTATAGCAAGCCTAATTGAAATGCCTGCTCTAAAATGAATGGTTTGCTTGACATTTTAGAACATATGGTTTGCAGGTGGTTTAGTGCGCTAGATGTAAAACAGCACATGTGAATATGACCACTTTAAGAAATCACTGTGATGCGTTTGTCTTTTCAGATTAATAATAAGCTGCACACAGCGCAGAATCCCAGCTCTCTAACAGCGCTGAGGATGGACTTCATCCGGATCATCTGCAGTCACGAGCACTACGTCATCCTCAACCTACCCTGCGCCACTCTTAGTCCTCCAGCATCCCCTTCACCCTCCACATCTTCCACCACCTCACAGGTACTCTTACACTGTAGACAGTAGTGCTCTGTACTGCCCTAACATACCTTTTTTGTTTATTTGTATAATTTAGTGTATTTATATTATTTATTTATTACTCCAAACCTTTTAGCTGACTCCCAACGCCCAACACCATGTAGCCTCCAGTTTAAAAGCCTTTCGTCCCACCCACAGTTTCATAGTGAACTTATTTTTTTAACTTAAAAAGTATTTATATCAGTCACCACAAGAGACTACTTTCTATCAGCTGCTAACTGAGCATGTGATGATTATATGACATGTTGTGAAAAGGCACACCATAGGGCTGCACGATAATGAAAAAATCTGATATTGTGTTATTTTATTGTTCTGCTATAAATATTGCGACATTAATACAGTTTTTACAAGATCTTTTTGACAGTCTTCATGGAAGCCTAACAGTATTTAAGTACAGAAATTAAACAATCACAATGCTTTGCTTACTTAGCTTTGTCTCGTTTGTAGTCCAAATATTCAATAATATATAGATCAAGTAAAAATTTTGTTTTGTTTTCAACAGACTATATAAGTCAAAGTTAAGTAAAGTTATCTTGTTTTTGCTTTGAAAAGTAGATATTTGCAGTAGAAACAAGACAGGATTTCTGAGTGGGAATTTTGCATAAATCCTATATACATAATGTACAGTGGTCCCTTACTATAAACTTTGGTACACCTTTCGTCGCCTCGCAATTACGCAGAATTTTTGCAGCGCATCCCTTAAGGATGGAGTCTGCTTTTCTGCACAGAAGCTAAATAGCTTTATGAATCTTTTGCTGACAGAAATAAATGTTTGCTCCTAACAGGTTTTGATCTTTGGTTTTATTTTATAATACCTGGCCTTTTTTTATATATATATATAAAAGTTTGAACTTTGAGAGTTTTAAACAAGAGAGAAAAGTGTGAAAATTTTAATGCCTATCTAAGAAAAGTTTATAAGGTGTGTAATGAGGGGTTTTACTGTCTTAAAACATCCATAATAATTGTAAAAAATAAAGCTGACTACTTTGCGGATTTCGCTTATCACAGGTTTTTTTTAGAACTTTTAGAACTCCCACGAATAACAAGCGACCACTGTATTAATACAGTGAATAAATACAATTCTGCAGCTCCTAGTTAACTATAATTCGGACTCAACATTGCATATCTGATGATGTGACTATTTTTAATGGGTATATTACGATATAGATGCCGAAGCAATATATTGTGCAGCCCTAGCACACCAGGACATTTTTCAGTTCCTCCAGTATTTTGCTAGTCCAATATTGTTTAGATGAAAGAAAGTGGAAAAAAGTTAAATATTTGAGCATTTTTACAAAAATGAGAAAAGACATCACAGAATCATTTTCGGCTGCAAATATAATGAAAAATGTTATTGTAAAATCCTGGTGCGATGGTTTTTTAAAGGAATTCTTTATGTCATACTGCTTTTGAGAAATAACTAAGAATGATGGATGTTAATTTGACTTTTTTTACTCCTCAAGCTTGACATGTTTGTTTTGTTGGATGTGGCAGTAATACAGTTTGGTTTATTCCACTCTTGCGAAAGCCGAGTGCTTCGTGCTCTGCTGGGTGGATTAGAGAAAATTCTTTGCTGCAAATGTTTAAACAAATCAATCCCATTCACATAAACCTCACAAATGTAGAGTTTTAGTCGTGTTTGTAATTGTGTTTCTCACTGTGAAGTTTAAATCCTGTCATGATGGATGTTTTATTGCTCTCTGCTGCCACATTAACACCGTATATCAAGCTGGACACTCAAAAGAGTTTTTTTTTTCAGGGTGTAAATTGAGTTTCACTTAAGCATGTTATCCTTCCCGAAATCAGTTATTTTGCTTGTTATCTTTTGTAGAGCTCTGCATTCTCCAGTCATGCTCAGGATCAAGGTGTGGTCAGCATGTTTGAGCTGTCAGTGCCATTTCGCCAGCAGCACTTTCTCTCAGGCCTGCTGTTAGCTGAACTGTCACTCATCCTGGAGCCGGATGGAGAGAGGTTAGAAGCTCTAATACACTCAAATACTCACAAGATGACATCCATAGCAGAATCAGCAATCACATCCATTCTTGTTTTCTGTCAGATGAATGGTAGTTGTTAATTTCATTCTTGCTCCTTCATGCTGTATAATGGTGTTGGATAGGTGGTAAGGGTGTGCGTGGGGTCTTAAAAAGTGTTAATGTCTTAAATAAAAAAAAATGTATTGACCTAAAAAGTCTTAAATTCACTAAAATATGCTGCTTAAGGTCTTAAATCTTTTTAAACAGGTCTTAATTTCCTTTTGTCCATGTAAAACTACCCAATTGTATATGAAAGTATATGTATATATTTAGAGTTTACTTGTTTTAGCACATTATTTCAAAGATCTGGCTAAGAAATGGTTCAATTTTAATTGGACAAGTAAAAAAAAAATCCACTGTCCATTAGAAAGAATTATTAGCGTTTAGCCCTGTAAAAATGTAGAATTTAATTCAGAATTGTCTTAAAGTGATCTTAAATTTGACTTTGTAAAATCTGCAGAAATATATGTAGTGGCTTTTCTTTTTCTTTTTTTTAAGCATTAATCATAAAACTAACCTATAAACAAAAATCCATCATAAAACTAACCAATACACCACCAGGGTGTTAACAAGTCTTCTGAAGCAGATCAATGTGTTTTGTATCAAAAATATTGCTAATTTTTAAGTTATTAACTCAAGTCACTGACATCCGGTGGCTTCCGAATATACATTCTAGACTAGTGGTCCATGACCATAGCCAATTCCTGGAGGGCCGCAGCTCTGCATAGTTTAGCTCCAACCACCAACTCATACCTTCTTAGTAGTTTAAAACAGTCTTCTTGAAGCCCTTGATTAATTGGATCAGCTGTGTTTGGGTTGGAGCAAAACTGTACAGAGCTGCGGCCCTCCAGGAATCTAGTTTGAGACCTATGTGTTTGTTCCTATGTACAATATAAAACACATTTATAGTGAAAAAGCAAAAGTGATATGTTAAACAGTAACACCATGTCCTAACAACACGTGTAGCCTCAATATATCAAACACACCACACCACGGCATGAAACATTTAAATACAAGCCACTCATTTAAATACCCACCACAGGACTCCTGACGAAATGGTAAGATTTAAAATCTATTTAATACAAATTTAACCTATTTAACTTTATTAAAAGTACATTGGCTGAGTACTGATCTTCAGGGTTTCTGCAGGGTCTTAAAAAATCAAGTCTTAATGTCTTAAATTTTATACCTTGCAAAGTCTTAAATTCACTGACATATTGTGTTATAGGTCCTAAATCATTTTAAACAGGTCTTAATTTTGCTTTGTCCAAGTAAAGAAACTCATTTTGGGCCGATATCCATCTAATGACTAATAGTGCAAAGAGCTACAGTTCACAACAGCTAAAAAAACTAAAATCAATTACAGGATTCCTCGTGACATTTTTTTTAAATGCCCTTCTTTAGGTTTCTTAAAAGGGTCTTAAAGTCTTAAATTTGATTTGAGATTAGCAGATAATATGCAGAAACCCTGATGTTGTTGATTTGCAGTGAGTCACTGACTGTCGTTTCCAAACCGTCTTCTATTTATTTTTTTTCAAGATCTTAAGTCAACTATTTGCTTCTGCTTTCAAAAGTATGGTAATAAATGTCACGTAAAATGGTGTTTAAACTCACATTGGTCGCATTTAACATTGACTAAAGCACATATTCTGTACCTGAGGTGATCCTTGCCATGGTAGTATGTGATGTTGTTTATAACTAAGGGTAAACGGGAACATTCAAAAACCCTCAGCCCTCATCCCACCCTCAAGGAGAAGAATAAAAAAAGCACAAAAACAACATTAGCACCTAAAAGAAATGTTAAAGCAACTAAATAAATACACACAAAATACAAATAACTCACGCACACATTAATAAAAAGGGCAGAGATCTTTCTTGAAAGAAAAGGAAAAAAATCTTATGAATCAGCAAAGAGGTGTGTAGTATTCTTGACAATTAATTAGAGAATCCCAGTTTTTATATTTTTTTTCAGTTGAACCTCTTAATGTAAACTTAATTTTTTCAATATATAGAAAAGACATCAAATCTTCTAACCCTGAGGCAGTGGGAGGTGGTTTAGAAGACTTCCAGTGTAATAAAATCCATCTCCGGGCTATCAGTGACACAATGGCTAGAACATTAGCCCTCTTCAACATAGCCGTTACACCAAAAATAGCAATCAAGGGGCATGGTTCAAGAGAAATTTTGAAAATTGTAGAAAAAGTATCAAAGAAAGAACTCCAAAAAAATTTCTAAGTTTAGACAAGAAAAAAGAAAAAACAAACAATTTTTGACCTGTTTTTAAGACTGTCTTATAAATAGGACATGGGCTGTATAACACCTCGAGTCACACTTGTCTCGCTCTCTCTCCCTGCCTCTTTCTCTTTCTCTCTCTCCCTCTCCCTCTCCCTCTCTCTCTTTCTATGTCTCTTCCTCAGTGTGTTCTTTCTCCATAAGAAGGCCATCAGTGCGCTTCACTCTCTGCTATGCAGTCACGATGCAGACCCCAGATACACAGACCCTCAGGTTCGCTCGCACGTGGCCCAGCTCTACCTGCCCCTCATCCCCATCATCATGGAGACGCTGCCTAAGCTCCACGACTTCACCGGTTAGCTGATCTCTCTCTTCCCTTGTTTTCTATGAACTCTTTTGTTTTTGAGCTCAGGAGTCATTACACACTGAACAAAAGTCCTATTTCAGCTGAGATCTGTATCTGTATCATATCTGTGTGTGGCAGACACGTCTCCACAGCGGGTGCGTCACGCCTCGGCGCTCGCCGATGATAACGACCCAGACAACGGCACCATTAGCCAGTCTGTTGCCATGGCAATCGCTGGCTCACCGCTGCCCCACTCCAAAGCCAATCCCTTCACTCTGCCATCAGTGGTGAGTTCCTGTGTACTGCTCACAAAGCATGATATCGTTACTGGGTGAATGGAGGTTGCACATGATGAATGGTGCTGTTTACAATAAGTTGTATTTGATTCATATACTTCAAACTGTAATAGTGTCAATTTGGTTAAAATAATTGTTTTCTATTGCAATATAAAAAAGGTAATTTAATTCTGTAATTGAGACCTGAATTAATCAATATTTATTAATATTTATAATATTATTAATATATAATTAATTAATAATTCCGTGGTAGCCCTTCGAGCGGGCACTTTTTTTTTGGTTCCTCAAATATAGATTTAATTATTATGTGCTGTTGCGGATGTTTTCATCCACTCTGGGGTGATTTAATTTCTTGACACACATTTTGAGAAAAAGCTTTGAATTATTATTACTATTTTTTTTTTAAGAACTCAACTATGCACTCTGGGCAAACATACTATTCTTTTGTTAGTAAGTACTTTTTAAGCTAAATTGGATTAATTTAAAACATTTTAATTGAAATATTTAATTTCAGTTTTAATTTCAGGTTTTTTGTAGCTTAACTATAAAACAAACAAATAAAAGGTTACATTAGATTTGAAGTGACAATTTCTAAACCATCCCCATCATTCTGCCTCTTTTCTCAGATGGGATGGCGAGCCAAATCAAATTTTACCATAGGCCAACTTTGGTCCGTGGGCCCTAGTTTATACATCTATGGTTTAAAGCATTTAAGCCATAAACGTAATACTTTATTAAGCAACTTCACTTTATTGATTTTTTTGTTTATTTTATTTAGAACTTAAGAAATGCAATAAATGAAAATGACCAACTTGAAGGTTTACCTTGCCATTAATACCATTAATAAATTTATATTTTCATTTCATGCCCACACACACCCAAATCTTAGTCTGATGCTGTAGTTAAATTGAATATAAAAGCCAATCAACATAAATAACGGGTTCAAACGGTCATGTAAAACCTGGAAAAGTCTGGATGGCACTTTCCAGGCCTGAAAAAGTTTTGGAAAAAAAGAAAAACCCACAAAGTTTTGGAAAAGTCATGGAAAACAGATATCTGTATACTGTACTTGAATATAGGTTAGGTTGTTTTATTTCTTTTTTGTTCTTGGCCAATCACATACTTTTAAATTATTATTGCGGTATAAGCATTATCTAAATAAATTTTACATAGATATAAACATAAATTTAAACAGAATAGATTGCTGCCTGTTTTACGATATGCTTTAATAAATTTGACAATGTTTTTCTTTTATCACGCATTTTTAGACATTGTATTAAACATTAGGTCATGAAAATGGAGTTGAAAGTCTTGGAAAATCATGGAAAAGTCATGGAATTTTAGTAGTAAAAATGTGTATGAACCCTGTAAATAGTAATTGTGATAAACAGTTCATGGTCTTCTGGAATTTTCCCTCATGTTCATGGCTGCAGTTTCTCAATTTCACCATTAGAGAAGCTCTTCATACACACATATACTCATGTTCATTCTGAGTGCCACAGTCCTGATCTCTTCCACTAGAAGTGCAGTTTTACTGCACTCTCTCCTACGAACAGTGTTTCCTGGTCATTAGTGAGTATTAATGACTCGCACAAAGCTGAGGAAATAAAAAACATGTGTGTTTAAGTGTTTATTATCCGCTCGGGTGTGTAAGGACATCCTCTGTGCGTGCCGGATGTGGTGTCCGATGGGGCCCGGCTCTGTTGTGTTTGGTCTGTGTTTAAATGTGGGTTTATTTGTGTCTCCATCAGGCTGGCCGCCAGTGTGGTGTCCTCTCAGCGGAGTGCAGCAGGACGCTGCTGGTGTGTTTTCTGTGGGTCTGGAAGAACGCTGATGCAGGGCTGCTGGAGCGATGGGTTTCAGACCTGTCTGTGCCACAGATCAACCGTCTGCTGGATCTGCTCCACCTCTGTCTGTCCTGTTTCGAATACAAGGTACATTAACACATGTTCCCTGTTGATCAGGATGGATTTGATAAAGATTTAAATGCATTTTTTTAATTAGAATTAGGGAAATAATGACATTTCCATAATGCATTATTTGTAGGATTTTTTTTGTCCTACGATATATTGCTCCAAAATATATTGCGATAAACTATATTATTGTCATTTTAAGACCATTTTATGCCACTCATTATATAATGCCATCACAATGCAAGTGCACTCTTTCAGAAAACACATAATTTTTTATGCCTAAGAATATTTCATTTAATTATAGTGATTTTAAAAATTTAAAAATAAGGCATTGGAATCAGAATGTAAATGCACATCCTAAATAAACAATAATACATGTTAAAGAGGTGCAAGGTAAAAAAGTGACTGAGGCTGTGAAATCTGCTGCCAGATCTATTTTCAGTTGTCAGACACCCACAGAAAAATATACTAATATGTCTCATAGTCAATACTATAGTGATTTTTTTAACCATACTGACAGACATCTCTAATAGACATAGAGATATACCACTTTATGTAATGCATGCAGTGTTTAATTGCAAATTAAACCTAAAAATTCTATAAAGCGTTTTTTCCTTATTTTAGATTATTTTTTTACCACAACAATGCATATTCCGACTTAAAACTAAAATATATTTTTAGCTGTCCAAAAAGACAGTTTAGTTATAATAAACTTCAAGAATTGTTCATTTAAAATGATTGTCGAAATAAAAACTATTGGATTAACTCTTTTAGGCCAAAAAAAACAGTAATTGTTTACTAAAAACAGTCAAATATCATGCTCTGTTGTGTGTGTGTTTTCACTTAGGCTTTAGGTTGTGAAACACCAAATTCATTTGTAAACATTATATTGTGTAAAATGAAATGTCATTTTTATAAATAATGTAGACATAACAGATAATAGTATTTTTTTTTATCTGCAACCATTGCTACTGAAAAGTTTGTGTGACAATTTTTTCCAAGGATTTATTTGATATAAATCTTTCACAGTCTAAGGATTTACAAAGATGCTGTTTGAGGAGGGGCCAGTTTAAAACTGTTTGTCTGAACATCCTGTTTAATTCCAAAGGCCAAAAAAGGGTGGAAAATAACCTGCAAAAAAGTGTTTTTTGTGCAACACTTTACAAACATTAAATCAGGGCGTCTGCAAGGTACGGTAGGGCTGCACTATTCTGGCTAAAATGAGAATCACAATTTTCTTATTTTGATTAAATAAAGATCACGATTTTCTCACAATTCTGTAGATGTAAAATAAAAGTTAATATGAGTAGGCTATTATTATTGTTAATTCTCAAAATTATGGTAATATAGCGAATTATCTCAAAGGGAAGAAGATTCATTTGAACGGGGCTTCAAAATAATCGACTCTTTAAATCCGAACATCGTCCATCGATCATTTGAACGGACAGTTGACTCTAATTACGGCTATTGCTATCAAAATAAAACTATTTATGTTTAAGCAGGGTAGCAAGATCAAATTTTAAGACATTGGATTCATAAAATGCACAGGCTAAGGGTGTAACGGTACGCATTGCAAACAAAACGATTCAGTACAAAAAAGGCTTCAATGGTTGCCCCGCCTTCAAGCTCTTCTTATTGGCCCACTGCGCTAAAGCAGAACGCAAATGCATTGGTTTATATCTGCTGTCAATCACTCAGTTCCGATGACAGGGTGCTACAGTCACACAAATGTAAAGGTCTGGATCCGAGAGAATAAAAACAACACTGACAGATTTAGTTTTAGAAACCAGCTAGAGTTACAACTAATGACAGGTCTGATTAGTGATCATGTACTGAATGTCAGTCCAGCATTTACACTTTTCGAAGAGTGAATAAAAGATTTTGAGTAGTTAAAGTCCGTTATGACTAAAGCATTCACAGTAAAGCCGGTGGGATGGAGTTTTCAGGTAACAGTGTTGGCCCCTGAATCTTTACATTTTAAGCACGAGATGTTCTAACGTTATTTAATCCTTTATTTAATCGTCATTTTTGATGGGTGCGACTAAAATTTGTCTGGTGTGGCTACATTTTTGAAGTTAGGAGTACCAGTGGTACCAAGAAAAAAAGGTTAATCTTGGGCCCTGTGAGACCTTAATCTGTAGTGGAAATTTCGGGTTTAAAAAAAAAGTTAAATATAATAGAGCCTTGTTACATTATTCCTTCATAACCCATTTAAGTCAAATAATTCCTGCTTTCAGACCCACTAAAATGGCAGGTAACAGTCAAATCAAGCAGATCTCTGCTGTCTGAAGAAAAGGTGGACACTCATCTTTCTGAAAATAATAAAAAAAAAAAACTTAAAAATAGATTGAAACTGAGTTCCATATCAAAACTAAATTGTTATTTTCTTTTTATTTGTGTAACTACTTCAATATTACATACATTTTTAGGAAGCTTTTTGGTTTTGAGTATAAAGGATTTGTTTTATTTGCTGCTAAGCAGAAACCCCAGAAGTATAGCTCTATCACTGTTTAAAGTAAAAGAAAAAAAAACAAAAACAAGATCATACTTTTATGATGTTAGTTTTAATACATTAAATCAGAGAAATCTTCTGTATTTTTTTTTCTTTTCTTTTTTTCCTTGCTTTATCGAAAACATACCGACCGTGACACCACTGTGTCGTATTAAACCAAACTGTGATTTTTGTAAACCGTTACACCCCTAGCACAGGCACCTTTCTTTATACAAAATTAAACTTCATTGACTAATTTAACAGAAACTAGCACCTAACACAAACACACATTCATACAAGTGTAGAAAAGAGTAAAGAAAGTAAAGTGAGAGGTTGAGAGAATGTAATGATGGAAAACCTCGGATTTTGTTAGACCAAACCAAGCAAACCAAAATGAATCAATTTACCCTCCTATATAGGGTTGCATTTAGTTTACACCAGTTCAGATGGAAGTGTTACTTGCATTCCTATGTGATGTGAAGAAGCTCCCTCTGTTGAGCACATGGCTGGCTGGTTGTTCTTTGTCCTCGCGAGGCTTGGAGTGGAGTGGAGTCGGTCGTTTCAAGTTTGAAGCGGCAACAGTGCAAGTTGTGAGGACTACTGGTTTGCGGCGCACTAAACTTAACTAACGTTAGACTCTCGATGGAAAAGAAAGGAAAGAAGGTATCAGAGATGGGAATGTCTGAGCTGTGCGATTAACCCATTTCGTCTGATTCCTCACCTGCTCCCTGGAGTCCTCTGGGTTCAAGCTTTTCTCTGACCTGAGGTTTCTGGGTCTCTGGGGTTTACTATTTTTTGGCTTTCTGCTTTCTTTGAGGTTTCTTTGCTTGGGTCTGATCCTTTCTCAGGTCTTTAGGTCTTTGGTTCTGAGTTCTGAGGATCTCTCTGTCTAAAACCTGGTTTATACTTCTGCATCAAGTGACCGGCATAACCCACGGCGCATGCAACGCTTATCACTTAATGCATGCACTTATCAACTAAAACTTTATTATTTTAAGCAACAGCCTTACATTTAAAAGGAAAACATAAGGGCGATTTATAAGCAAAAAGACCCTAGTCTATAAGGCTAAATGTTTTTTTTCTCTTATTTTTTTGGCGCATGTACTCGTGTGCGATCGGAAAACTGTGTCCGCCTTAAACTCCGCCTCTCTTTTCACTCCACCCTAAAGCCTCAGTTGGCCCTCTTTGGCCCAAGGTATTCAGCAGCGGAAAAAGGTCGGCCGCTGAACCCAAGAAAGCCCCAATTTGGCCCGATAAGGCTTGGAAGTGACAGTGGAAATGCGACTGGCCTTGGCTCGCCCTGGCTCGCTTGCTTTAGGCGCGATAGTGGAAATGATTCTCTCCTGACATTGAAAATATATCTGGCTGAATCATAGAAATGCTGAAGTATTAGGATCATGTGGGGGGTTGAATTGATCTTTTTCCGATTAATCGTGCAGCCTTACTGCAAGGTCTTAAAGTCTTAAAATATTTTACATTTCAAAACCTCAATTTTAGGCCTTAAAAAGTCCTAAATTCACTGAAATATTGGCTTGTAGGTAGTATCATAATTTTTTTTATAACAAAATGTTGAAGCATGTGTACAACCAGAGTTTGCTTGTTGTGACACATTATTTAAAATATGTGGCTATGAAATAACAAAATTAGATTTATTTTGGAAGGAAACAATTAAAATCTTTTCTACTAGCTGTTATAAAAAATGCTTAGTGTTTAACCCTGTATAATGCTGCGGTCACACTAGAGTTTGTGCATGCGAAATTCTGTTGTACAGCACTGTGAAAAGAGGCGGGATTAAACAAGATGATTAGACATTAAAAAAAAAGTAAGCGTCGGTCCATGTTTGAAATTTCTGTACAGAGTATGTTTTGATCTTCGATTGGTCTCACGCAATCATGTGATGTGCTTTTGCAGGTCAAAGTTTACCAAGCATGAACTTTCTAATGCAGCGAAATGCAAAACTTAGTGCACAATCTTGCGTTTTCGGTCTAATGCATATGAATGGAAGTCTATAGGGAGAAAAGTGCGGTGTGATCTCAGCTTAAGTCTGTAATTTTATCCATAAGGATCTTGAAAAGGTATTAAGTCTGACTGAAACCTGCAGAAACCCTGTAAATGTGAACCACAAGGGGAAAATAAACTGAAAATAAATGAAATCATTCAAGTTTCTTGAAACTATTTTTGTGTAATGTATCTTATGTTACCCTTTCATTAAGAGGTTTTTATTTGTATAGCTCAGATGTGTGTGTTTCCCAAAGTTCACACATCTTGATTTATTGTGCCTCCTGTCAGGGAAAGAAAGCTCTGGAGAGAATCAACAGCCTGACCTTTAAGAAGTCTCAGGACATGAAGGCCCGTCTTGAGGAGGCCATACTGGGCACTATTGGAGCAAGACAAGAGATGGTCCGCCGCTGCAGAGGTACAAACACACACTTTCTTGCTTTATATGCAAGAAAAACGTGAAAAGGCACGACAAAACAAACTAAACTCACCATTCACCACTGTACCCCAGAGCGCAGTCCATATGGAGGACAGGAAAATGTGCGCTGGAGGAAGAACGTCACTCACTGGAGGCAGAATGCAGACAGAGTGGACAAGTATGTCTTTTCCTCCGTGTCTCTTGATTTCTGGGTGTCTTTATATTGTTGACACTTTCACTGGACGCGTAGAAGCTGCTGTTCCTGCTTAGACGCATATTCACAGGGTGCACGTACTGTGCGTGTGTGTGTCTTTCTCTCTCAATTCAATTAAATAATTGTTTATTGGTATGACAACTCTTACAAATGTATTGCCAAAGCATCTGTAGAGTTTAAATTACAAAAGAATATATATATATATATATATATATATATATATATATATATATATATATATATATATATAAAATTACAAAAGAATATATAAATATATAATATATATTAGTCTATATTAAAAGTCTTATTTGTTTTATTTCAGCTAGAATAAAAGCAGTTTTATAATGCAATAACTTGTGTCAATGTCACTTTTAGCTGTATAGAAGTGTCTTGAAAAATATCTAGTCAAATATCATGTGCTGTCATGGCAAAGATGAAATAAATCAGTTATTAAAAATGAGTTAATAAAACTATTATGTTTCAAAATGTGTTGGAAAAAAATTTCTTCGTTACACAGTAATTGGGGGAAAAATTAACAGGGGGGCTAAAAATTCAGGGGGGCTAATAATTCTGACTTCAACTGTATATATACATGTAATTAAAAAAATATATAAATATATATTCAATATATCATATTATACATGTATCAATAAAAATAATAAATAGGAATAAACTGTACATTTAATGATCAACATTTTAGAATAAAAACTAAAATAATCAGTTTGTTTAAAATGATCCTTTTATTTTATTTTTAAATAAATATTTAGTTATACATATTTTATTTTTATTTATTTTATTAAAATTTTTATTTATTTATTCATCTTTATTTAGTAAATTTTATTTCATTCATTTATTCTTTGTCTCTGTCTCTGTTTCTTTTTCTTTGTATATGGCTTTTTTGTATCTGTGTTTGTGTGTATGTCTCAGTATGTGTGTGTTTGTGTGGGTCTCATTTTTCTTGTGTGCCTGTGTGTGTGTGGCTATGTGCGTGTGTAAATATGTTTGGGTATGTATGTTTGTCTGTGCATGTATAAGTTTGTATATGTTTGTGTATGTGTTTGTTATTTCTTTGTTTGTCTCTCTGTGTGTGAGTGTGTCTTTTTTTTGTCTGTTTTTTGTGTCCCATTTTTTGTGTGTGTGTGTGTGTGTGTGTGTGTGTGTGTGTGTGTGTGTGTGTGTGTGTGTGTGTGTGTGTGTGTGTGTGTGTCTGTGTGTGTCTGTGTGTGTCTGTGTGTGTCTGTGTGTGTGTGTGTGTGTGTACATGCGAGTATGTGTGCGTGTGAATGCATACATGTGTGTCTGTCTGGGTGTGTTTATCTTTGCGTGAGTTTTTCTCAGTGTGTTAGTGCATTTTTGTGTTTCTCTTTGCTTGTCTTATTGTCACTGTGTATGTGTATATATGTGTGTTTTTGTTTGTGTCTGTTTTTTTTTGTGTCCCGTTTTTTTAGTGTGTGTCGCTGTGTGTATATGCATGTCAATGCATGCATGTTTGTTTGGGTGTGTTTATCTATGCTTGTTTTTGTATCTGTGTCTCTGTGTGGGTGCCTCTGCATGTGTGTCTCAACGTGTACGTTTGTGTGTGTGTGTGTGTGTGTGTTTGCCCAATGGCCACTATGAATAGCTTACTGTAAACACTCTCTCTGTGCAGAACGAAGGCAGAGGTGGAGCAGGAGTCGGTGGTGGATGGAAACTTGGCGACTGAAGCGGCTCTCATAGCCCTCGACACACTGGAGATCATTGTCAAAGTAAAAACCTTTGAAGCAACTATTTGGATGTGTTTACTCCAATAGTATGACGTCATCATCATGTAGTTAATGTGTATGTGTGGGTGTGTGTGTGTGTGCGTATTTATCAGACGGTGGTGATGTCCGAGCTGAAGGAGAGTGTTCTGGGTGGAGTGTTGAGGGTCCTCCTTCACAGTATGGCAGGAAACCAGAGCGCCCTCTTCCTGCAGCACTGCTTCAGTACACAGAGAGCTTTAGTCTACAAGGTTTGTGTCTGTTGTTAGTGCTGCTTCCGGAGATTAAATATTGATGCATTCTGTATTCTTATACTCAATATTTCAATGTTGAAATTTTCACCCATTCTGCACCAGAATAATCAGACGAAATAGTTATCTATTAAATGATTGAATAATTTAATAAGTCTTTTGCATAATTTTTATATATTGTCTCAAAAAGAAATATTGAATTTGAAAAAAATGAAAGTAATTGTTTGTTTAGATGTTCTTAGATGATCTTACTTAATATCATGTATTTTATTTATTTATTGATGTTTCAATATTTTTGGGGGATTTTCATGGATGGATGAAAATGGATAGGACTATAGAAAGTATTGACAGGAAAGCATTGGGAGCAGTAGAATCTGCTTAGGACCACGAGGCGGGAATCAAACTCTGGTCACCATGAGCACTGGAGTGCATGTGTCTACACACTTTCCACTACATCATTAGCGCCGAAAACTATTAAGTATTTTTATTAATTGTGAAATTACCATTCAAAAGTTTTTGAGGGAAGTCATTTAGGCTAAGCTAGCATACATTTGTTCGGAAATACTATAAATATTTTAAAATATAAAAACAATTTTTAAAAAAAATTCTGTTTAAATACGTTTTAAATTTAACTTTTATATATTTTTAATATTTCTGTGGAAATATCTGTATTAAGGTTCCATTTGTTCACAGAGGTTGCATTTAATTGATTAAAAATACTTTAAATACAGTATTATTGTAAAAAAAAAAAAAAAAAAAAAGCATTACAGTTAATAACAACTGCTCTCTGTTTAAATATATTTAAAAATCTTATTTATCCCTGTGATGCAAATCTAAATTATCAGCTTCATTATTTTTTTATTCATTCTAATATAATAATTTTCTGCTAAAGAAACATTTCTAATTAATAACCAGAGTGTCCACAGGCTTTTAAAATGTCTTAAATCTCAAAAACTAAATTTTAGACCTTAATAAGTCTTAAATTTGCTGAAATATTGTGTTGTAGGTCTTAAATTATTTTAAACGGGTCTTAATTTTCCTTTGTTCATGTATAGCTATTCAATTTGGTCGTCATCACTAAAATTCTACCTCAATAGAGTGTAACTTTTTATTTAAAAATGTTATTTTTACCTCTATTTAGCATATTTTTATGTTATTTTTCTTACAATAACATTTGTTTAATAGTTCTCCATGTTTTTACTGCTGAGGACATGACCCTTGACAGATTTTTGTGCATATATTTAGTTTATTATAGTTTTTACATTTTTGAAAACATTTTTTTTTTTTTGTTTTATTTGAATGAAAGGTTATGTTTAAAACAAGTGTATGTACAGTATTCAACTAGAGCTTGCTTGTTTTGAGACATTATTTCAAATATGTTGCTGACAAATATTCAAATTATGTAACAATTTATTATTTAATAATTAGTATTATTGTATATTATTGTAATATATATTACATTTTATTTATATTAAATAAATTTATATATATATATATATATATATATATATATATATATATATATATATATGGTTTTTTTTTTTTTTTTTGATATATACATTTTTTTTTTCAATTTTTCCCATTAAAAATACTTTTAGCCCTGTATGAGTCTAAAATGAAATTTATAATGGTCTTAAAGTTTTAAATTTAACTTGGTGAAACGTTGAATGACAGAATGAAACTGTGATGCATATGTTTTCAGGATTTTTTTATTTAAATTTACACTTGTATACAAACTACTTAGCAATGTCAAAACAAGATTTCAAATGTGAAACTTGCAAGATTCACATTTTGTCCAGTGGTGCAAAAATGTAGTGAAACACACCATCTGTGTGTCTCTGTCAATTATTTTTTAATTGTAAAGCTTGAAGGCTTTTTTTCAGTGTTCAGGTCAACTCTGGCTTCTTTTGGCTTGTGTAGTTTCCAGAGATGTTGTTTGAAGAGGACACTGAGCTCTGTGCAGATCTGTGTTTGCGGTTACTGCGTCACTGCAGCAGCAGCGTGAGCTCTGTCCGCAGCCATGCCAGCGCCTCGCTCTACCTTCTCATGAGACAGAACTTCGAGATCGGAAACGTAAGTCACAAAAAAGCCCAGATGATTAACTTGGCTTATAGAAAAAGGTTAAATGTGACAAGTGAATTGCTGTGTTTTTTCCCTCCCATTCTGTAGAACTTTGCCCGTGTAAAGATGCAGGTCACCATGTCTCTGTCTTCACTCGTGGGAACCTCTCAAACGTTTAATGAAGAACATTTGCGACGCTCCTTGAAAACAATTCTTACGTATGCAGAGGATGACCTAGAGCTCAGAGATTCCCCCTTCCCTGAGCAGGTAACACAGTTTCAAAACCCACAAGGGATCACAACAGCCAGCACTACTAAATGTTTAAAGCGGTCATGAACTCATAAATCAAATATTCTTAAATTGCCAGTCTGCCAAAACAACTGTTTGTGGAATGAGCCACTTAATATGTGAAAGTGTTGCTGAATTCCACCTCTGCTGAAGATCACCGCCCACATTTACATCACTGCCTGATTAGCTCCACCCACCATTTAATGCATGAAGTAGGTCAGTTTTGAGAGGCAAAAAGCAGGATTCCACAAAAGATTCTCTAAATCAGATATTCTCAAAGTCTAAAAAAAAGTCAAAAATTGTAACAACTTTTTGATGTTAATAAACATGCACATACATTAAAATGCATTTTGTATGGAAATAAATCAATAACTAAAGAGCAAAAGTGTCAAAATGACAAGAGATAGTTTAAGGCCCTGTTTACACTAATGCGTTTTTGTTTTAAAAAGTTAAAGTTTTGCTACGGTTACGCCATCCGTCCACACTACACCTGAGTTTTTGAGCCCTGAAAACAGAGCGTTTTGGAAACGCTGGAGAGGCCATTTTCTTTCAAAACGATACTGCTCCCGTCTCAGTATGGATGGGGGAAAATGGAGACATCTGAATGTACTTTGTATCCCGAATGTACTTTATAAAGTCATTCACATCACACTGGCTATGCTGTTTCACTGTCTTAACAATAAAATGAAAACATGATGTGAGGAACTGCCAATTTTTATTTTGATATTAGCAACTGAACAGACAGCAGAAATGTTGAAGCCTCGTGCTGCATATATGAGCATCATCTTCACTGTGTGGATATTTATAACAAAACAGAGCCTATAACATTCCTGCCTCCTTTCATTTTCATCGAAAATACGAGACATACCCTCTCTTTCACTGAACATCAGTTTTATTAAGCAATAATGGCCATTTTAAAAGTATAACGTACAATAAGTTTATACAATAGAGAAAAATGAAGGCAAGCAATCAGTCAATTGTGCAGAATCGGTGTCCGCGGTGACATTAATTAAGATATTAACCTAACTCATACTTGCACTCATCCAAAACACGTTACCTTAGACCAAGTAGCTTAATAGATTCAAAAGACCAAAGTCGGGGAATTTGTTGTTAGATATAGACAACAAGATGAATGAAATATCATGTTAACAAATTTAGTGAGATTAGATCCAGCGGGAGATGCTTGATGAGCAGTCCGATGTGCACAGCTCTCATATGGGTATGTGCTCAAAGCACGCTGCAGCGCATGCTAGAGTGTGTGTGTGGTCACGTGATGTGCGTTTTTTTCTGTTTTAAAGTAGACGGAGAGCTGTTCAGAAACGCTGTGTGAATCACTAGTGTGGACGCGGATCGTTTTGATTCTTAAATCGTTTTAAAACTAAAACCCATTAGTGTAAACGGGGTCTAAATGTCAGCAAATTGTTATGAAAAAGCAACAAGAGGTAGGTCAAAAGTAACATGGTGCAAAATACAGAGCAGTGTAATGTGAGAAATGACACTGTGTTTGATACCAGCTCCCTAAACTTTAGTTTCAAAGTGACATTTAACATTTGCACTGTCCACTTAACTCCTCAATCTCCAAAATCTTAATATTAATGAAGCAAAACAATTTTGTATTGATTGGAGCAAAATTAATCCATACGTCTCGGTCCAATCCTCTTTGAAAACTCGAATTTTCTTCATCGGCTAATGTTTTGGAAACACACTGACATTCTCACACATTCAAATGTGTCAAAGAGTGTGGCACGATTACGGCAAACGTCATAAGCTGACTGGATCTGTTGACAACAGTCACACAGAAATATTTTTTTTTATTTTGAACCAAAAGGCATAAAAATTACAAAAAAAAATTACAAGTTTATTTGTAATTTGCATGCTTTCCAAAGTGTTATATTACAATATCAGATCACAATATTAATTCTTTAATTAGAGCTCTTGAAATATGAAATGGAAGCAGGTCTGTATTGAATTCAGACCATTGTCCAGACATTGAGAGACCCTGATGTAAATGCTGTACAGTGCCAAGTTGTGGAAACACTATTTTTGAGTATCCTTCCTTTTGTCACAAATATTAGGCAAAGTGTTTATATAAAAACTTTATCAAATCATATCAATTGGCATTTACTTCAGAATCTTTAATCTGCCTCACCTTTTCAAACTGTGTGTTCTGATGACAGAGTCTAAACAGGACAGAAAAGTAATTGTACATTGTTTTGTGATTTTAAAACTTTCATAACACTATAAGTGGACCTGAGAGAAAGAAACAAAATAATAAAAAGGATGGTCATGACCCATTTAAAGCAATACATTTGGTGAAGGAACTGTGCTTCTGTACTAATATGCATGTAATTAGCTTTTTTTCTGTCAACTTTTTAGGTCCAGGATCTGGTCTTCAATCTCCACATGATCCTCACTGACACTGTGAAAATGAAGGAGCACCAACAGGACCCAGAGATGCTCATAGACCTCATGTACAGGTCAGTACCCTCTCTCTCTTTTTCACTCACACATACGCCCCATTCACATGGGGCATCAGCTTCAACGCTTCTGATTCACTTTGAATGGGTGACGTCAGGCGTTGCCGAACTGCATTGTGGATCCGGCGCCGCTTCAGAGGCGTTGCTCGCTGCAAAAGTTGGCACTTGCTCAACTTTTCAAGCGCCAGCCAATCAGATTGCTGTATGCAAATACACCAGTTCAGACAGTGGCCTATTGCGGACTAATTTCATAGGATGACGCTGCTATGATGATAAACTTCAGACATGCCTTCTTTCAAGAGTTATTGCTGAAGCCCTGTGTGAATGGGGCAATACAGTTGAAGTCAGAATTATTCGCCCCCCTTTGATTTTTTTTTTTTTTTCTTTTATTAAATATTTCTCAAATGATGTTTAGCAGAGCAAGGAAATTTTCACAGTATGCCTGATAATATTTTTTCGTCTAGAGAAAGTCTTATTTGTTTTAATTTGGCTAGAATAAAAGCAGTTTTTATTTTTTAGAAACCATTTTAAGGTCAAAATTATTAGCCCCATTTAAGCTATATATTTTTCTATAGTCTACAGAACAAGCCATTGTTATATAATGACTTGCCTAATTACCCTAACCTGCCTAGTTAACCTAATTAGCCTAACCACTTATAGAAGTGTGTTGAAAAATATCCAGTCAAATATTATTTATTGTCATCATGACAAAGATAAACCAGTTATTAGAAATGAGTTATTAATACTATTATGTTAAGAAATGTGTTGACAAAATCTTCTCTCCGTTAAACAGAAATTGAGGGAAAAAATAAACAGGGGGTCGAATAATTCTGACTTCAACTGTACATCAGGTGTGTCTCATGATCTGTGAGTGCTAGTGGCTCTTTTGTCTTTGTAGGATTGCTAAAGGCTATCAGAACTCTCCAGACCTGAGACTGACTTGGTTGCAGAACATGGCAGGGAAGCACTCAGAAAAAGGCAATCATGCAGAGGCAGCTCACTGTCTTGTGCACAGCGCCGCCCTGGTGGCCGAGTACCTCAACATGCTTGAAGACTGCCGCTACCTCCCTATCGGCTGTGTCTCCTTCCAGGTATGTTATGTGTGTTCGTGTGTATAATAAAAAAAATAAAAATAAAAATAAAAATAGCATGTATAAATTAGCATATCACCCATGTTGATAAAATCATAAAGTAATTTGTGAGAGTTATGTAAGAAGAAAATTGTAATGAAACACGCATAACACTATACAGTATGTATCAGCCTATACTGATATCATATTATTCAGAATGGCATTTATACATATAGTTTTGTGGTTATTCATTTATTTTCCTTTGGCTTCGTGCCTCACAGCGGAATAAACCACCAACTTATCCAGCATAAGTTTTACACAGTGAACTTCCAACTGCAACCCAGTACTGGGAAACATCATAACACACTCGGTCACACACATACACTACAGCTAATTTTGTTAATTTAGTTCACCTGTACCGCATGTCTTTGGACTGTGGGGTAAACCGGAGCACCCGGAGTAAACCCCTGTACACATGGGAAAGCATGCAAACTCCACACAGAAATGCCAACTGACCCAGCTGGGGCTCGAACTAGTGACGTTTTTGCTGTGAGGCAACAGTGCTAACCACTGAGCCACTGTGGCACCCTAGTTTGGTGATTATGCCTTTTATAATAATAATAAAAAAAAAACATCCAAAAATGTTTGATGTCTATATTATGCTGTTTCAGAATAGCTATTCTCAGTCATAAATAGAAAGCACATCATTCAGTTTAATACTCTTAATACTGAATAATAATTCAGAACATTAATTAATTCTAATTCTCTTAAATACATACGTTTTTATATAGTAGATCAAGATGTCTGTATTCTTGAGCATTTCTAATTTATTATTTTTAGCTACTTTGACTAAATTCTTTAATAACTAAATAAAAAACTAGTCCTTAATTTCTCATAATACCTGATTATCAGTCATTTAAGCATTTATCAGATTTTGTTTAATTGTGTGCGTGCATGCGTGCGTCGAATCTCATACCTAAACTTACAGACCTTAAATCTTCCTATGTTACTTAAATACCTTATTTACTATTAATAAGCAACACATTATAAATTTGAGACTGAAGCTATAGTAGATAATGAGAACTGATGCCCAAAATAAAGTGTTACTATACATTTAGGGCTGAGTAATATTGCAATATCAATATCACAATATCATGTTTCATATCATTCAGTTTCGATAATTATTGATAATTTTTAAAAATCCATTTAGAATATTAGGTTTTTTTAATTTAACAGCTATTTTATTTTACCAACATTACTAATGAAAATAGTTTTAAAGTCAAAAACAAAAAATATATATAAACAAAATTTCTGATCTCTTTATAATAAAATAAACATTAGAGTTAAAGAGAATTTTAAACTTGATAAATAAAATGTTACAAAGTGTGTGCAATGGTAAAGTGTAAATGCTGCGCAATCAAAGCAAACTGTAATGTGTGAATAATAATGATACAGTAAACTGCAAACTCTGTTAACAACACAAATTATGATAATTAAATCTGAGCTTTCAAGTAAAGAAACCAGCCATCATTATTCAAATGCATATTGTAACATTACACATTGTGAAGTGGAAGACTACATTATCTCCTATGCTAAAAACTCTTTCAGATGGGGTGCTGGTGGATGGAATGCACAAGAAAAGAAACCAAAAAGCCACTCTTGCAACATCCTTACATCCTTTTTTATTTACAATCTCCTCACTGCTTCTAGCTACCAAGCTCATTTTCATGTGTGCCAGCACTCCCGTTTTTCCCAGGAGTCTCCCGTATTTTAGACCCATCTCCCGTCACTCTCCTGTTTTATAAATTTTGTTCGGAAAACTCCTATAATTTCACCTTTGTTTGTCTGAGGTAATTAGTCTGCTGTTATTACTGAAATGTGTATATTAAATGCAGAGTCTGAAGCAGATAAGTCACTTACATGAATTGCGTGCACCTGAAAAAATGTGCATGCGGTACTGCTTGCACAACATGTGCACTCCATTGGAAATGACAAACTGACACCCTAAGCTTATTCGCATTGCTTCCAAGGTGCGTGCTCAGCAGCCACATTTTCATAAAACTAGCCTTCCTACCTCTTTTTTTATCGATGTTGACAATGATGTTTGGTCAATAAATATCCATACCGATTTTATCGCCCAGCCCTATATACATTGTATATATTGGTTTACATATATGTTTGGAGCATAATAAATTGAAAATGCAAATGTAAGGAAAAAGTTTATAGCTCGTATTTTGCTTTGTATTTTTCTTCCATTTTTGTTTAACATAAAACATGTAACTGATTCAATCATTATGAAATGTGTGTAGTGTCACAATTTTCGGTATCTCAGACACTTTGAATGTGTTTTGCAGAGCATTTCATCGAATGTTCTGGAGGAGTCTGCGGTGTCTGATGACATCCTTTCCCCGGAGGAGGAGGGCATCTGTTCAGGAAAGTACTTCAGTGAGTCTGGCCTCGTGGGACTGCTGGAGCAGGCAGCTGCCTCTTTCAACATGGTGAGAGCTTGCGTCACGTCACTCATGAAAAACCTCAAGCATCGAAGTCAGCGACACACATTTTAAAAAGATTATTCACTATCTGCACCACCAAAGCTAACTCTTTCTGTCTCTCCTCTAGGCTGCAATGTACGAGGCCATAAACGAGGTTTATAAGATCCTCTGTCCCATTCATGAGGCCAACAGAGACTTTAAGAAGCTGGCCTCGGTGCACGGCAAACTGCAGGACGCATTTAACAAAGTGTACAATCAGGTTTGTTGACTTATGAGTTTGTGCTAAACATCTGAATATGGCTTTAATATTGAAGCCTGTATAATGCTGTTGTATAATCCAGTGTTTCTCAACCACGTTCCTGGAGGACCACCAGCACTGCATGTGTTGGATGTCTCCTTTGTCTGACACACCCATTACAGGTCATTTAGTCTCTGCTAATGAGCTGATGATATGAATCAGGTGTGTTTGGTTAAAGAGACATGGTAAATGTGCAGAGCTGGTGGTCCTCGAGGAACATGGTTGAGAAATACTGGTGTAACCCATAAGTTGTAGATATTGCAGCTAAAATCTACAAACACTGGAATGCTCTGTACAAAATCACAGAAGTGAGCCAGTGTTAATGACGTTGGTCAAATTGTGACTTTCATTCCTTCATTCATTTTCTTGTCGGCTTAGTCCCTTTATTAATCAGGGGTCGCCACTGCGGAATGAACCACCAGCTTATCCAGCAAATGTTTTATACAGCGGATGCCTTTCCAGCTGCAACCCAACACTGGGAAACACCCATACACTCTTGCATTCATACACATACACTAAGGCCAATTTAGCTTTTTCAGTTTACCTGTACCGCATGTCTTTGGACTGTGGGGTAAACCAGAGCACCCGGACACACACCAACACAGGGAGAACATGCAAACTTTACACAGAAATGCCAACTGACCCAGCCGGGGCTTGAACCCCAGGTAGTTTATGCACATTTTTTCTTATTAAATAAAAAGTTTATCCTACTCGGTTATGCGCATATGTTTGTTATGCGACTATCAAAAATGGTGGATGGAAGCATAGCTAATGTGACTTATTTTCCCGAAAATACAATGTGTTAAATGAAATGTGAGGTATTTGTTGTCATTATTGGTTAATTTATAATGTATATGGTTTTAAAAGTACTGCAGCCTTATGATAGCAATTGATATCTTGTACTTGACTGTGGTTCTGCATAATGAGAGCTGTAAATGAAGTGGAAACAGGCCGTCCTGAGGTCTGTGGTGCACAGACATCAACAGCTGACCTCTGCCTTGAGGCTCTGTGTTATTGCAGTGTGTGTGGTTCAGATGTGTGATGGATGTCTTGTCTCTGTGTCTTGTCGGTGCTGATGTGTCTCCTGCCGTGTGTACACACACACACACATGCTTGCAGAGCTCAGGATGGGAGGTAAGGCTGTTCAATCACACTGTATTTATTTCTCTACCACATGTTGCAGTTTATGTCCAAAGGAATTTTCTCCTCCTCTGAAACTAACCGTGTCTGCTCTTTATCTCCTTTTATTTCTTCATCTGACTCCTCCTGTGCGGTCCGACTGTTTTTCTGGTGAGTGAACATGAACTCAGTTGCCCAACACAAATTTCAGACCATCTCTGACACACTTATGTAGGGTCATTTCACAACAATGGCAGAAGTCAGAAAGGCATCATCATAACCCTCCATGGCATCAGTGTTGTGTCCTGGGGCTTGTTGTGTGTGAAATAGGCCAAAGCACTGTTATTTAGCCTTTTGTGTGACTCTTTTCTTTACATGTGACCTCAATGCTCAGGCTGTAGAGGATGTTTGGCACCTACTTTCGTGTGGGCTTCTATGGGTGCCGCTTTGGAGATCTGGATGAGCAGGAGTTCGTCTATAAAGAGCCATCTATTACTAAACTGGCCGAAATCTCACATAGACTTGAGGTACTTTTTTTTTTTTTTTTACTTAAGGGGGAATTTAATGAGCCTTGCTGTTTTGGTAATATACATATATATTTTTTTACTGTTGTTGTCACTAATAAAAAAGAATGAATGATTGGTCACAATGTACAATAAGGTTTCCTTAGTTTACATTAGTTTATGTATGTGTTAACATAAAGTAAGTATGAACTATGCTTGTAGAGCATTTGTTAATCATAGTTCAACCTGTATTAAAATTATTAAAGATTTATTCTTGTTTTACATTACATTATTTAATCCACTGTAGGTCAACATAAACTAACAATGAACAACTTTATTACCATTAACTAATGTTAGCATTAATAAACACTGTAATAACTATATTGTTCATGTTAGTAAATGCATTAACCACTCTGTAAAAAAGCTGGCTCTTACACAATTCCTTCATGTTGTCCCAACACAAATCCATTAAGTTAACTTAATTGTTTTTACAAATGTAAGTGGATTAAATATAGAACAATGAAGTTGTCACAAAAAAACTCAAGAATTGTGTTGATTTCGGTTATTTTGAGGGTTGTAAACATAAAGAACGGTCCCAAGGTTTTTCCTGTTTTACATTATTAATTTCTTTAGCTTCCGAGAATCCAAAAAGAGCCATATATTGATAATGTTATGATAGCTGTTTTAACTTTAAGTTGTCTTGGAGTTGTCTTTTGTTACAGTTATATAGTATATAATAGTTTGATAACAAGCAGAAAATGTTCAAAGACCAGTGCCATGACAATATTGAAATGGTCTATAATAATAAAAAAATACTTATGACCTACATTTTATTGATGATCATGAGAGTATAAAAAACATTCAAGCACAAGAAGTGGTATTGTTTGTGACTTCTTTTTTTTCAATACTAGTATTTGGCTGATTGATAATTACAATGAATGTACTTTTGATAATTATGATTATAATAAATATAAATAATATGTAAATGTAATAATTATTGCATTCAGATTTTTATCTGCTTAATTTATTGGATAATTTGGAAGCAGTTTTAAATGTTATTTTTCTGTGCAGGGAATTTTTATTTTATTAATTTTTTCAGTTGTTTAAAATGTTTACAACTGAAAGCCTGTTCTGTTTTTAAAGAAATCCTGTTTACTTTTTATTTTGAATTCTAAGAAATTATGTGTGTGTATATACATATATGTGTCTGTCTGTGTGTGTGTGTGTGTGTGTGTGTGTGTGTTTGTGTGTGTGCGTGCGTGCGTGTGTGTGCGTGTGTGTGTGTATGTGTATATTTTCTCTTTGGTCCACCAATTAGTTTACTTAATGACTCTTTGCATCTTAAATTATGCTATAAATATAATCGTTTGTAAGTGTATGCTGGTTCTCTTGGTAGGAGTTTTACTCTGAAAGATTTGGTGATGAAGTGGTGGCGATTATCAAAGACTCCAACCCTGTTGACAAGAACAAACTGGACCCCAATAAGGTATGAACAGTTGTGCTGGACAGAAGACTTTTATCAGAAAGTCACTTTTATGTTTATTTCAGTGTTTCTTTAGTATTCTTTATAATGATCTAGCTTAAAATAGATTTATTACACTATAATTTTGTTTATCAATTGTTTATTATACTGCTGTATTAAAGACTTTATATATTTTATATTATACAGTGCTCAATATAGAGTACATTGAAGTTAACTTTCATTAATTTTATAAAGACCTTATTTGTAATTGCAAACATTAGAGTCTTAATTGACTAAAGTAATCATGAGTGAAATGCTATTATATTTTAGTATAGTATAATGTAGTACAGTATAATGCACAACAGTTACAAGTACTTATATTTAGAAATGACCCATTAAATTGATCAAAATTGACAGTAAAGGCATTTTACATTATTTTTTATATTTCTTTATATAAGTGTTTTTCAACAAAGACTAAAATCAAAAGCTGTATTCTAGTTTCTGTGATTAAATTTTAGCAGCATATGCAAGTTGAATTTTTTTTTTCTATTTACTAGAACACATGAGGAGATTTACCTCAAACATTTGACTTAAAGATTTTTATAACCAAATATAATTTATTTTTATTATTATTTTTATTATTATTATTATTATATATTTGGTATATGTTTTCGTTTGACTTTAACTTTCTAGTATTTCCAGTATTCTTTTATATTAGACTGTTCTCATCCAGTAGGAAATGTTCTTCATCTACATTTATTTTAGCTTTGTTTCAAATATGTTCACAATTAATTAGTCCAGTTTTAGTCAACAAACCAATGCTACATAATGATTTCAGAATACTGAAACTGTTCTAGCAGGCAGAGTTTTGCACATGTGGTCTCCATGTTGAACAATGCTGTAAATGTTTGTGTCGGACCAGGCCTATCTTCAGATCACTTACGTGGAGCCTTTCTTCGACACCTACGAGCTGAAGGAGCGCATCACATACTTTGACAAGAACTACAACCTACGCACCTTCATGTACTGCACGCCATTCACGCTGGATGGCCGGGCTCACGGAGACCTTCATGAGCAGTACAAGCGCAAAACCATCCTCACCACTTCACATGCTTTTCCCTACATCAAGACCCGCATCAACGTCATCCACAAAGAGGAGGTGCGGGACTCTTTTCTCAGTCAGATAGCCATCAGTTGCTGATCTATATGATCTTTATGATTGTATTTTCACTCCAGATTATCCTGATGCCAATGGAGGTGGCCATCGAGGACATGCAGAAGAAAACTCAAGAACTGGCCTTCGCCACCCATCAGGACCCTGCAGACCCAAAGATGCTTCAGATGGTGCTGCAGGGTTGTGTCGGCACCACTGTGAATCAGGTAACATCTTGAAGATCTTAAAAGCACTTTCAGACATATGCAATCAAGGCATGGATAGTACTTAAAAACAAACTCAACAGAATGAAAAAAAACAGAAAAATTCTTAACAAATTTAAAATTTGTTTTAAAACGTATGTAAAATTTCCTGAAAGTGAAATTCCAAATCTTACATTTAAATCTTGTACAAAAACACTGACATATAATGCACATTTTTATCAATATTTCAGAAACCACATTTGATTATAATGCATTACTTAAAAAAAAAAAAAAGTAATTTACTGACATTAATGTAAATAATAAAAGAAATGTTAAGTACAGTATCGGCTTTCAAGGTGCTACATATGCAGGGGTAGGTATCACAAAGGTGCTTTATTTAAAACTAATTGGACTATAAAAAGTCCTTGAAAATCAGTGTTGGGCAGTAGCGTCGCTACAAGTAGTGACGCAGTAGCTTGGCGGTAGCGTCGCTACTTTCTAAATCAAATAGCTTTTCAGTAGCTAAGCTATTTTATTAGTCAAGTAGCGCAGTATCGTCCACACAAGCTACATTTACCGATCGCGGATCAATAGGTGACGGCACCGACATTCAGGGAGCTGTGAGGCCGGTGTGAAAGTAAATTCATATGATGGCTAGAATGAGGATTTCTTCTTTTTCCTGTTTTACGGTGTTCAACAACAAAGTTTGTGGTGCGTTACTGCCACCTCTGGTTGGTGATGTCGCCAACCGAAACTTGCTTGATGGAAAGATGACTGAGGGAGAGGAGTTATTTCTGAAGCACGATCCCTCACGACCGTACCTCGAGAAGTACATGTTAAAATGCAATAACTATAAATTTTTATTCCAAGATATTTCCCTTTACTATAGTATTTTAAATGTGTAACACCTGGTTTTATTGGATTTTTTTGTTTTAGCTGTTATACTATAATGTGTTTCTGTTTTGTACAGCATATTATTTACAGTAAATACCTGAACTGAACTATTATGCCTCATGTTTCATTGACAGTTTTATTGATCACTAAGATATGACTGACTTGGATTTTAGTTGCTTTGATTTAAAAATGCAAATTTTAAAAATAGCTTAGATGTAGCTGAGCTGCTTTTGCCTTGTAGCGTTTAGCTTAGCTTGCTACATTTCCCAGGGGGTAGCTTTTAGCGTAGTTAAGTTACATTTTAAGTAGAGTAGCTAATTGCTTAGCTCACTACATTTTTCAGGTAACTTGCCTAACACTCTTGAAAATCCTTGAATCTGCTGTTCGTGAAGACGTAGGAACCCTGCATTCAGGTTAAAACTAGAAACTACAGGTCAATAGGGTATAACAGTTATCACTACACTTTCACAGCTGACCGGTTACATTAAGGTGGTGTTTACATGTTTTTGGTTTAAAACATGTGTTTTTGTTGTTGTTTTGTTTGGAAACGCTGGTGCTCTGTATCAATATAGATGGACTAAGGCTCCGTTTACACTAATTTGTTTTAATTTCATAACGCATAAGTTTTACTAAAACAAAGACATGGCTGCAGACATTTCTCTATCTGATTGGGGCTTTTTCCTCTATATTAAGTAGCCTACACAAATTAATATCAATTTAAATAACAAATAATTCATTCATTCGTTGTCTTTTCGGCTTAGTCCCTTTATTAATCTGGGGTTGCCATTGCGGAATGAACCGCTGACTTATCCAGCGTTTGTTTTTATGCATTGGATGCCCCTCCAGCTGCAACCCATCACTGGGAAACATCCATACACTCTTGCATTCACACAAATACACTACGGAAAATTTTGCTTACCCAATTCACTTATGGCGCATGTCTTTTTGGAACTTGGGGGGAAACCGGAGCACCTGGAGAAAACCCATGCAAACACAGGGAGAACATGCAAATTACACAAAGAAATGCCAACTGACCCAGCCGAGGCTCGAACCAGCGACCCTCTTGCTGTGAGGTGCTTTTGCCACCCACTGCACCACCGTGCTGCCATAACCAATAATGGCTATTATAAAAGTCTGCACATTATGCAGAATCAGTGTCCGCGTTTTAGGCTGTATAGTCTGGAAGAGGCCGTTTTTCTGAAATGCGGTAAATAGGGATGTCCCAATCAGGTTTTTTTGCTCTCGAGTCTGAGATTGAGTCATTTGATTTTGAGTATCTACTGATACTGTAACCTGATCCGATACTTCTATAAAAGATTTTAAAAAACAAAGAAGTGTGAAGAAACAGATCTAGGATGTTTCTTATTTATTTATTTAATTCCCTTTATTTTAACATTCAACATCTCTATTAACAAACAGAGCACCTCTGTGAGGAAGCTTGAACAAACAAGTAATAAATAACATCAATTCTTCACTTTTGGACTTCAGTGCAACAGTAAATATAAAAAAAATCTAATATAAAAGCAAATAGCAGCTCAACTTAAAGCACCCGGCAGTTTACATATCTCAGTTGGCTATGGCAATGTTGTCGTCATCAACTTTATAATACCTCCAGACCGCAGACATACTCGCGCTTTTCGCTTAAAAAAAAAAAAACAAGCTGTTTTGTTGAATAAAATTTATATAATCAGACAAATTATGTACATATATCACATTAAACATTTTTAGAATATAGATATAATTAAAACAGTCAATATTGTTGTATGTGAGTGCTGCTAAATGGAAGATTTATGGCTTAGTGAAAAACAGAAAACTTTATTTGAGAAAATGCAGAAAGATATTGTAATTGAAGCACACAAACACAAATTGATAAAGTGCATTAAGTGTGTTTTGGATGTTTTCTTTCGATTAAAATTAGAACAAAAAACTTTATGAAAAGCAAAAAAGTCTTAACATTGGCAGGTAAGTGAATAAAGCAGTGTATTTGCCTTCAGTGTTCAAACTTTAAGCATTTCTTCTTTTCATTTCTTTTTTTAAAATGTGGGATTTGTTGTGAACCTGTACTTGTTTGCACATAGGGTCCACTGGAAGTGGCTCAGGTGTTCCTGTCTGAAATCCCAGAAGACCCCAAACTCTTCCGGCATCACAATAAACTGCGACTCTGCTTCAAGGACTTTACTAAAAGGTGCAGTGACTTCATGTGCACATTTTTCCAACAAAAGCATTCTCACTTTTCATTAGGTTAGTTTTAAAAAAAATTTTTTCATACAATACAACACTAAACATTACAGAGTGTCCTTTTATATATATATATATATATTTTTATTTTTATATATATATATATATATATATATATGTATATATATATATATATATATATATATATATATATATTTTTTTTTTTTTTTTTTTTTTTAAACCCAGATCCTGAACATCCCATGGCAGCTTAACACAATAATTTGGGTCAGATACAACAATTAAACTGTCCAAAGTCATGCCTGTCATGACATAACTGTAATGATGGAAGTAAGAAATAAAAAAACACAATACAGTAGAAAACAAATAATTAAAAAACAAATTAACAAATAATTAAAAATTTGCAGGGCTAACTTCATTAAAGACAAAAAACACAAAGAAGTGGATACAGAGAGATATACACATTATTTAACAGGGTAATTTTTAAGGTTAATAATTTAGGTTAACTCAGGGTAAAACTACCCACTGTGCAACAACAGCCCGCTGCAGTGTTGTCAAGTTTAGCATAAACGATTCCAAAATCAAGATTTGAGTTTTTAGAAATGTTGGCTTCCAGTGTAGCAAATTCAGACAATCAATTCTTTCAACAGCAATTTCAGTCATCTCTTGGAAATGGAGAAACATCAAGTTCTTCTAATGAATCTTAATTAATTACAATTTTATGTACCCCAATGAGGTTTTGAGATGTGATAGCCTCTTTTATTCAAATGTAGGTGATGATTCATAGAGCTGGGCATTATGGTCCAAATATACAGTAATTAGATTTTGAACTGCAATATGGTATACAGTGTTTCAGAGATATCTACTGTCTAAGTCTAATTTGAATCTTTCCGAATATGTGATTTAACCAAGGCAGCAAGCAAGTGAATCCACCATCAGTTTGCTGTCAACTCAAAAGTTTCGGGCCTTGCATGGCCTTAGTTTGGATTATTTATGCTCTTAAACATGGCCACAGTCTATTTCCAACCTACTTAACCTGACAATTACCAAAACCTCATCTCAGCATGACATCTTTTCATGGCTCTGAATGAATACTGTACAGAGTGATTCACAGTTTGAAACAGGGCTGGGAGAGGTGGCCAAAAAAATCACAGTGTCAAATCTTCAAGTTTGTTTCTTTCAAGTTTGAAGGCAAGTTTTTGTTCCTGAATTGAAAATTTAAATAATTTTATTTGTGTTTTCTGTGCCTTTGAGAACATGATACAAATGTTGATTTTGATTCAGTCAAACTGAAACCTCCTGTAGATATAAAATATATAAATTTGTATTACAATTAAATATTGTCAAATCAGTAATATCATACATTTAGATCAGCATATTCTTAGGTAAAAACCATACGTACATACATATACGATTGCTATAAATGCAAACCCTGTGGCTTAATAGCAGCAATAACTGTATTTCCAGAACACATTGAATACATTTAATACGTCTATATATAATAAATTATATCATAAAATTCATGTTTATCCTGAAAATAATGTAACTGGATTTTCAGTGATTATAATTAACCAAAAAGATTAGTTCAGAACACTTAGTTAAACCATAAGAGTGAAAGTTTTTAAGTCCTGTGACTGTAAGTTTGGTAAAATGATAAAATGTATACTTTACATGTTAAAACTTTAAATGTTAACTACTGTATACAGTGTTATTTTACATTTAATTATATAATTTATGTACCTTAGAACTGTTAGAATGTCTGCAAATCTATAAAGAACTAATTCTTTTGTAAGTATATTTGCTCTATTGTATTAATTTATACTTGTAATTTGTTTATATTTTATGCAAATGCAATCCTTATCAAGGAAAAATTAAGAATTCTTCCCAAATAGAGTAAGCGTAGAAATACAAAATATTGCAATGACCTCTACCCCAAACTGCCAAACATTTGATCTTATATGCATGAGATGCATTTTTAAGCTTCAATACTCCTTATTGATTCCCAATGGCAAGCTGTCCAGCATATCCGGAAAGATAAAAGCTTAACACTGGATGTGGATTGGGCATGTACTACAAATGCCTGCATATGATCTACCTGCTGCCACATTCTGCAGTCAAGTGGCTTCACATAAAAAAAAAAAAACCTGCATTTGTTCCAGACTCCTATTGAAAAACATGTCCTGTTTGATCAGGGTGTCCTCGAGGTCTTAACAAGTCTTAAATTCACTGAAATATTGGGTTGTAGATCTTAAATTATTTTAAACAGGTAAAGCTACCCTATCAGGCCAACCAAAACTTTTTTTATTACAAAGTTTTTAATTGCAAAGAGAGATGATTCACAACTGCTTTTAGATATTTTTACAGCAAATTCTCCAAATTTAATTTCCTAATCAGTTAAAGAAAAATAAAGAAACACGTCCCTTTACATGATCTTCCATTAATAAAAAAAAACTATTTACAGAAGTAACCAGGCTATTAGAAAAATCTTTAATGTTTAAGCCTGTAAAAGTCTAAAATTTCTGGTCTTAAAAAGGTCTTAAAAAGTCTTAAATATGACTTGAGGAAACCTGCAGAAACCCTGTTGATGAAACTAAGGACATATTTTTAAGAACACGAAACTTATGCTGTAAAAAGCTACAAGTAAAGTTGGATCCAACATCGGTCCAACCCCTTTCTTCTGATAGATTCGTCAAAGCTACAGTCGACCGATTCTTCTGCACTTCATGAAGATACCAATATGCTCTTTGGTGTGAAAATAGCAAAAAGTGCCCTAAACTGGCAGACAAACTTTTTCTGTGTTCCATCAGAGCACATTTTTTCGTCATAAATAAAACCCCAAGTTCCATTTTCCCTGAAAGTGTACACAAATTCAACTGGATATTGTCCATATTATCCGTGTTCATATGATGGTCGCAATGTTTTGTGGTTTATTTTTTCTCTCTTGGTTTATTTAAGAGTTTGTTCATTCTGACCACGTCACATGTCCATACTGCAACAAATTGAGTTCGAAACACCTTCATCATGCATGAAATTGATTGGATGAACAGTGCACGACATACAGAAATTCTTGCCTTGATTACAGCAAAGAATATGTTCAGCCTCTTCCCCCTGAAGCTTTAAATAGTTGGTGTTGATTACTAACAAATCTTCCAAACTCAGAAAAACATTATTTAGACCAGCCCTAGATAACTATAATTTTCTGGCCAAGCTCAACATGAATTGAATTCTCCAATATATTTTCAAGTCTTTTTTTTTGTTGTTGATTGTTCTTGGATGGACAGTTCTGGATCTCTGTAACTAATGCTTGACTGTTATAGGTGTGAAGATGCTCTGAGGAAGAACAAGTCTCTGATCGGCCCGGATCAGAAAGAGTACCATCGAGAGCTAGAGAGGAACTACCTCAAGCTGAAAGAGGCTCTGTTTCCCCTCATCAACCGCAAGATCCCGCAACTCTACAGACCTCTGCCTCTGCCCACCCTGCCAACACAGAGGTCAATCATTAATGCATATCAAAGCCACTTTTAGCTTTTTAAAGACAACGTGCTCTTTTACAGTCATCTATATATTTAATAAATATTAATTATGCTTTCAATCAACTAATATTCTAGTGATGAGCAATTATGTTTAAAATGTGAAAAAATATGCTATAATGATAATAATTTACAATGAAAACAATAAAAATAAAGCAGAGTTCAGAGAGCTATGAGAAAACTTCAAATAAATTAACAAAATTATACAATAAAAGTGGTTTGGAAAGTAGAAGTGAAACAATACCTTGAACCGGGCCAAAGCACACTTGTCCCACCTCCCGTCTCCGTCAACGGCCCACACTCACATGACATTCGGGCCTGGGCATGCTTACGTCATCGATGATGAGCTGTTCAGTAAGCGCTTTTGCTCAGCACCGTGGAGATTTATTTAATTGTATGGTTTAAGTATTTTGATATGCAGGGACACACAGTCAGATATTTCGCTGAACAGATTAGACACTTTTGACGCTCATAAACAATCATAAAGTCCTAGGAGGTTTGCTAAAGGTGCAGCTGTTGTGCAGTGAGGGGTTTTCTTCTTTAATAATGTACGACAGTTTGCATTCATTGAACAGTTCGAAGGATTAATAATCCGTATGAAACTGAATTTAAGTCCCTTAAAAGTCAAGTCTCTCTTTCAGTTTCGGGCTCAGGTGTGTTTTGCACTTATATACATATAAGCGTTCCACGCCAAAGCCCAAGTGAACAGCGCTCTGGCACACCACTTCCAACCACGCCAGGGTTAGCCAAGTGAACCATGCCTGTGCTGTGCTGCGGGAATCGGGCCTGGGCACGCTTCGGATAGCATAGCATAGTTAAAAGAGTTTCATCTCAATCTATGTGGACCCAAGAAATGATGCAAAAACTAGTTTAAATTTGGCAGGAGCACCAGTGTCTGTTTGACATGTCATGTGAACAATATCACAATCAGGCCGAAAAAGAAACACTTGAGAAATGGCTAATTCCCTTAAAAGGCCTGGGGCCTCATGTATCAATGCTGCGTACGCACAAAAACTTTGCGTACGCCAGGTTTCACGCTCAGAATCGCTCACGTTTGGATTTACTAACGATGAAATGAACGTGGGAATGTGCGCAGCTCCACGCCAGCTTTAAGGCTGGCGTACGCACATTTTTTGTGCGCGTCTGTTTTATTTCCATTGGCGACTCCTAGAGGCAGTTGTGTTAAATTGCTCACTACAAGTGTCTGAGCCGTGTAATGGCAGCTGTATGAGACGGGATCATCTAGCAGATATATAAGGTTTCCATACCATACAGTTGACCAGCTAAACATTACAGCGCAATTTGCAGCAGTTGCCTGTTTTCCCAATGTAATCTGAGCTATCTACCGCATGCACATTGCTATAAAAGACACCATCTGAAGATTAATTTGCATACGTGAATCAGAAACATTTTCATTCAATAAATGTGCAAATAGAATATGATGCACAGACTTATTAATGATTCCTACTTGTCTTCCTCGTGATTAATAGTAGGAAAAATCTGATATGTAGCGGAGGGGTGAAAAATGAATGAATACAGCAGACTTCAGTTGATTCGAACTGAGTTCATGCTCGAACGTGTCAAAACATGATGACACATGTTTTACAAGCTGCGCCACTCAGACTGTTAAGGGTATTACATAATTTTGCACCTATACATCTCACTATCTCTTTTTTAAATCCACACAGTGCGATGTTCAGACCCAACTGTGTTAACCGCATCAGCTAAACTCTCCCCACTCTATTTTTTTCTTTTGTTGTTAATTCCGGAGGACAAACTTGCAAATAACACAGTTTTTCTCCGGTCTACCTCTGAAAGCAGCACCTCCAATACACATTCTGTTAAAATCTTCTCTTTTTGCTTGCTTTTGCCATTGCTTTTTCATTTGGTTTTGTCAAAGTAGAGTCATTAGCATATTCATTTAGGGAGAGATTCGGCGTACGCAGTGTTTCATACATCTGAATTTTTTTCTGCATACGCGCATTTACAGCTTTGTGCATACGCAATGTTTTAGTGCCATTTCCACGCAAGTCTTCGCACATGAGGCCCCAGGTGAGCAAAATAAGGACATTTTTTACCCCAATAAAGGCTTTTTTATTATGTAGTTAATAACAAAAGATATACTACATGACCTGGCATTGTTTCAATGTGTTTTGTTTTGAGAGACATAGTTTTTCGAACCGAGACGCTACCCCAGATAGTCATGCAGTGTGAAAACATCTGTGATGTGACAACTTTGAAAATCCTGCAGTCTGAACATGCAATTAGACAAATTTTGTCCTATCCTATGAAACCCCACAACAAGGAAAGACATATTTATTCAGCTTTGAAAGTAATTTATAAATCTCAGTTTCCAAAAATGACTCGTATAACTGGTTTTGTGGTCAGGGGGCACAAATATTGAATAATATATTATATTTGTAATGCATACAAATAGAAAGCAGCTCAAATAAAATAAGACTGCTTTACAGTTGCATTGAATAAGTATTAATAATATTATATAGTGTGTACACGCATTCTTAAAAAGTCTTAAATTTCATAGTATAACAATTTTGCCCTAACTAGTCTTTAAAAGTCTTAAAACTGTGTTTCAGAGGCCTTAAGAAAAACAATCTAACCAACACCGCAAGAAAGAGTTTGTTTCCGTTTTGAAATCTACTTAAAATCTGTTTATTTGTCGCCCAAAATGAAATCAATAAAATTACCAGTAAAATTCTGTCTCGCTCGGAATTTGCTTACGCAAGCAGATTTCACAAGGATTTCTTTATTAGTGGCATTGTGTGCGTTGTGGTAGCAAAATCAACAGCCTGAGGTATCAAGACATTTGTGCTGCCCATTACATTACAAACCACAGTAGAGGGTGAATTCTTCAGCAGGATAGCACTCCTTCTCATACTTCAGCCTCCACATCAAAGTTCCTGAAAACAGAGAAGGTCAAGGTGGTAAAGGATTGGCCAGCCCAGTCACCAGACATGAACATTATTGAGCATGTCTAGGGTAAAATGAGGGAGGAGGCATTGAAGATGAACCCAAAGAATCTTGATGAACTCTGGGAGTCCTGCAAGAACGCTTTCTTTGCCATTCCAGATGACTTTATAACGAGTTATTTGAGTCATTGCAGAGATGTATGGATGCAGTCCTCCAAGCTCATGGGAGTCATACACAATATTATTATTTTTTCAGTGCATCATGACTTTATATTCTATTCTAGACATTATTTCTGTTTAGCGACATAATTTTTGTGTAAGCAAAGTCATAAATCATATTTTATTTTGGTAAATTAAGCATAATCTAGAGGACTTCACCTTTTGCCACTTACGATACAAATGATCAACTAGAAGTCATGATTTCTTGCTCCTAAAACTTGAATAGTTGGCAAGACTTTTGTCAGGTAGTGTAATTACAAAAAAAGTTATTTCTAAATGACTGGTTGTGTTATATATGTTTTTGGACTATGAATAAGTTCCAGTTACCAGCATGAGTTTTTATCTCTTCTTTTTTGCAGGAATTCTCTCAGTCGCTCCAGTTTTCGGAGGCTGGAGTGTTGAGGTGTGGCCGATCTGGACGCAAAACCGCACATGATCTCCATCTCCATCATCAAACCAACACAAAAAAACCACACGTCACATTCCTGCGTCAGACACGAGCCCTCCTGAGCCTCCGTCTGTTTACACTCAGCTTTATCTGCTGTAAACACGCTCGTTATGAGCATCAGCAGACAAAACTGTAGCTTCTTGCTCAACACTGGAGGTAATTCTAGCATTTCACCGACACAGGGCGTTAAGATGCTCCTCCACACTTCCTGCTTTTGTTTGTTTGTGCTCGTCTGTCTTGTCTTGTGTGAGAAAGAGGGCAAACGAAGTCCGTCCAGACGTTCCTGTGAATGTTCTGCCACATAAAAAAAAAACCCTTGCACTGCTGTTTGATTTATGACTGGATTAAAGCGTTTGTGTCTTTTTAAAGACAGATCGCTGAGCCTAGAGACTCAGGTTTAATCTTCCGTTTCATTTGTAGAAATTGTTTTTTAGAGCAGTTCTGCAGAGAAACACTGGGCTGATTTCACGAGTTTAGAGGATGAGTTAAAAGTTTGGTGTCAGTGTGATTTGTTTTGGGGCTTTTAAAAGAAGTCTACTCTGCTCACCAAGGCTGTGTTTATTTCCTCACAAATGCAGTAACAAAACTGAAATATTATACAAATATTAAATTAACGCTTTCTTATTTATTGTGACTTAAGGCTAATTAACTAGCTATTAGTTCTATTACTCCAGTGTTAAGTGTTTCATGACCCTTGAGAAATCAGTCTAATGTGATAATAAAAAAGAAAAATGTATTATTATTATTAATAATACATTAGTATTATTATATATATATTATTAGTATTATTATATATATATATTGTTATTTTTAAAACTTTCTAAACGTATAAATAAGGCAAATGAAATGTAATGTGAAATACAAAAACTAAAATGTATCAAGGTTTCCACAAATACTATGAAACAAAAATGTATACAGTACATTGAGGATTGTAAGGATCACTGTTAATGTTTGAGTATCGCTAATAATTGAACATCAAATCATCACATCATTGTGATTTCTGAAGGATCAAGTTAAACACTTGTGACTGGAGTAATGAGGCAAAAAAATGAGTAAAAAAAAGTAATGAGTAAAAAAAAATATGTTTAAGCTACATTCAAAAAAGAAACCAGTTACTTTAAAATGTAGTCATTTTTGACTATTTAAAGTGTTTTCCAGTATTTATGATCAAATAAATGCAGTCTTGGGTAATAAACATGCTTTAAGAAAACATCAAAAGAAAGCTGACTGATCTTAAACGTTTGACAGATGAATTTTTTGGACGTGTATCCATTTAGAAGGCATTATTCACTGTAGTAAATAACTGGAAAACATCCCACATCGCACTAACGAATATAGCACACTAACATTTCTGCACTGACTGACATGAGTTTTCACCAAATCCAACTTTCAGGCATATTTTACTGTTCATGTTTTTGTAAATGCACAGCGATGTGACATATACTATACACTAAATGCACAAGTATGTGAACTGGAGTTAAATACTGCCATTTTTTGTTTAAATTAAATAGTCTTTGAATGTAGGATCCTGTCCTGAATTAGCAAACTTAGCACCTAGTTGACTGCTGTAATATCCGTCCTGCACTACTTTAATGTTTGTATGACCTCTCTACTGCCTGTCTCCACACTATACTGTGCAGTTTGCTGACCTAAATACTGTATTTTTAATAACCAAATTGTTTTTTTATTTATTTGTATCTTTGTCTTTTTTTCATTACCAGTTTTACTTTTTATATTAAAAGAAATTTCTCCTAAATATTTCTATAGATGACTTTTGTGTGTTTGTGTGTGCACTTCTATCCGAGAAGGTGGATATATCCTATTTTGTTGCATATAATTGCTTGTTTATTTATTTTACATATGGAAAGCATTAAATGCAAAGGGCAAATAATTTTATTCATTTTGTGTAAATAAAGTTATCGAGCTTAACATAAATATTACATTAATATATACACTCACCAGACACTTTATTAGCTACGGCTTACCAGTGCCAGATTGGAGCCCCTTTTCCCTTCTCCGGTTCCACCTCATCCCAAAGGTGCACTATTTGATTGAGATCTGGTGACTGTGGAGGACTTTTGAGTACAGTGAACTCATTGTCATGTTTAAGAAACCAGTCTGAGATTCACGCTTTGACATGGCACATTATTCTGCTGGAAGTAGCCATCGGAAGATGGGTACACTGTGGTCATAAAGGGATGGACATGGTCAGCAACAATACTCGGGTAGGCTGTGGCGTTGACCCAATGCTCAATTGGTACTAATGGGCCCAAAGTGTGCCAAGAAAATATCCCCCACACCATTACATCACCACAACCAGCCTGAACCGTTGATGCAAGGCAGGATGGATCCATGCTTTCATGTTGTTGACTCCAAATTCTGACCCTACCATCTAAATGTCGCAGCAGAAATCGAGACAGAGTAGGCAACGTTTTTCCAATCTTCTTTAGTCCGATTTTGGTGAGCCTGTGTGAATTCTAGCTTCAGTATCCTGTTCTTAGCTGACAGGAGTGGCACCCGGTGTGGTCTTCTGCTACTGTAGCCCATCTGCCTCAAGGTTGGATGCGTTGTGTGTTCAGAGATGCTCTTCTGCATACCTCAGTTGTAACGAGTGGTTATTTGAGTTACTATTGTCTTTCTATCAGCTTCAACCAGTCTGGCAATTCTCCTCTGATCTCTGGCATCAACAGGGCATTTGCACCCACAGAACTGCCGCTCACTGGATATTTTCTCTTTTCTGGACCATTCTCTGTAAACCCTAAAAATAGTTGTGCATGAACATCCCTGTAGATCAGTAGTTTCTGAAATACTCAGACCAGCCCATCTGGCATTAACAACAATCCCACTTTCAAAGTCACTTTCTTCATCATTCTGATGCTTTGATACAGCAGCAGATCGTCTTGACCATGTCTACATGCCTAAATGCATTGAGTTGCTGCCATGTGATTGGCTGATTATAAATCTGCATTAACGAGCATTTAGACAGGTGTACCTATTAAAGTGGCCGGTCAGTGTACATTATAAAACAAATTCTATTATACTTAAAGCCTAAAATAACTACCACTTTGTATTTTGAGTTTGCACTGTGGTCATCAAATATTTTATGTTATCAAATGAATGTTCATGAATCTGGCTTTTTAACTAATATGAACATAATTTAGCTTATTGCACTAGCATCTTACTGGTGGCTCGAGTAAAAATGTGTTGGTAAATTCATGTGTGGTATGTTTAAATGGTTACACTTAATTACAATGTAAACAACTGCGATAATTGTAACATTTTTATATAAATGTAACATTTTTAAAACTGCTTAAATTTTGGCTTAAAGAAAGTGAAATATGCAACCGGTGTGCAACCTGCTTATGATGTATTGTATTTATTGTACAGTATAGTGTACTTGTTTTTAATATTGTTTAACTTGTTACAGCTTCGTGTCCAGGGACTACAGATATAAATTTTCTTTATAGCTAACTCTGGCAAGTCATGTTGTACATTGTCCCATTCATTCATTTTCCTTCGGCTTAGTCCCTTTATTCATCAGGGGTCGCCACAGCGGAATGAACCGCTACTTATGCAGCATATGTTTGACAGCGCATGCCCTTCCAGCTGCAACCCAGTACTGGGAAACACCCGTTAACTCATTCACACATGTGGCCAATTTACTTTATTCATTTCACCTATACTGCATGTGTTTGGACTGTGGGGGAAACTGGAGCACCCAGAGGAAACCCACTCCAACACGGGGAGAACATGCAAACTCCACACAGAACTGACCCATCTGAGACTCGAACCAGCGACCTTCTTGCTGTGAGGCTACAGTGTGACTAATCACTAAGCCACCGTGTCACCCTAAATTGCTCCTGTATAAATAACTAAATAAATAAATCAAATAAACAAAAGTAAACAAAATATACATATAACTACTAAGGAAAATTTAATTTCATGTACTTCGTGATGAAGTGCAGGTACGGTTTATGATTACTTATGGGCAATAGTTTATTGTAATTACTAGTTGGCACATGTTTAACAAGGGCAGCTTAAAACAATGTGTAGTTAACCTTAAAAATAATTGTATTATTATGCGTCATTTATTACTTACATGATAAATATTTTGTAAATGAAACTAAAGTGTCGATATATTAGTTATTATTATGCCATAAACAAGTGGCGCAATAAGTACCGCTGTCGTCTCACAGTAAGAGAGTCTCTAGTATGAGCCTCGGCTTGGTCAGTTGGGGTTTCTGTGTGGAGTTTGCATGTTCTCCCTGCCTTCGCGTGAGTTTCCTCCGGGTGCTCCGGTTTTCCCTACAGTCCAAAGACATGCGGTACAGGTGAATTGGGTAGGCTAAATTGGCCGTTGTGGATGAGTGTGTGTGGATGTTTCCCAGAAATGGGTTGCAGCTGGAAGGGCATCCGCTGTGTAAAAACGTGCTGGATAAGTCGGTGGTTCATTCCGCTGTGGCGACCCCGAATTAATAAAGGGTGTAAGCCGAAAAGAAAATGAATGAATGCCATAAACATTCATAATTCCCTTTTGTATACTTCACACTTCTTGTGTATTGCCTCTTTTTGTTGAATTGCTGAATTCTTCCTCGTTGCTTATTTGGACAAAAAGGTCTGCTAAATGTAAATGTAATTGGATAACAAGCCTTATTTCCCCCTCCACATTTCCACATACAGTTTTTAATCTCGTCGCAGCTTGTTTGTCTGCTGCTCAGTCGACCTCCATATGGTCATCGTGTCACTGATATGTGATGAGACAAAAGAAAACAACAGGCTCGTCCATCTGCGACCTAATAACAAATTAATGTCAGCTTCATGTCTCTTTGCAGCCCTGGGTATGGACTAGCCTATAATAATGACGTAAGACCATTATGACGTCAGGCCCACCGCTGTGTCGTTATCAAATTACAAATTGCCATGATATTCAATACAACTATTGAATTTCATACCGAGCGGTGAATTTTAAAATCTGTCCAGATGTAACACCATCTTCTGTAATACTGATCCAGGATGTTTAATTTTAAGTGAAAATAACGAGCAAATTTTTGATGAAGATTGTGGTGTTAAAGGTGGAGTGTCTCTTTAAGAGAGAGAGAGAGAGAAGGGGACGCGCTTCACGCTTGGGCTGCGGTGTTTTTGTCTCTGTCAGTGAGTCTGCTGGCCTTATCGACTGAGGACACTGGAAGAGGGTAGGTGACAATTCACACATGTTGTTTTTTTTTTTTTATCAAACAAACCATTAACACTTATTTGTGTGTGCGCGTGGACGTCCATTTGCGTCCATGCGTATTGTGATGCTCAGCCTTTGTGCTGCTCGGGTTTTTCTTGGAGAGTTTTAAAGTAACGGTGCTACGACGGGAATTTATGCTTTAAAACGGACTTATTGCAGGCCTTTTATTATTGGTATTATTCAGATAGGTGATATTTCATCTTTTTAAGAAGCATTGCACCTTTTTAAAATTTATTTTAATGGATGGGTTGTGAAAATGCCATATTTCATGGGGAAGCGCGCACAATGCGTTTAGTAGTAGGCTACTGTTATTATAGTTCACATGCGCGCGCCTGTAGAATTATATTTAATTTATAGGGCATAAAGCTATATCATGAACTGAATCAATAGATTCTTTCTTTCTTTTTTTTAATTGAAGTGTTTATTCGTTTGTGCGCGCGCGTTTTGTAATGGTTAAAGCAGAATGTGTGTATGTGTGTTGTTACATCTGAATATTGCTCTTGTGCTCGCATTTAAGCATGCTCGTCGTCGGTGATGTCGGTTGATTTTGTGCTGATGGCGGTTTGAGGTGAAAAGAAAAGCCCCGTGACTGCTGTGGCTCTGGGGAGAGGGTGGGACTGCTGCTGGAGCTCTTCATTACTTCCAGATGTTCCTCCACTCCACTGCTGTGGCGTTCAATTCACTGGCCTTGATTTTGGGTTGGCCAAAAACTTGTTGGGTTTCACACGTGCGCTTCAGTGTTTGCTTTGCATTTGCATGTTATTGATTGTCAAACACCTTTTCTTGTGATTGAGATCGTGAGAGGAGAGAAGAGGTGAATGAATAATAAACTTAAGAAAACTTGTAGGGGGATAGTTCATCCAAAACTGAAAGTTCAGTCGTCGTTATCATCATTCACCTGTCAGGCATCTTGTTTGAGTTTGTTTATTCTTTTGAACACGAAGATATTTCGATTAATGATGAAAACATGTAACCATTAGACTTCATATTTATCCAGCCTTCTTCAAATTGTCGTCTTTTGAGTTCAACTGAAAAAAAAGACACTCAGGAATGTTTGGAACTACTTGAGAGAGAGAAACTATGAGCATAATTTATTTTGGGGGTGAACTATCACTTTAAGTGAGTTCTTATGTCTTGTATTTGTGTTTTTTATTATTATTTTGTTGTCGTCACTTGTTGTTTTTGTTTTGAGGGTTACTTTGAGTCATTCTCGCCTGTGAGTTTAAACTGACTGAAGTGACGAGAGCACAGACCCTGCGACGCGCGCGCCGCGGTGCTGGAATGCGGCGGCGCGCGTCATTTGGCGCGCGGGCTGAAGATGTGGAATTCCTCATCAGGAATGCGCGGTTATAAACCCCATTTGTACGGTGGACCACACGCTGGGCGTCTAAATGATGTTTGCAAGACTAATGAAATTAAGCCACTGTCAATCTGTCTGAGCTCTTTTAATTTCCTTTAATTGTTGATGTTTCTCAGCGTGTCACTTAATGACTGAGATCCTCTGAGGACCGCGCCTTTCATTGGGAAGAACAATCCCAAATGGGACCTCTTTAATGTTTCTCTTTGATGGCATTGATACTTCTCAATTTTATGTCATGTGGTTAAAAAGTCACACATGTCTCCCCAAGAGTTGAAGTTACACAAATATGCTCTGAGTTTCCGAGTGTTTGCTTTTCCCGTTCATTCTAAAGCCTTTAAAGCTTGCTGTATTGGACAACAATTGTTTTTCCTGAGGTATTTTAGGAAACCCTTATAATACAGTGGGGCTTTCAGAATTAAAGAAGAAAGGTCATGCTAAACCCAGGTTGGGCTTAGAAATAAAGGTATAACAGTTCTCATTGAGGCAAAAACTTTTCAAAAAGGTAAAACATTTTACTTTTTTAGGTAAGCTACATTAACAAATCATTTAATTAAGATACCAATATGGATATTTTGGGTGATAATGTGTCCCTGTAAGGTACATGCATACCTGAAAAAAAGTGTTGTCTCCTATTCAAGCTTTTCGAACAACAAATTATAACTTGACGTCTAGTTGGTATCAGAAGTGGCTTATATAAAAGGCAAAGGCCTCTAGATTAGGCTTATTTTACCAAAATAAAATATGACCATGTCTTAATTTTTAATTTTTTAATAAGGACAGTAAGGTCTGACTTTGCTTAGACAAAAGTCTTGTCACTTAACAGAAATAATGTCCAGTATAGAATATAAAGTCATGGTGCAATGGAGAAAGAATTAATATTGTGTATGACTCCCATGAGCTTGGAGGAGTGTATCCATACATCTCTGCAATGACTCAAATAACTTATCAATAGTCATCTAGAATGGCAAAGAAAGAGTTCATGTAGTTTATGTAGAGTTCATCTTCAATGCCTCCTCCTTTATATTACTCCAGACATGCTCAATAGTGTTCATTTCGGGTGACTGGGCTGGCCAATCCTGGAAAATCTACCTTCTGTCACTTTTCCAAATGATTAACTAGAAGTCAAGATATTATTTTTGCTCTGACAACTTGACGACAAGACTTTTGTCAGGTAATACACATGGCCCCTAAGATATGTACTTCTTTAAATACCTGCTTTTGTATGATGCTGTCATTTCTGAAAGTGTAAACAGAGTCTGGTTTATCTTACTACAGTTCACACAGCTTATAATTTACCTCAGCTTCGTTATAATTCTTTTGAGGTTAGTTAAAGAAAGTTCACCCAAAAATAAAAATGTACTCACCCTCATAGGGTTTCAAACCTTCATGAGTGTCTTTCTTCTGTTAAACACAAAAGATGATGTCTTGAAGCAAGCTGAAAACCTGTAACCATAGTAGGAAAAACAAATACAACTGAAGACAATGGTTACCGGCTTCCAGCATTCTTCAAAATATTTGTGTGAGTTCAACAGAAAGAAACTCAAACAGGCTTGTGACAAGTGAAGGTTGAGTAAGCAATGACAAAATGTTCAATTTTCGGTGTACTATCCCATTCCCCCTTGGGTATTTATAAACTTGTGTTTCACACTATACTTTTATAAATGCTTGGTTTGCATTGTTTTTAGCATGTTTTCAGTGCCAGTCTTACTGGTTGGATGAACACAGCATGCTAGTTTACATAAAGATGTCTATTGTTTCACAGCATCCTCATGTTGATGACTGTATTTCTTATCGAACATAAGAATTTGACAATTTTTCCATTACTATTTGACTAGTTATTTTGCCTCAAATGCTGAGTTGACTTTAGAAACATCTTCCAGTTTTTCTGTGACTGTCCATGCATGTGAAGATGAGGGTTGTGATTGGCTGTCAGCTGTTAAGTATTTAGGGCGTTTTATAAAGGGCTGCACGATACACGGAAAATTTGCGATATTGTTGCTGGGTATTGTGAATATGATATTTCTTATAATATAACATTACTACTCCTAGAAAAATAACATTTTTAGTAGCTATCTTTTAAAATTGATTATTATTGCTGTGATTTTAAAGCAAACAACTAAAACATATATATTCAGATCTAATTAGTTTAAATTCAGACCAAATAAACTGTGTCAGCGAAGCAGTGGCGTAGTAGGTTGCTCACAGCAAGAAGGTCGCTGGGTCGATGATTCAATCCTCGGCTCAGTTGGCATTTCTGTGTGGAGTTTGCATGTTCATCCTTGCGTACGCGTGGGTTTCCTCCGGGTGCTCTGGTTTGTCCAAAAGATATGCGGTACAGGTAAATCGGGTTGGCTAAATTGTCCGTAGTGTATAAGTGTGTGTGTGAATGTGTTTGTGGATGTTTCCCAGAGATGGTTTGCGGCTGGAAGGGTGTCCACAGCTTAAAAATGTGCTGCATAAGTTGGAGGTTCATTCCTCTGTGGCGACCCTGGATTATTAAAGGATCTAAGCAGGCAAGAAAATAAAAGTATAAATAAACTGTGTCAAGGTTCAAACAATTAGTCTTTAAAACTCTATGAATGATTTAAACCTCCGCAGATATTCTGACTCTGCTCAACACTCGGCTCATTCTGACCGAATGTTGTCATATTCCTCCCGACTCTCGCCATATATATTTACTTTCAGCTCTAGGTTGAGTTTTGGGCCGGTCCAACTAATAGCAGAACAGCTACTACTGCGGAAATAAAGATGCTTTGACTTAAATTTAAATTTGAAGGCAACAAACTTTTGAGTTGATTCAGCTTTTAACCCAATTACTTCACGTTACTCAATTTAAGTTGAGTCAACTAAGAAATGTCATGAAGTTTGTTGCCCTCAAATTTGAATTTGAGTCAACTTTTTGTTTTACAGTGTATTTTAATCTGATTGGTCAAATTTAGATCAACCAATGCATAAAATAAATGTAATTTATCAAATATGTCTGCGATACATACAGTTGAAGTCCGAATTATTAGCCCCCTTCGATTTTTGTTCTTCTTTTTTAAATATTTTCCAAATGATGTTTAACAGAGCAAGGAAATTTTCACAGTATGTCTGATAATAATTTTTTCTTCTGAAGAAAGTCTTATTTGTTTTATTTTGGCTACAATAAAAGCAGTTTTGAATTTTTTTATGAAGCATTTTAGGGACAAAATTATTAGCCCTTTTTAAACTATTTTTTTTTTTTGATAATCTACAGAACAAACCACTGTTATACAATAACTTGTCTTATTCCCCAAACCTGCCTTGTTAACTTAATTAACCTAGTTAAGCCTTTAAATGTCACTTTAAGCTGTATAGAAGTGCCTTGAAAAATATCTAGTCAAATATAATTTACAGTCATCATGGTAAAGATAAAATAAATCAGTTATTAGAAATGAGTAATTAAAAATATTATGTTTAGAAATGTGTTGAAAAAAATCTTCTTTCCGTTAAACAGAAATTGGGGAAAAAATAAACAAGTGGTCTAATAATTTAGGGGGGCTAATAATTCTGACTTCAACTGTATATTGCATATACCATTATCGTGATAACGGCAATTTTGCGATATATTGTGCAGC